CCTCACAAAAAATTATGGATCGGTGTTGTGAATACAGACTATGAAAAGAATCTTGAAACACTTTTAAAAGTATTATGAAATCTATATGAAGAGCGACATACTCTTCTGGCATGTCATCTAAATAATGACAGTAGTTAAAGTATATAATAAGAACCACTTGATTCCACCAGGAATAATTGTCAACAACTATTCACAGCTCTCTAAAACATCAAATGATCCAAAAGATCACGACGCCCCGAGTGGCCAGTCTATAAATGAGCAGTATATTGTGCATATATGAGAACTAAATAATAGCCTTATATTAGCCATTACATTCAAAATTTGCAAAATTTTCATGTATTAAATAGTCGGCTCTTCTTGTCTTGAAATAATCACTTCGTTGAAAAAAAAAATCCCTATTTTTATACATCAAGTCCCAAGTCCCACATAATTAGAAGTGATTCATTTGCCTTGAGAGTTCACTATAGATTGTTACTTTTCTATGAATAATTTTAATTTAGTAAAAGCTACAATTGCTTATTGCTGTTTCTCCGCGTGCTTTTTACGTTGTTGCTCTTCTTCTAAAAATTTTTTCCATTCAGGCACTTCGGCTGGCTCTAGTTTCTTCATTTCAGACTCATGAACTGATAATAGAATCGTACCCAATAGCAACACAACGGTGATAGCCTGAGCGATCACTCTAGCTTGCACTGCCTTTTGTGCTGTCGTCATATATTTATCCCTGTTTATAATATGCCATGACCCATACAAAGACGCTGCCCATGTAGTTATAATTATCTTATACTTATTCTCATCAAGCTTCAGTAAAAGCTTTTCAGAAAGTGATAAATTATCCCATTTTTTGATTTGTTCATCTTGAACCTGTTGGATGTAGTCGCTGCGGTATCTAGTTTCATCAAACTTCACAGACCCTTGATCAGCGAAAAATGCTGCTAGTGAAATAGTCGGCATTATCCACATGGCCGTTTTAATAGATGGATTAAACTGACTGAATCTCAAAGGATATCTCCTCTTTACACCTTGTACTAATAGAAAGGAACCTACTAATCCGATCCCAAAACCCTTTGCTCCTTCATAAAGCACAGCATTCCAGTGTGCATTTTTCTCTTCGTCTGAAAGAATCTTCATCTCGATTAATATGTGTTAAATTTACTTCGGTATCTGCTATTCCTATCTAAAATAACTTTGGTAGTTAATCAAACTAATAGAAAAACATCTGGAACTTATATAACTCATCCCGATGAGTAACCCGATATTTGCCGCAACTACTTGTAAATATATGCATGACTGATTACAGTGAGAATAGTCATATATGCGCAAGTTAAGCGAGCCACTTAAATAAATCTCCTAGCTACCCTGTGAAATATTGTATGAAGTGCATACATCTTCTCGACTGATTTCTCTTGGCTTCTACTTTATATCTACTATTGAAATAAGCTTAATTAAAAAAAATTAATTAATGTTTCCTCGTCTTTTCTCCAGCATTTAAATTTATTAAACACCTACTTAAAAAAATATTAATCACTTATGGCCCAATGTAGCGATATTAAGATTGTTCATTTGACCTAATAAGTCATCGATCTTACCATCTAACAAACCGTTGGCGTATTCATCTCTTGATGTTTGCTCTAAATGCTGCTGAACTTGTGCTAATCTTGCATAACCTTCGGTGCAAAATCTTAATTGAATCTTGACCAAACTTTCAAACGATGGATCGTAAAATGGTACTCTCAATGCTATTAATTGTGGCAACTCGCTTTTAAGTTGTTCATTCAATTCCTCAAAAATATCTTTAGCAATTGACAATTCTTTTTCTGCTCTCGGTACTTTTCCCGCATCCTTTGCAGGTTTGTCGATCAATTTTCTGACCTTTGCCTTGCATTGATCGTAATCAATCTTCTTGTGAGATCTCTTCTTTATAGCTTCGTCGATTTCATGGAAATAAGCGGCAAATTTGCCGATTGGATCCAAAATAGTTTCTCTAAATGGCCCATCCATCTGTTTAACAGTCTCTTCATCGAAATCCCTAACAGTCTGTAAATAAATATTTCCAATGTTTGAATATATTGAGGCTCCCTGTTTAGCTTCTTCGTACAAGTTAGATACGATTTCTGCAATTGTAACTTGAGATGCTGTAACTGCTCTTAGTGAATCTAGATAACCCTTCGATGATTTCTGCAAGTTAAGTCCAGCAGTCTTCAATGTTTTGTATCTTCTTTCCTCTACATCAAAGTCTTTATCAATCGTCTTATCAACATCTTTAACGGTAACGGAGGCCCCGGCTCTGCTCACTGCCTTTTTAAATCCTTGCCAAGACATAAGTTAATGTGAAGTGTCTCTTTAAGTCAGCCAAAACCAACGTCTCTAGAAGAGCTGAAACACTGGATGGTTTTTTTTTAGTGAGTTTAGAATTAGTAATCTTGTCTGGCAAGCAAGGGTGGGAAAATGGTTTTCTTGATATCGTGCGCACACTCAATTCTTGGAGTTGATATGCGATCTAGGAAACTCAAGAGTTAGAAGGAAACTCCAAAGCGAAATGAGCAGCGATGTGGAGGTAAAATCAGAAGGCATAAAGAGCAATGATGTGACAGAGGAAGAAAACACAACATCGGCAAGCAATGAAGAATCTAAGCAAGCAAAAATTGACAAAATTCTTTCATTGAAAGAGAAATCAACTACGCTTTTGATGAATGTAAGATATACTAAAGCTTTATGTGATAAATATGAAAATGAAAATCAGTATCTACAAGATTATATCGGAAGCTTGATGCAAAATAACGAACTCAATAAATGAATAAGTGGCCGTTTACATTGCATTCATATTGCATGAAGATTGTATTTACATACCCGTTGGACACGATACACTGTAAAGTCTTTTGGATATGATCATGTTATGGGCTAATCGCTCTCAAATTCTATTTTTTGAAATAGCATTAGTTCTAGATAAATACTTGTGCTGGTTTTCTTTGACTACTTGACTATTAATAACTGCTGCATTTTAGCTTATTCTTTATTTGCATACCATATATTTCTTCTGCGAATAATTCATAATGTATGCTGCCGGCTCGCCATTTGGGTTGGCTATGAAGCTGTAGTAGTCATGGCAAGCGCATCTAAATTATATTTTATGTTTGGGGACATACTGGTAACAGTTTTTATTTGTTCCATTTGTGGACATTTCATATATAGCTTTTTATTAAAACTATCTAATACATTTTGAGCTATGTTTTATCCAACTAGTCCCTACTAATTTCTAAGAGAAGTAGGGATATCATGTATCTGAGCACTAGCAGTAAGCATTGCAACAATAATCAGGAAAACATTTATCATGTCAAGGCACTATCTACACTATCTACAATACAACAACTAGACCCAAAGACGCAGAGATTTGCAAATCTCACTTACTTGAAGCCTTCAATGAACCCTTCAATGAAAGAAAGACGTATCAAAAAGAAAGGATCTTCCATACTTGGTGTCACCTCTTTAAATGAATATCACGAGTCACCGCAGCAAGCACATTGTTCCAATTATATGAACAGTGCATCTCAAAAAAGCGAAATGAAAGATTTCCTTGGTGATATCAATGAAAAGAAAGTTTCTGTATCAGGAAATAGCTCCTGTGTTACCATTGAGAATAAATGTGACGATTTCGTGAAAGTTCGTCGTGAAATGGTTGCGAAAAACAGAATGGAAGTTGGCAAGAGGTTCAGCACTGGTAATCCTCATTTACCGAAGAGCAAAAAGGCTGGGGGAGAAGTTAATTATAGGTTAAGACGTAAAGAGGAACAACAATGTTTTGAAGACTTTGAGGAAGAAAATTCAAACAATTTTCAAAAAGACACATTTAAGTTGAGAAAATCCAAAAATTGCTTATTACAACCAAAATTTTATCCTACTTTAGTATCAGAACATCTTTTCCCAGTAATAGAAGTACAAATTTTGCCTCACATGACAGGTCCCTTGCCGGAGAATAATATCGACTTAAATTTGTCTCTTCTAGCTTCTCTTCCTAAGCGCGATGCAACAGCTCCTCTCAGCACTATTCACGATATTTTTGAAAAAACTGACAACGATGATGCCGTTCTTTTAAAATATTTGACAAATGAGATTGATGCATTGGAAATTGAATAGTTTGTTATACAGAGTGGCTTTTTCCAAATTAATCTAAGTTAGTCTTTTTTTTTTTTCGTCAAGAAAACAGTTTGAATTCTGTGTTCAAGAATATTCGACAAGTCAAGAATTTGAACACAGCTGTACAAATAAGTGAAATAGATGAAGATAAAATAAGGAGGACTTTTGATTTGATATTTTTTGGTATTATGGTCTAATATGACTATATAAATCGCTATATAATATTTTTCTTGAATTGATAATTGAAGGGATCGGGAAACCCAGTCAAAATGAAGCCTGATCTATTCTCATTGGTAATTCTTTTGAGAGTATCTCTTGTTATTTCTTGTTTTGTCCAAGTTTTAATCTTCCTTGCTAATAATGAAGAAATATAAAGAGAACAACCAGACCATGATCCTAAAGAAACATTAACCTCAAGTTCTTTAGTTGTCATGTATCTTCGAAGTTCTTGCATCATTCTCGATTTGAAACCGGGTATATGTGAAATACCCCCAGTTATTATGATATTCTTAAGTAAAGATTTACGGTAATCGATGGGGGCCGTATCTATCATAACGCGGACACTATCTAATATCTTTTTGTCATCAAAGAAGATGGACTCAACTACTTCGTAGCGTAGTCTACTTGGAATAAATACGTCTTCCATTATTTCAAAGTTCGAATTAACAGGAATCTTATCGTCATCGGACCTGACGTAAACCGCATTAACTATGAAGGACTCAATAATATCGAATAAGTTCTTGCTGTTTAATAGAATACTGTTCACTTGATCACAATTAAGCTCTAGTAATCTTTCAATGAACTTGAAATGTAACATAAGACCGGAGCAGCTATCGACTATCATTTCTGACTTAAATAAGAACATATCCATAACAGCTGAGATAGAGCTCAAATCCCATCCAAAATTAAGGACGAGCCCCGAAAAAGCATTGCTTCCAATAATGGATAGCAATGGCTCTGAAATGAATGATACAGACTTAACCTTGATATTGTTCAAAAGAATGTTTGATAGCTTAAATTTGTTTACTAATGAATAAAACGGATCAACCACTATCACTTTCAAATTTTTTGGCAGACTTACTAGTTTCTCACATATCACTCGTTTAACCATTCCAATGAGAATAAGTTCAACAGTTGGGCTAATTTCCTCTCTATTAATATGTATCCAGTTATTCAAGTTTTCGTTATATATCACAGACATTTGTTTAATTGTGTCTTCCTTCATGTAGCTTGAAATGATATCAGATTTCTGTAATTCGGTTAATGATGAATCCAGAATATTATAATAGGGGGGCAACTCTATGGTTTTGCTACCGCTTGACTTAAAATCTGAGCTGGTTGAAAGGACAGCAATGGGGTTTGGTTCTCCAGCAAACCCAGCTCTAATGAATCTAGATCCTATATCAATGACCACAGGGTAATACTCTCCCTTTTTATGTTTAGATAGCGACATGAATACATCTATGTAACTATAAGGTTCTCATGCTTGAACGTGCTTATAAACTAGTCAAAATTATATTTATTTATACGCGAATTTATATAATAAATTTCAAAAAAATTCATAATAACTCGAGTTCTTCATCATCAATATCCATGAAGTCATCAGCGATCTCTTCTTGAGCTTTATTCTTCTCATTTTGAAGTTCATACTTGACATTATGCTCCTTCTGAAATTTCAATAACTGTTCTAAGTTCCAAACAGACACGCCTTCCTGATCTTTAGGATTTGTTGGTTGAGCTAAGTTTCTCAAAAACTTAACCGCATTAGCCAAAGCCATATCCGTAGATAAATTAGTATCAGAATCATATAATGCCTGAGCAATCCACTTTGGCAACTGGCTCTTCTTCCTAGAAAATCTTCGATCTGCTAGCACCATAATTCCGTAGTCATCTTTCCCTCTCAAAACCCTTCCTAAACACTGGGCTGCATGCCTCATAGCATCGAAAGAAAGAAAATCATTTTCCCTTATTTGATAGTGATCTCTTAGGAATTCTAAACGAGCTTTCAATATTCTTGATTCCGTGTATTGAAACGGAATACCAATCATCAATACTGTTCTACCATAGTGATGATCAAAATCGATTCCTTCTGAAACCTTACCACGAGCAACAGAAAGTAACACTGCCCCTCTTCCATTGGAACAAGCGTTTCTATAAGTTTCCAATGCTAATGACGTCTCCTGTGCATCAGGTGTCTCAACCAAAATTAATTTGTGCTTCCAAACCTCATCTAGAACTCCCATCGTTTGCCACATCGATATGATAGATTCCATGTACAAATAGGACGGAAAGAAGACAACCATTCCATCTGGCGTGATCTTAGCAAACTCTATTAACAAAGAACCATAATTACGAACGACAGATGGATCATTACGGATTTCGAACCTTGATGATATTGAAACCTGATCCGAACCTTTCGTTACAATCATGGGTAAAAAAGATCGCTTCGCCAATGTCATTGTATATGACTCTTGAATGACTGTTTGGAAATTAAGCATTTTAGGGTACATATCCAAGGGGGAAATAGTTCCAGATGTAATGATGACGGATGAAAATCGATCAAATACCGGTTTTATAGCTATTGATGCATCTAAGCAAGTGAAATGCAAGATGGGGTTCGGGACGCTAGCTCCTTCAGTTTCAAATGGTTCTAAAATTAACTGAAAACCAGATTCGTACGTTGATACTAAGGTAGCAAAAGTTGCTATATCCTTCAATGCGGTGAAATCTTCGATATCTGACAATTCAAGGGTCCTAACAAGTAAAGACAATCTCTCCGAGCAAAATCTTAAGGGTTTTTTGTCAATAAAAGTTAGTTCTTTTAAATGTTGAAGAAAACTTATTGGCGTCTCACTAATAACATGCAACACTTTCATTCTAGTCTTCAAATATTCTATAAAACGTTTCAAAAATGAAATGAAGTGCTCAGCTTTTCTTATGTTCCCTGGAATAGCTTCGTCCAAGAGGTCCTGCGGCAAAGTTGGATTGCTCATAAATAATTCCTCGTTTCTTGCTATTTCGGCTTCTCTCAAGCCTTCCACTAGTTTCTCGTATTCATTCTGTAGCCTTTCACTATCTTGAGTCTTCATATCATTCACAGCAACATTTAGCTTACCAACACCCTTAGTGGCACGTTTAAGAGTATCATCCGTCAAATCTAGCGACAAGGACTCAATGCAGACATTATCAATATTGTGAGCCTCATCAAAAATGACAATACTGTCTTTTGATAATTCTCTCGATACTCGTTCAGCTATCTTTGGATCCAATAAATAATGATAAGAATAAATGATAATATTACAGAATGGAATCATTCTTCTTACTGTGAAATATGGACAAGTTCCCTTTGATTTGCAATATTTCACTAACGCATCAAAGGAATATACTCCCTCAGGAATCAAGTTATGCTGCTCATAGTTATATAATTCTTCATGAAAACTACACAAACTGTTTTCAGGAGTTGGTTCCACTTGGCCCTTTTCAATTTTTTCCTTTAGTTGTCCGTTTGTTATGCGCCTACACTTCTCATCCACAACGACCCCTTTTCGTTCTTTTGAGATTAGTGGATTTAAGCATAAATTCTTTCTACTTGTCAATCCTAATCCTCTGAAGTCTTCCACATATCCTAATTCATCAGTTCTGTACTCCATTAGCTTATGCAACTCAATCAACGCTTTTTCTATTTCTGACATCGTACGAGAACAGTAGACAATCTTTCTATGCTCTGGATAATGCATCTGGTATGCTACCGTTAGCGATAATAAAGAAATGGTCTTACCTGTACCTGAAGGCATTTCTAATATACAATTTCCACCAACATCTAATGTCTTCTTTATATCACACATATAAGCATACTGCTCAGGATATATCCTAGCATAAGGAAATAGAACAGGTAAATCATCGATGAAAAACTTCATTACAATGAACCGATATTGATGGCAATGAATTTTAATCTAAAATTGAATAATTTGCGATATAAAAAGAAGACTCGAAAAAACTGAATCAAGAAACTACGACAGGCAAATATAGCAAAGAGCAAAATATTAATTTGCTGAAATCTAATGTATTTAATGTTATGTTCATTTGCAGAATTTATCTATCACCATCTTTCTTATTTTTGGGAAAATAATATCAGAGGTGGCACCAGATACAACTTCTAATATGCCTTTATCTGAATAAAACTTTCTCAAAGGCTTAATCTCGGTATTGTAAAGATCAAGCCTTTTCTGAAAGACTTCAGCAGTATCGTCGACCCTTTTTGACAATGGCTCCCCAGTAACGTCATCTTTAAAAGGAATCTTTGGAGGATTATAGTCTAAGTTATAAACTCTTCCACTGGGGATATGAACCCACCTCGCTTCAATTCTTTGTAAAATAACCTTCTGATCAACATCTAGCTCTATTACAAGGTTTAGACTCGAATTTGATTTGCTCAACACTTTATCTAGGGCATCCGCCTGATTTATGGTTCTGGGAAACCCGTCGAGCAACCAGCTGGCATCCTTGTGAAGCCAACTAGATGCATTCAATTGATGCGTTATTAAGCTCACCATTACGCTATCAGGTACCAATTGTCCCTTTTCAATGTAACTTGAAGCTTTTTTACCAAGATCAGTGGCCAACGAGATCTGAGTTCGCAAGACATCTCCCGACGATAGGGAATTGAGAGTAGGAAATTGTTTAAGTAACCTCGAAGTTTGAGTTCCCTTTCCAGATCCCGGTGCACCCAAAAGCAATACTCTTAAGGGCCGGACAAGTGACATGTTCTTTCACTGTAAAATACTTTTTTACCCTTCCAATTTGTTTCTTAAATTGTTTATTATAAATTCGTATTTTTACTCACAAGACTACCCCGGCTCGAAATCAAACCTCTACTTGGAAGAGATAAACGTAATCTGGGGTATCTAGCATGAAATACACCACAAGAAAACCAAGACAATTGACAATGAAGAAGAGCTACATTTATTATTAAACACCCTATCAAGTTTATTAAAAGAATTGAAAACAAAAATCCATATAGAAAAAGCTATTTATGATCTTCTAAGTTTGCACGAATCACGCCAGCATATGTTTTCGTGAAGAAGTAAAATAGCACCAATGAAACGCATTAGAAAAAGGATCTGAACCTAAAAGTAGTCAGTTATATACGCCTATTACCGTAAGTTGCTAGAGAAGGAGTTAACTCGGGGTATTCTGAGTACTATGATTTTAGATCATACAATCACACAGAGATGTGGATAACAGCCTGGACGATAGCCTCTTTGGTCCTTGTTCCCTTGAGATTTCTTAGAATTGTTGTTGTTATTGTTGTTGTTTTGTTGTGCAGCCATTTTAAAGTAATGATTCTTTGTAATGAAGTAAGCATCAACCATAAAAACTAGGCCATCAAGCGTTTATATATTACAAGAATTTCACTCAGCCATTAATTAGGGGCCATTTCATGTTATCCCTTCGAAGTGCCAGTGGAAACGATTAATAAACATCAAGGCGGCTCAGACTTTTAGTGATGTTGTCGAGCTAGTTGCACTTTCCCGATTCGATTATGTCAATGTCACAAGTGTTGCGAAAACCAGACAACGTAAAATTGGTGGTTATCAATTGACTCAAAACAGTATGGAAGTTGTGTCAAAAACTCCCTTGTTGCACTGAGAATTATTCTTGTCACTTCCTTTAAATGGCTTGACAATACATAATATTACTATTTTAGCGTCCTTAACTTAAGTATGCGTCTTCATATAGAAGAAATGAGAAATAACCTTGAAGTCTTGTTAATTTTATTATAATACACAGCTAAGCTACCTAAAGTGCCCAGACAACAGAGTACATAAACTTTATCTTATTCTTCGTCTTCGTCCGAATCCACAATTCTTCTTCTTTTCCTAGCTAGCCTAGAAGCTTCTTCATCTGATCCCACTTCTTTCAGTGATGCATCCTCGTGGTACTTCGCAGCTCCTTCTTCCTTTAGTTGCCTTAATCTTTCAGCCCCTCTTTCTGCATCTTCTTCATTCTCACTTTCAAGTTCCTCCTGGTCATCGCCATCTTCTACTTCCTCCTCTTCCTCTTCATCGTTGGCTATGAAATCGTCTTCCTCGTCATACTCGTCATTACCATAAGTTCTTGCAAACCTTTCGTATGTGGTCTCATCATAGCCATTTCCACCTGCGCCTGTAACAGGACTATTTGTCCGTTCGAGACGCTCTTCTTGTAATCTCCTCTTCAGCTCAATTTGTCTCTTTAATTTAAGTGACTTCCTTTCATTTTCATCTGCCAATCTTTGTTTCAACAATGGATCATCTTTTGTTATTGTATTCAAAATTTTATCCTTCTTCTGAATACTCTTGACTGCTTGAGTCAACTTTCTATGTGTCGAAGTAAATGTCGATGCCGGTATCAAGTTTACTGACTTGTTTATAGCTGTGTCACATTGCAAAATCTCCAAGCTTTCATGTGACCTTACCAAGTACTGATCAGACAAGGGCTGTTGCTTATAATCAAAGAACTCACTTCCAATCTTAAGAGAAATGGTGCCATCGTCCCATTGAACAAAGTGAGCATTTGACTGTTTAATGATCTCATCATTTCCACTATTAGAATACCTCCATCTGATGGTATTTTCATTCATCAATTTTTCTGCGATTAACTCATCTTTAATCTGTTTAGATGTCAAAGAAGATTGCGACCTTTCTGCTGCAGTTTGGGTCAATCTATCCTTAAATTCATTGGCATCGAATGGATGTGCATCAATATTCAAGAAAACCGGTAACTTGAGAACATAAGTATCACTTTCGACCTCATTTGCCATTGCATGACGTGGCAAAGATAAATCTGAGCTTCTTATCTCTTTAAGCTCTTCTTCTGACTGATCTCCTTCTTCGTCACTTTCGATTTCGACTCCTTCAGATTTCGCTTCTCTCACTTGCTCTTCAGGTTCACCCTCATCCCCAAACAAGTCATCCACTTCTTCACTTAAGTTAGGGTTGGCATTACTTTCCTCTCCATCTGACATTTTAGCTCTAAATCGTTAGCCAAATGCTTCTTTTATTCTGTTATTTTTTGTTAATTTACGTCGCAGGTGAGCCTGTAACTGAAAAATTCAAGACCAGTCTACTCGGTAATTGCACAGAAATTTTATAGAGACATGATTAACATTATTTCATTTAATACAGCGATAGAAAAGAAGATAGGAATTGAAGATACAGTCTATAAACTCACAAACTTAAATATACACATCACATAATATCAATATATAATAATCTTACACTATTCGTTACATTTCTTTTGCATCAGATGTAGGCTTGGACACCACGATGGCTACATTAGGATTAACTTCCACGGCTGGGATTGAAATATCACTCGGTTTGGATTCAGATCCATCTGAATTTTTACCATTGGGTGTATCCTGATCTCCTAGAGTCAATTTGTCAATATTGGCACTGTCCAAGTCAAGATTATCAACCTCATTATCGTCATCTGTTATTTCAAAGTCATTATCGGAATCAAGCATTAATATTTTCTTAGTTCCAGAATTGCGTTGATAGCCAATCAAATCATCATGATTGTTGGACGAGGATAATGACTTACTGTGATGTCTTTTGAATGGAGGAAGTTTTGGTTTGTTCAAAATTTCACTTGAGCCTACCTCAAGCGGAGTAGTACTCGTCGACGTAGTGGTGCTTTGATTTGTCGTTTCTTCACTTGTTTGCGGCTGCATTTTGCTTTCTAACAGCTCTGGTGGCATGTTTTGTGGATTTTGGTTTGGGAGTAACTTGTAAGCGTATCGTATCAAGAATTCGACGACGGATTGAGATAATGCATATTCTATTGGATCCATATCATGATCTGGATGAGACAAAATTGAAGGCTGAAAAATAGCTGCCAAATTTCTAGATGACATTAAATTTTCGGCAGAATTATTTTGAACCATGGCTAGCAAATCCAAAATATAAAATAATAATTGCTTTGAAAGAATTGGTAAGTCATTATCTACCATTTCCTTATATTCATTTATAGCATCATAAACGTCTCGGGTTAACTTTTTATAATTTTTTGCTTTTCTTACAGATTTTTTGTTCTTATCGGCTTTGGTAGAATCCGCACATATGAGTGACTCTTCTTGTTGTGAATCACCATTCTTGGCCTGCTGAGGATCACTACGAGGTGAGTTTGAGGAAGCAGAGGTATTCCAACGTCCCATATTTGCCTCTGTTAGCGGTTGCGCTTCCAGTGTATCTAGTAATTCATTCAGTGAATCAGGATGACTTAACGCTGTAACCTCTTGGTCAGAAGAAGCATTTGATGGCCCTTTTATTGAAGTAGGTATACTTTTGTTTGGGTTCTCTGCCTTGTATTTCATGTAATTTATTATTCTTGGTCTCTTTCTTAATGCATCCCTGAATTCTTCATACATGTCCAATGGTATTAAAGGCTCCGGTAATGAATTCAAGTAGCGTCTTAATATCGACGCTGCATCGTGAACAGTATATCCATCCCAATTCAATTTTTTACCGAAATCCGGGGGTGAGTTGAAAATTATTTGAAGCTCTTTAAGTCTCTTCGATGAACCCCCTACTCTAAAGATACCTTCTACCTTAAGACCATGTGCTTTTAAATAGAGGCCGCATTTAGCAACCACTATAGGAATTTCACCGTATTGAAGAACATGGTTCCCTTTATCATTATTTAAAATTGATATTTTGGCTGACGCTTGATGGATAGCATCTTCCAACGGAAGACCAAAATATTTGCTGTTTTCGTCAACGACGGCATTACTCTGAAAGAAAGAATCCCTATGCTGTCTTATACTAGAGCTTTTATCTGACTGATTGAAAGAATTCGATCGCTGCCTGCTTACATTATTTGTGGATCTCGACTTATGGTGTAACAAAGGTCTGAGAAACTCTTGATGAGGGTTTGAATGTGAGTGTGGCAGCGTAAGGGGGTATAAATTCGTTGATTTCGTAGGCGATGGATTGCTGTTCTCGTTGTCTGATAATACGTCGTCGACACTTTCATTTGACGTTAAATTACCCTTCTTTAAGTTCTTCACCCACCCAAATATCGAACTGCGGTTCGTGGGTGACAGCGAATGACTCATAGTTATATGGGCGATTGTTTAGTTCACTATGACACTTAGCTGTCTTTATAGCACTTGAAATATTTTGCCTTGTTGATTAAAAAGAAAGGGAAAAAGAAAACAGGTTGTTTTGTTTGTGAGGTACTCTAAATTTTATCTCAGCTTTTTGTCGAATTTGAGCAATGAAATTGATCAACTACACCAAGTTAATCAGACTGATTCCATAAATTTAACCTCTGGCTGGATTATCTTGCTGTGAGTGTCCAGAATCTGTAAATGTGTTTCGATGTATCAATCACCGCAGTTTGTAGGATTATTAGATAATTTAACACTCACTCGAGCACACATAAATGGACAACAATAACTGAAAGGAGGAGTAATACTAGAAATAAACTGAATGAGGGTTACAAACGTCCTAATTGAAGTTTCGAAGATAAATCTGCAAATACAGGCAGTATATAGAGAGTTGCTCAAGATATAGATTAAAAATAGCGTGGCCTTGTTTACTTGTGCCAGTTGCTGCCTCTTATTAAAGCCATGTCCCAGGGGCGGGAATTAACTGATGACTGTTTATGAGCCACGTCCTCGCTAAAATGTCGCCTGGCGCAGCACGCAAAAAAAAAGTATCTAATTTGATTACTGTGTTGCCTATGCCTAGCCCATCCTCTAGATGATGCATGACAGTAGAGAACTAAATAGGACGAGGCTAATCAGGTCACCTGAAACGTCAATAGTAGAGATCTTGAGAGAAATGTAGAAATCTAGAACTACATCGGAACAAACTTGGAGAAGTTACCCGATTGAATATTAATAGAACATTTTAACTACTGTATTAATTACGTGTTTATTAGTTTAACTTAACGTAATTTCCTGGAAAAACTCCAGTCTGACCATTATATCTTCCTGTCCACCAGCCATTTGCATCGGTAGTCCTATCGATAACTTCAATTACGGCACCAGCACTAAAAGACAAATCCTCTTGGGCTTGAGCAGCGTAATCGTACAATGCAGTACAAGTCTGCGCGCCAGCAGTAGAAGGTGTAACGGGCATGCCTCCTGGAACTGGAGTGCTGGCAATTGGGGAAGTTATCGCGGAGCCATAAGAAGAAGGAGAAGCGGCGGAAGGTGCTGCACCGTATCCAGTCGATATCGGAGTCGGTGCTTGGCCATACGCTCCATACGTGGGAGATGTCGCTCCTGTTGGCTGTCCGTAAGCCGTTTTCTGATCGTATACAGGTTGTTGACCGTATGCTGGTTGCTGCTGGCCATATGCTGGCTGCTGCTGGCCGTATGCTGTTTGCTGTTGACCATATGCTGGTTGCTGGCCGTACTGAGGAGAGCCTGGACTGTAGGGTGGGAGCAGTTCATGAGTCGAGGTGGGACTCAGTGCATTCATGAGGGCATGACGCCTCTTCGTGGCTTCTAATTTAGACTTTGCATGTCCTACCTTGAAGTGTGTAATACCAATAGCATCAGTCTGTTCTTCTATATTTCCCTTCTTGAAATGATAGGATTCAACGACGTCCGCCGAAAGATCTCCAAAGTAAGGGATTTTTAATTCCTCCATTCTATTATACAATGTGTAAAAAATGTTCAACTGCATGTAATAGAAACTGACAAATAAGGGCTTTATGAAATCGGATTGCATTTGGAACAACACTGGAAGTTCTTGCTTTAACATTTCATTGTAATAATCATACTCTTCTTGGGCAATCTGAACTTCGGCCTCAGCACTGTACATTTTCTCCTCATCTTTGGGGGTTCTCTCTTTCTTTTCTTCGTATTTTTTATAGGTTCTCTTCCGACGATCCAAATCTACTTGTTTATGATCCCTTTTAGTGGCCATTTTTCTGATAGATTGAATAACCTTCAAGAGCTCCTGTGCCGGGTCCACAATTCTTTTCTCAATGAGCTCCAAATCAGGTTGTAGTTGGTCTTTCAAACCTTTAACCACTTCTCTGTACAGCTCCGAGGCTTCAATACCATCTGGATTGTCTTCAGGTACTGTAGCGTTAGGGTCTGACAATCGTCCACTAATAGGTTTATATATCTCTTCTATGGCATTGGAAAAGTCAATTTGGAAGTCAAGAACACCATTCATAGCAGAAAAATACCTCTTAGACTCTTCACTCAACTTCTTTGTTTCCGTCTCCAATTCCTTGAATCTCCTCTCAGCATCAGCATATACTGGATCCTGGGTAATTTCCCCCATATTCATTTTCTGACGGAAATTCTGTGGAGCCCTTACAATGGACTTCTTGATTCCTTTGAAAGACATCTTGCTAGTTTCTATTATATACTACAATGACCAATTGGTGAACGGACAAGCTGATCCCTGCTATCAAACAACTAATAACAAGTTTCATTCGTTTGTTAAGGAGCTGAAAGAGGGCAACCTATAGGTCGTGTCATGGTCGATATCAATTTTGTGACCAGTAATGTGCTGCTTTACTACTATCACCGAGTTGCAATCTTGAGTTCAAAGATTAAAGAAATGAACTAAGATATGGTAATAATTGACTAAATATACTATTACGATTAGAGTCAACTAATTGTGAAAAACAAAACTTTCAGATAATGGTTTGACTCGAATTTATCAGCAAAGGTTCAACACATTAATATACTTAATAGATGGGCCATTTACATGGGGCACCACAAGAATCCTTTTAGAGCGATATGAAAGTGTTTTAAAGACAGAAATAAGAAACATTATTGTAGACGTAAATAGTTATGTATTTGTCTCAAGTATTAGATACACTTGAATATTATTTCCAAATTTTGCAGCTTTGTTCAAAATTATGCAAAATAGACGAAACAAACATAAAGGTATAAAGAACTGAAATTACAATTCATAAATTAGCAAATAATGTCAAACATACTCAATTGAAAATTGAAGAGCTTTTGATTACTTCAAGGATTTGAATTCTACGGCCAAAGGTTAATGCCATTTTCCCCACAGAATAGGTGAATAAACATTCCCTTTTAACTTACAAATGTGGTCAAAATAACTAAAATTGCTTCATATTTGACTTACCGAACAGTATGACTACCAAGAGCAAGCGGAGATAATACGCCTAGATCCCAAAATAAATTCTTATATCATACTCTGCGGATTTGACGGCTGAGTTGATAGGTCATGTATGCTCCGATGATATTGATCACGAGACTTGGCAGCATTTTTTTTTTTCTAGATGCCTAGAGAGCCGAGCTCGCTCTACGGTTATAAATCACATCTTTAGTGACATAATTTTCAGAAAGAGAACGATATGCTTGAGATTCCTAAAATGAGGGACTATGACGTCTCTTCGAAGACAGGATTCTTACCTTCGGAGTTGCCGCTTTGCAGACTTCCTCAAGAATACTTCAAGGTGTGGGAAGATTTAGTAAATAACTTACCATCATTAATATTGACAAGACAGATCCGGAGATTAGTGGATGAAAAATTGAAAGTTTTAAGCACCAAAGAATTACAGGGCGTAAGACAGTATCGTAGGGCATATCAGATACTTAGCTTTCTTGCACATGCTTACATATGGGGTGAAGAGCCAACGATTAATAGACTTCCAGAACAAATTGCAAAACCTTTGATAGAAGTGGCAGATGTATTGGAATTGCCTCCCGTTGCAACTTATTCTAGTTTATGTTTATGGAATTTTAAGGAGATCATGCCAACCGAGGATGGAGAAGAGTTTTGGGATTTGAACAATTTGACGACAATCAATACTTTCACAGGCTCAATAGATGAAAGTTGGTTTTACTTGGTCAGTGTTTTCTTTGAATATAAAGGTGCATATGCTATGAAAACTGGACTTGAGGTTATTGAAAGTGTGCTTGAAGATGATGTTGAAAAAGTAACGAACAATTTACAAAAATTAGCTGAACTGATCGATCATTTGGGTTCCATTATGATGAAAATGGAAGAAATGTGTGATCCTCATATCTTCTACTTTAGAATTAGACCTTTCTTAGCTGGCTGGAAGAATATGGCAGACTTTGGACTAGACAAGGATGGGGTGATATACGGTACTGAGACGATACCAAGATCATATGCTGGTGGATCTAATGGACAAAGTTCTTTAATTCAATTTTTGGATATTTTGTTAGACGTGAATCATTATTCAACTGGTGAGAGGCCATTGCCTCATCAGCTTCGGACTCTGGCCGAGGGGTCTAAGAGCAGTTTCCCAGAAGAAATGAGGTCTTATATGCCTGGTCCTCACAGAAAATTTCTAGAGAGATTAGAGGAGATATCCAACATCAGAGAATACGTTTTGGCCCACAAGGACACTTGCAGTGAGATGACTTTGAGTTACGATGCATGTTTAGCAATGATGAAGCTGTTTAGAGATAAGCATATTCAAATTGTTACACGTTATATTGTATTGCAGGCCAAACAAAGTACAAGGATGGGTTCAACTTCAACTCTTAGATCGGGCTTAGCGAAGCACAGAAAGAATTCCATGGAAGAGGAAAGAGGAACTGGAGGAACAGCTTTATTACCGTTTTTGAAGCAATGCAGAGATGAAACTGGTGACCCTGCAGCTGGTAACTGGGGTAAGAGGATTCTCAGTGACGGTGTAATGAGATTAAAATATTCTAAACCAAGTTATATCAACGAAGACTAACTTATACAAAATTTATTTCATTATATTACCTTTAAAATGACATTTTATGATCTTGATTTGCAATGAAGTAGTTATGCGGGCTCTTTTAGAGTATAATAACCAAAATTTTTTTTTTTTGTTCAATTTTTTTTTGATAGCTCTTAGAATAGATATTAGATCCTATCAAAAGAAACTTTAATTAATGTAGAAGACCATTACAGTTGGAATTTTCTTTATCCCTTTTCCCTCTGAATCTTATCATCAAGATATCGAGTGACTCACTGAATCCTAAATTTTTTTTTTTTTAATTTTTTTTTTAATTTTTTGCGCTAACGACCATAATATTAAAGTTTTGAACGTCTCAGAAGGTTTATGTTGTTAAGGCTGATAGTCCTACGAAATAGACTACAAATAATCAGAAATATGTCTACAGAGGTGAATTCTATATCAAAAGGATCCGGAAAACCAGCAGGTGCCGGTGGAACCACACAATCGAGTAGAAAGTCGAAGAAACAAGAATCCCAATTTCTTTTAAAAACGCCAAAGGGAACGAAAGATTGGGCCGATAAAGATATGCTTTTGAGGGAAGCGATATTTGGTAAATTGAAATCTTTATTCGGAAGACATGGAGGAGTTACTATTGATACTCCCGTATTTGAGTTGAGGGAGATTTTGACTGGAAAATATGGCGAAGACTCTAAATTGATTTATAACTTAGAAGACCAGGGTGGTGAATTGACATCCTTGAGATATGACTTGACAGTCCCATTTGCTAGGTTTGTCGCATGTAATAGTATCAGTAGCATTAAGAGGTATCACATTGCTAAAGTTTATAGAAGAGATCAACCTGCGATGACCAAAGGCAGAATGAGAGAATTTTACCAGTGTGACTTTGATATTGCTGGATCATACGATACAATGATCCCAGATTCAGAGATCTTGACTATTTTGTGTGAGGGTTTGACAAGTTTAGGGATCAATGATTTCAAGGTAAAGGTCAATCACAGAAAAATTTTGGATGGTATATTTCAGGCCTGTGGTGTTAAAGACGAAGACGTCAGAAAAATCTCCTCAGCAGTCGACAAGCTTGACAAATCCCCATGGGAAGCAGTTAAGAAGGAAATGGTTGTCGAGAAGGGCCAACCTGAAGAAGTTGCAGACAGAATAGGTCAATTTGTAAAACTCCGTGGTACTATTCGTGAGACAATAAAACATATCAATGAGAGCGATTTATTGTCCGCAAATGAATCAGTTCAACAAGGTGTCCAAGAAATGTCTATTTTGGCTGATTATGTCGAAGCTTTTGATATTAGTAAATTTATATCCTTCGACTTATCTCTAGCTAGAGGCTTGGACTATTACACTGGCCTTATTTACGAGGCCGTAACATCTGCTTCTGCTCCTCCTGAGAATGCAAGTGAATTAAAAAGCAAGGCTCAGAAGGAGATGAAGGCAGAAGAAGATGCTTCCGAATATGTTGGAGTTGGATCAATTGCCGCCGGTGGCCGTTACGACAACTTAGTGGGAATGTTTTCGAATGGAAAATCAATCCCTTGTGTTGGAATATCATTTGGCGTTGAAAGAATTTTCTCTCTTATCAAAGCTCGAGCTGCGAAGGAGCTTGATAAAATCAGTTCATCTGAGACTGACGTTTATGTTATGGCATTTGGTGGTGGCCAGGGATGGGATGGCTTCTTGAAAGAAAGAATGTCGATCGCTAATATGTTATGGGAATCAAATATCAATGCAGAATTCTTGTATAAGACAAAGCCTAATATTCGAAAGCAGTTTGATGCTGCAGAGAAGGCAGGTGCTAGCATTGGTGTCATTCTCGGGAAGGAAGAATTTCCTAGTGGACAGATTAGAATTAAACTTTTGAGTCAAGGTGCAGAGAGTAATGATGGAGAACTTGTAAATATAGAGGACCTAGTCGAAGAGGTGAGCTCGAAACTTGCAAAGTTCAAAGAAAATGGAGATGATATTACCCGTTTGATTAAAGGATTGTCCCTAAGTTCATAAATTTTTTCATATTTATATATTGACATACGAAAGAATTAATTTATCTATAATTTTCCGAAGCCTAGTAGATTGCTTCTTCAATTAATTCTGGTCAAGATTACCGATTTTATGCCCTTGTTTTTCTTTCCCTGTTCTTTTGACCCTATTCCATAACGAATTAATGTCATTTAAACAAAACCACCAAATAACTCCGCACCAAGAATCCACAGAAGGTAAAGGATCATAGAATTCTGAAGCAATGCTTCTTAATTTTGGTAGTTTGGTCCAAGCGATATATGGAAAATCGTGATGTTCATTGTGATAACCCACATTCCAAGTAACGTAATTTAAAGGTCCGTAATAAGAATAGGTCTCAGGGGGAGGAATCTCAATATTTCCTGTCTTCTTTTCCTCAATATCTCCTGATCTTGGTTTGTTGTTATCATTCAATGCATAGTGTTCAGCAATAAAATGACCGGCACACGGATGCAACGAACCTGCCAAAAACGAGCTCATTACGAAGTAAAGTAAAGAATTCTTGCCCCAGTAAGTTAAAATCAAGTAATCAACAATTACCTGATTTATAACGTTTAGTAAGTGTATGTAAGTGAATTTTATTTGGGTAATGAACATTGGTCTTAATGCATAGAAAAAAATTTGAAAAATTGCAAAGAACAACTTACCTAAACTATTGGACAAAACAATGGCCTCGAAGTTAGTTGGAAGGTCAGTGTCCAAATATTCATCTCCCAAGAATTTATGATGAAGCTGATGATATGGTTGGAATGATGCAGAATATGGGATTCCTATAGGAATATTGGTGAATATTGCAAATATTTTATTGTGAAAAGGCTTTTTGAAAAGTAAATTATGTGACAACTCATGGATCGCAAGGAAAATAGCTTGATTCAGGGTGGCTCCAACGACATAAGCTAAAGTGAGAAATTTTATAGACATAATTGGTGTATTTCTCAATGAATATGCAACAAAAAGCTGTAATGCAACTACTCCTATCACGTACCATTTAGTCTTCGGCTCCCAGCCTGTCAATTTTCTAACCTCTGGGTACTTGGCCAATATCAATTTCCTCCTACTTACATGTGGTTCCTGGTCTTTGGTCCAGTAAAATTCATTTAAGATCTCAATTGGAGCATCAGCTGGCGGTGTTTCAAATTTATAAGTCTTGTTAGATGATCTATGTGTAATGGAAGACATACTTTGCTGATTATTTAATTTTAAGCTTGGTTAAGTCAATCTAGCTTACCCTTTTCAAATTGAATGTGAATCTAATCAAGATACCTAAATTGCAAACGTTTTTACCGAGATCTGAATGAAAAAATCCACGTAATTTTTTATCTATACTTTTAATACGCAGTCAATAATATGGTGATCACACATAAGAATATATAAAAGATGGATAGATCGTACATTTCTTATATACACATCGATATTTAGAACTTAGAGAGGTCATGAGAATACTGAGAGCTCAATTATTGATTTGAAGGACTCGAAATGGGCCTTTCTTCGTTCTGATAGAGGGGTTGAACGTGGTTTATTGATTGAAATACAGCTTGCCCATGACCTTGGCCCTGTAGGGCTGAAGGAAACGAGGGACCATAATGCTGAGGTTGATAGGTCTGCGAATAGCCGTGGTTCACCAAAGGAGACGTCGGATGGCTCATAGGACTTGGAACTGCAAACGTATTGGATGGTGGATGATGGGCCATATCCCAATGTGATGATGGTTGTTGTACTTGTGGCCCTGGCAAATACATTTGTGGATTATAAGTTAATTGATGTTGAGGATAATAGCTTTGTCTTATTGGGTAAGGGTGCTGCGGAAGCAGGACAGGTGCAGTAAGAGATTGCGTTGACTCCATAGAATGACCAAGATGCCATCTCTGTTGTGCACCTAAATTTTCGGCTTCAGATATCACAGAGCTTTCGACCACCTGGGACAATTTATTTGAATTATCACTTCCAGTGACAGAGACAGAACTATCCTTAGAATCACTTGAAATGTGCTCTTTTAATTCCAAACTGTGGTTGAGAATGTACAGCTCAATTTCTTCCAACGAAGTTGGAATTACCTGTTTTTCAGCGTTGTTTTCTTTAGTATTATTCGAAACGATTACATCTTTTCTAGCAAGAGTCTCTGGATTATTGCGATTTTCAGCTTTTCTTGAATAAGGCGCATCATCTCTCTTAGATTGACGTCTAGTCCCTTCTTCTATCTGCCTAGGAGTCTTGGATTTGCTTACAAATTTCCCAGTCTCAAAAATAAAAGTATAGTTGGAAACACTCTCTAATAATCTTTTTCCAAGTAAAAGAATAGCATGTATACGCAATTTATTTTCGTAGTTTAATACCTTGGCTGAAATCACCAACGACGATGTGTTCTGTTTTTCTTCTTCATTTAGTTGAATAAAAGAAGGTACGTCATTCTTGCAGAGACAACGGTAATCCCCAACTAGAATATCAATGTTATTAGCTTTGAATAAATGATCATCTTTAAAATCTTTAAACTGAAATTTAATGAGTGATGACTCTCTTAAATGTACGTCTTCATCAAAATAATATTCTCTAAGTGGTCTGGAATTTGATTTCAAAAAGTTAACGATGACATGTCTTGATTCGGAATCTAAAAGTTCGACTGTATAGTTCATCAATTTAGCCAATTTATTAACTGCTGAAGCAGAACTTTGAAACGATTTTAGTGCACTTTTTTCTTCTTTCAACCAATTCAAAAGCAATCTCAAAGTCTTCAAGGTATCAGTATTCTTTAACAAATTAACATTTTTGCTTACTATGCTACTAAGTAAATTTTCAATTATTCGAAACGAGAAATTGTTGAAACTTGATTTTACGTCAATCGGAGCGTCCATAGATTCGTTGAGGCACTTCCTAAAAGAAAGAAGAACTTCTAGTTGTTTCACTAAAAATGAGCCGCTGACATTAACTGATGGATTATCATTTTTGAGTTCATCTAAAAAGTCTCTGATATCCTTATAATAACTCGCCTCCACTTCACTAAACTTCACATCCTTCACAATAATGGGCCCTCTCTTATTAGTATCTAAAACAAGATGACCAATCATACAAATAAGCTTAATATGCATCTCATCTATCTTATTAAAACCCAAGGGACCTTTTTTGCTCAGATTTGATCTTTGAAAATCAACCAAATTAGTGACAAACCATTTCTTTCTCATAACGGAGAGCAAATTGTTTAGACCCAATTTATTATCAGAAAGCCTCGTCAACAGAGACCTCAAAAACCAGAAGACTGCTTCAAATTTATCGTCAGTCTGATTATAAATCATTCCAATCCGATTGTAAGGCTCATTTAATGCAGGTAAAATCAAGATACAAAATTCATAAAACTGAAGAGCCTTGCTGTAGAATGGCAACATCAATGATGATTTCTCTTTATTTGACAACGAGCGATATTTAAAAAAATTCTTTGAGGAAATAGAAGGTTCAACGTATGCAAGCTCAATGAAAGTCTGATGACGACAGAGATCTCCTAATGAGAGCAAGCATCTATGTATGAGATAAATTATATTTGCTTGCACATTCGTATTAGATATCTTTATGGCGTTATTTGGAATACTAAAGTCGAAGTAATCTAAGACTTTCGATGGAATTAGAGGATTCTTGAAGTGTGTGATCAAATATTTCAATAAGACCAAATAGAATTGATAGATCTGCTTATTCAACTTCAAAAAATCTGTATTCAATTTGCGCATTTCCACGGGCCTTACTTTAAACTTAAATAACTTATCCTTCTGAGATTTGTTAAAATCATCAAGGATCTCGTTGTAAAATGCGGCATGATGATATTGAAAGAATTTGATTATTGGATACTGAAAATCAGCCCAAAGAGAATCAAAGAATGCAATAGTAGTAAATTCTATGGCAGGAGAGTCCTTTTGCTCACCGTTGTCACAGTACCCATTAAGATCAGATAAAATCCATGTTTGAAACTTGGACTGGACAACATTGTTGAAACCAAGCAAAAACAGCTGATCGATAAATTTCTTGTCAAAAAAATCAGCTAGCTGTGACTTTAAAAGCTTTAATTCATCCTCAAAAGCTACCATGGCTGAGGTTGACTTGTATCAGGATGTAAATTTAGGATATATGTATAATTGCAAAATCATTAACTTTAATTTAACATCATAAAATAATAATTTCTTAAGCTCTGAAGACCAATTTAACTTCACAATTTCTTGAAACCGTATACTTTTGATCACACCAGGTGCTTGATATAGCTCCAATGACTTTTATTGCTTAGAGCCGTTTAATTGTCAAAAATGACTATGTGGTTCGGTAATCTTAAAAATTTTCGTCATCCTCATATACACTACTCAACATGGTTTTGTATTACGAAATGGCGACTATCAGTTGATGATGTAAAGGGTGTGCGTAAGTTAAATTTATATAAAGCATTCTCATGTGTCGAGGTGTGACATATGAGCAATAGTTCAGAATAATTGAGGTTCTGTGATGAAGAGCGACAAAAACTTGGACAATGGTACGTCAAGACTAGCGGAAAGAGAGTTTGTACCAAGACGAATCCGATTTTGGCGATTACTTGTCGTGATCTTATTGTTGGTGTTCATGTTTACCCCTTTATGGTTGAGGTTCCGGCTTCTGCGTAAGCCGAAATCTACTCATGGGTGGTCTAAGACACATAGCGACAATATGCCAAAATTAGAATTATCTGACCACCCCAATGCCGACGTCGTAGACTCGAAAGCACGAGTGGAAGAAACTGGGTTAGTGCTCGTACTGTAACTACAAATAGAGTAGGCTAACAATATGAATATGCAGTATCACTTTAATACATGTCCATTCTACTAAATCAAGAGCCACTTTTGGTATAAATAACATCCAGTTACTCAATTATCTGATATGAAATTGCATCGTATTACTCTTTTCATTACTCGCAAACTTGCAAACTAAAGTAGGACTAGACTTACCTCTGTCAACTAATAATGGTTGACTTTGCTAAAAAAATAATTTCTTAAGCCCCGAAGGACAATTTCATTCAGGTTTCTTGAAACCGTATACTTTTGATCACACCAGATGCTTCATATAGCTCCAACGACGTTTATTGCTTAGAGCCGTTTAATTGTCAAACAATGACTATGTGGTTCGGTAATCTTAAAAATTTTCGTCACCCTCATATACACTACTAAGTATTGGTTTTGTATTACGAAATAACGACTATCAGTTGATGGCAAAATGGTGGCAATTTCAGCATTGTTACTTAATATCATTGGCGGTCGGAGACACTAGAAGACTTTAAACTTTCAATAGCTGTCTATTTAACACCATGTCAGAGGAAGCTTTTAAAGTTAAAGTTTATGTCTATGATTTAACACATGGATTGGCTGCCTTATATTCGCCTATGATATTAGGAACAACGATCGATGCCATATACCACACACTGGTGGTAGTTTACAACAAAGAGTATTACATTGATCAAGGAATTAAAGTTACTTCACAGCCAGGCTCAACGAAATATGGAATCCCTAAGGAAGTATTAGACCTCGGGGAAACTTATATTACTGAAGATATCCTTGACGAGTTCTTGCAAGAATTGAAAGATCGAGAAGATCAGAAGTACCACGCCTCGAATTATGATTTATTTGAAAATAACTGTAATCACTTTACAGACGTCGTTCTTGAATTCTTGGTAGGAAAAAACCTTGAAGACAGAATATTAAATCTTCCTCAACAGGTATTACTGACGCCAAGAGGACAGATGTTGCACCAGTTAATAGGAAACGGTGCTCTAATATAGTCACAATATCTCGAAACACGCTAGAAGATATTAAAATGGCACGGAATGCCGGTTGTGTCTCAATAAAAATCTCTTACAACTCCCTGTTTCGTAAATTTCCCACATAATTCGGTATAGATATTGACCACTTTTTGCTGTAAAAAGAATTCGATTCGAGTAATTTATTTTTTTGTTTATTTGCTCCTAAGAGAACGAAACAGAAGCGATAAGACATTACAGTTATGGACAATCAGGCAGTAAGTAGAGAATATATAAACTATGCTAATAGAAAAAAAAATCGTATTTCCTGGATTCTAACACATTAATAGGCAAATTCACGTTTAAACACGACATCGGGTCAGTCAAATACACTGATTGACAGCTCAATGTTATCAAATTACGGAGCTGATAACAGTGGCCTGTTACTAGGATTACAGTCAAGCATGGATTCCAATTATTTTCAAGACCTGAGCAAGAATCAGCTGGCTAAGTTTTGGCAGTCCTCTCCCATGGGTAACTATTTGCAAACACCAAATTTCATGCCTCCTTCTGTGAACAACCGAAACAGCGTATTGGGAAGTTCAGATATGAGCTTAGGTCAAACGAATCCCTTGGTGCCGTCTTTGTCTACATTACAGTTACAGCCTCAAGGTATCACAGATATGCAGAATGGGGGGTCTATTAGCAGAGCCAACACGAACAATGCTTCAAACAAATATCCTTTGAGGTCTTCTACAAAAGGCTCTATGAACATTAATGCTCCAAGCTACATTCCAAATTATGCTGATTCACAACATTATAACACCAGAGGGAACAATTTGGTATCTCAAAATTCGACCGATTTGCAACAATTTGATCTCGATAAGTCCCCGCTATCGAATACCATATCTGCAAAAAACCATTATGGGAACTATACCTATGCGAAGAGTAATGGTAATGTCAATTTCGAATCTAATATAAATTCCCAGCTTGAAGAAAGATCCAGCTTGGGAAATTATAGACTCAGCAACAACAATTCTGCCCCCAACGGAAGAACAGATAACGACGAATCCAGCGATGATGCTCGAAAGTTAAAGGTAGAGATCATGGTGAAAAATCAGATCATAAAAAGCTTGACCGATCAACTTAATACAGCTAACTTTGTAAAATCGAAGAACTTGGAAAGTTTAGGACGGAAGTCATCATCATCAGGAACAATGAAAATTCCAAATAATTTTTATCAGTTATTCAAAGATTTGACAAGGACTCTTATGGAGAAGACACAAGAGTTGGATGAGACGAAACAACGCTTAGAAGCCATTTTAGTTAGTATAACTATTAACAATTCTTCTAATAATCATTTTACGGCAAATGGAAACTATGACGAGCAAGAAATTGCTCACAAGATTGTCAATAAGTTATCACTTTTACAAAATGAAAATGAGAACTTGTTGAAAATGATCAGCTTCAGCAATAAATCAAGTTTAATGATTGAACTAGGGCTATTGAAAAATGAAAATAAACTATTGAAAGAGAAATTGGGTAAGCTTGAGCAAAGCAAATGACCGATGTCTACCGGCACCCATTTCGTTGAAGAACGGAAACGTTAAACAAAATTTTGACTTCTATTAAAAATTTAAACTATATCGCTATGACCAAAATTAATTTACCAACGTCTAAACTTGATGCAAAGAAATTCAACTTTTATCTCTTGTGATGCAATGGACGCTCGATTTTTTCGAACTGAAATAATGACTTTCTAATTGGCTTATGGATTTTAACATTATCTTCCACAAAACGATCGTATTTAGCCTTAAATGCTGGATCTTTCAAAAGCTTTTCATTCGATTCATAATGAAGCGACCCATCTTCATTTTTAGCGTTAAATAAATATGCAGATTCAATATTATGTAATTCAGTAAGTTGCTTCGTCAAGTAGTATTCAGATAAGATCGCATCATCACTCTTTAATAATTTATAAACTTGTTCATCAGTTACTTCTAAAATAAGCTTCATCAACTTTTGCTTATCGACACCCAAAGGAACATCTTTGTAGAATTTTCTAAAATCATTCTCATCAAAGGCGGAAAGAAGTTGACTTTCCTGGAGCCACATGTTTAACTTTGGTATGAAATGCCAGTTTGAATATTCCGGTCTAGAAATGCCATCGGGATATTCAAATGTCAATCTTCTAGGAATATCATTGGGAACGAATGTAGGAATACCGCTAATCATGGTATACTTCAAAGGCAGAATTTGATCAAAAGTATACCAATGTTTTCTCCTATCATTAAATGTTTCTACTTTTTGTTCCCCTTCCGGTCGGCTAATAATGCCATCTTTGTAGTAGTTCAGAGGAACTTCAGCATCACTTACTCCCAATCCGGTTATGTCGATGTACATACCTGTGTCCACATCAATAAATCTAGCATCGATGTGGTTAGCCTTTTTGCTGATGTCCCTATTATGAATGTAGGTTCCGACATCAACTAGATATTTGCCATACCCTTCTTCAATATCTTCAATAACCAAAGTTTGGTTATAAAGCTTACCGAGTCTAGCAAGTTCGCTGATTGGCATTTGAATATCTATATCATCATCAAAGGGAAACATAGACCCATTCCAAAACCAAGACAAAAGAGGACCATGCATTATCCAAGACACTAAGCCCTTCTCTTCCGCAAAACGAAACCAGGTTCTCAACAACCTATCTAAAATAATATTTGTCCTCAGTACCAACTCTTGATCGTTCCAACCTGCGCGAGGATAGGATAATGCTCCATTAAAAAATCTCCAGTCGTAATGATATCCATGATCTCTTTTTGTATTCAACTTGTCACGGCGTACCTCAAGGACAGCCTGCTTAAAGTATGTTACTTCCGTATTTGTATTAGCTTCCTTTGATAAATATAAGGAATCGAGATAACCCTCTTCGTATGTAGTTAATTGCCTTTTATCTTGTAATTCTTCTATTTTCAATATCTGCTCTCTTATATTATCTTTGGTATAACGAAACATATCACGAGTTAAGTGTAACTCCTTTGATGCATTCTTAGCATGTAAAACTTGATACATCTTTGCTGGATCATTTGATTGTTCCAAAACTGTGGGTTTAACATCTTTCACGAGTTGGCGAAATTCCTTTACGGGATCTACGACCATCTTATGACCAAATAAAGTCTCTTTCAAGTTCTTCACAGCATTATGTCCTTCTAACTTGTTTTTCATGTACTCCCGCACCATCCCACTTTTAATGATACTTCTCTTTGAATCGCCTTTTTCAATATTGACCTCAAAAGTACCACCTTTTTTGTTCAAAAATATCAATCCCTTAGGATTCGGAAGAACAGTGTAAGTGTATGTCTTAGCATGCATCAATCGTACTTTGTGGAACGAAAAGAATGGACTATAGTCTACGCTAATGAACCCAGGAAGTTGCTCATGTCTGGAAAATCCCAAACTGTTCAAAAGCTTGGGTGTAATGTCCTTGTTGGAGATACAGTTCAACCTTGAAGCAGGGACATTTTGATTCACGAGTGTGAATTTCTTGAACCAATCGCAATCTTTTCTTCTTTTCATGGGCCTGCTTAACTCATCATTTAAGAGAGTCAAATCAACCCAATCTGCCCAATTGAAAGGAACTTCAATGTCCTCAAGCAAATTCCCCTTTTTATATTCTGTCCTAATATAGTTAAGATATAGCGACAACGTGAGCCTAGGGTCATAAAACAAGGTATTTTGATTAACCCATGCATTTTCGTCCTTTGACTCATTCAAGAATAAGTATGGATTAATCGTCAACTTCGTGTCCTTCAACTTAGTGTCCACCATCCAATAACGCTCCTTATTTTTTTTGACGTCCTTCAATAACTCATCAATCTCTTTCGAGTAATCTATGCTATTAGTACCTGACTCTGCCAGAGGATTATTCGCATCCATGTCCACATTGACCAGCTGCACTTCTCCCTTCAGGTTATCTTTAAAGACGATACCATTCTCTGAAAAGTGCACATAGCAGCTAGCTAGATAAACAGTATTGACCACTAAAACAAGAACAAATAACCTCTCGAAAACATATGAAAGCGATCGACCCATCATGTATTTTTCACCTTTAACTCCCTCCTAGCTTCAATATGGTTAGCCGCTCTATCCGCTGTTTAAATTTGTGGGCTTACGGTTTTTATAGTGTTTATTCGTTTGTAGGCTGTACCCATGAAACTTGCTTTATTGAGCACTTAAACTCGTGTGGTAACAAATCTTTGACGTATTCCCCTTGCTTAATGATTCAGAGAACAATAATTCCGTCATAGAAACTTCCACTGGAGAAAATTATCCCCTTATAACAAAGCCTTGTATTCCCTTATAAGGAAGGTAAAAAGTTACCCGGGTTCAACACCATAACTGGTCCCATTGAGGCTTTGCCGAGTTGCAGAAAATGGAAAAATATCCAAAACATCCCATTTAGCAAAATGCTTATACATCTTGAACACTTATGAGAGATACAATAAATTATGAGTCTCAAAATGGACATCTGCTAGCAGATGATGACGCGAGTGAGAGCAGTAGATGCAAACAGCCAAAATTATACCAGAAGATTCAGGTTTTAGATTATCACCGATACCAGTCAGATTTAAACAGTAAACATACTCAAGCTGACACCGTGAGCTACTATAAGAAGCGGAATGAATTTACAATTTCTCGATCAGCGTTTAGCCGTTGGGTTTTAGGTGAAAAAAAGCTCAGAGAGGATTATCAGAACCTTGGGATAAGAAACGTATCCAGACTACGACAGGTACTGAATGATGTCAGAGGGAAGTATGAAGAGTTCGCTAGAGACAATGATGCAATTTTTCGATGCTTAAAGGAGCATTTTTCTCAAACTCTACTTGTGCAACCTCAGCAAAAGATCTCGGTAAATGACGTGGTAGAAATGTTTGCAGCATTTGCTAAGAAGTTCATCGAGGATCGTGGAAGAGGGCCACAAGTTGTCGCCAACTGTAGTAGTAATATCCATGGATCTGGTGATGATGGCTTTGCCATTCTGTTTTTGAAATCTATTGATCCACATATGTGTGGTCTTCGAGAAAGCCTTGATGAGTGGAAGAGAATTAGTAATGTGAGAGGTTCTCTTATTGGTGAGAAGGAGCGCATCATGAGAGAATTAAATTTCTCTCTGTTCAATAATGTGTATATTTTCCAGGAACTAATCATTGATTTGGATAATTTGTTCGATTTGATCGATATTGAAGACAAGGAGGTTCAAGAGGACTATGAGCTCAAAAATGCCGAGCAAGATATATTGACGGGTGATTTGAGGACTCACAGGACTGTCTCTTTTAGCTTATGTGGCAATTTGAATGGTTCTGATTTCTTATCTCCTATGATAATTTCAAACTTGGAATCTATAAGCTCCATTGAAAGAGGGACAAACATTTCTTTATGTTATCATCCTGAAGGAATTATGTCGAGAGCTATTTTTCAAAATTATATGGAGCAACTAAACGTTAGATTTCTCTCCGACGACAAGCATGTTAAAATCATACTAGACAATTACCGGCCTCATTTAGGGTGTTTACAAACTTACTCCAACATTGAATTTATATTAATAAATCCCAATTTCGACAAGACTGTTTCATCGTTTAATCATACATCGCTTACAATGCCATATGAACCAGGACTAGAAAGATTAATAAAGCTGCAATTGAAACTTCATCTTTTCAAATTTTTCCACAAACATAAAGCTTTATTTAGTGATAGAAAGGAGCTATTTGATTCCATTGGTTGGAATAGTTTGCAGAATATGAAGTATCACTATGAAAATATAGTCAAGAAATTGATCAGTGATAAAAAGTATAATTACTTTTACTATTTGAACATTCTTGCTTCAAGATTATTTAATGTAACGGCTGATAATTTGAATATTCCGTTAGAAGATAAAGCAAAGTTTAATATGGTCAAAGGATTGAAATTTTCAACATTCATAACTGAAAAAATACCAGCTGAATACAAGAATGCGATCAAATTTAATGACAAAATGAGCCAATTATCAATGGCGGAGGAAGATCTGTCTTTGAAAGCTTTTGTTGCAGAGATAAGTATGCAATCATATAAGAATAATAGAAGTAACCTTGCTGCTGTAAAAAAGTGTTTTCTCGATGAGCTTTTCAAGGGTAGAAATGAGACTAAGCTCAACAAGCAATATTCAATAGACGGAATATACGAATTAGTGAGACATGAAATCAATAATTTAGTCAAACTGCCAAAAAAGGAGTATCCATCCGACTATGAAGTTGATCAAATGCTTCTAAAGGTGCAGCCATATATAATCAATTATAACGAAGCAGTACTCGGGTCGAATCCGCGAAAAAGGATAAGCGGCAATACGCTAGCTCTATTTAACAAATTCTACGACTCTTATATCAAAGATACAGCACTTGTCCATTCAGAAAATGCTACATTTGAATATGCTACTGAAAATCCACAATTCGTCAAACCTAAGGTTGCGCTGATCAATCTTTCAAGCGCATCAAAAGATTCGATGAACACGAGCAAAGCTAAAAAAAGACGGCTTATTGCCACTTATAAGAGTAGTTTTTCTGATGACGAGACAGACACATCTCTTGGTGAAGCTTTAACTAGCTGAGAAGATCGGTCATCTATATTCTTTACGGTTACTGTATCGAGCAGATTTAGGTCACACGACCCTTTTTGCATCTTACAAAAGTTATAATGTCTATTTGGCTCTTTTCTGTATCTTTAATATAGCCAAAAAAATCACTCTTGATAACAGAGCCATGCCATTATCCTATGACACGCTTTTGCTAATCTTTCATGGGTATCTATATTCTAGGTAGCTCTCAGATCTTGTGATTATAAAAGAAAAATGGAGTGCGGCTCGGCACAATCCGGGACTTTCTCGAATGAACTTACCGGGTCATCTTGAAAATTTCTTTTCCACAAAACCATATATAAGATTAAATGTTCGTCAAGAACTACTGAAGGAATTCAAGTATACAAAGAAGGAAGCATATAAGTTTCATTGAATATACAATCAATATTCAATTAATTATAGATTTATATTTATTAGATTTGTGTTGAGTAGTAATCACACGGAAAATATATAGACCGCTTGCATAATCCAAAATGAAACTTTTTGAAAGTAATCACTTTTTCAATTATTCTTGGGACAAGGTGACGGCAGCCAATTGGCAAAAGTATCCCAATGAGTTATCAACGCATGTTATATCTGTGGATGTTTTGAATAGAGTGATCGACGTGGAAAGAAAGACTTTGAGAACAGAGAGATTAATTACTTGCAAACAGGCCATACCTAAATGGTTAAGCTGTTTGGTAGGAGCTCAGGAGCGTTCTTTTGTTAGAGAAGTCAGTGAAGTTGATTTAATCAACAAAACTTTAGTCATGAAGTCGCATAATTTAACCATGAATCATTTATTATCGGTCAACGAAACTGTTATATATAGACCAGACCCTGTCCTGCCTGAAACTCGAACCAGGTTTGAGCAGGAAGCAGAAATTACGGCTTATGCATCCTTCAAGAAAATATGTGATAAAGTAGAGGACTGGTCCGTCGAGAGATTCGGACAAAATGCAAAAATTGGAAAAACAGCCTTCGAGAATGTGCTACAAGTTTTAACTCAAAAGTGGGATGAGAGTGGAATATTTGTTAGCGATGTTAGTAACGCAATAATGAAAGATATTAATGATGTTGGGGAGAAAACCCAAGGTGTTTTAGCAGAAGTTAGTAAGTTGGGGAATGTTTTCAAAAGTTAGGTAACTGTTTTTGATCGATTTTCTTATTGTCATACCAGATGCGTTAAGATATATTAGAGCATTAGATTGTTTTTGGTCATACTTTAATGGTGTATAATACACCATCATTTATTTACTGCATTCGTTTGTTTTATACCATTAATTTTTTATATTAAAATTCAAGACTTTTTGACGAACAGCATGATTTCCATTTATAAGTTGAACATAGATATTTAGTTGAAAAACCTTGCATATGTATATATGTATATTTATACTTATAATCCTTCCATCGCGTAGCTTACATTATGCCTTCATATTACTGAAGAATTTATACATTTAATGTAAAAATTGATTTAGTTCCTTATTATTCATTATGAAATATTATCGCAATTGTAGAAAAGTCGGAAACATAGAAGCCAAATTATTTGTCAACAAATACTAGCCTTACTGTTAGATATACTGCTTCAGGGATAAGAGACACTAGAAATTAATATTGAACTCACTCCTTTTTGTATATGGTAGTTTTTCCTTAGGTGGAGATGAACTATTGGTGAAATAAGCTGCACAAATGAGACAGAATGATTATGGAGAGCAGCAAAGTACAATTCTCTATGAACTTGAACTAATTCTTAAGACCGTGAAGCAGATTGATAAGAATATTATAGATTCAATAGAAGTCTTAAATGATAGGATACCTTTGGAAAAAGAGCAAGAAAGTACATCTAATCGAGTGACTGAAACGCCCGTTGAATACAACTATGAAGAAATCATTATTAAAAGCATAAATTCAATAAAGGAGATTTTAAAAGAGCTAGAGGAAATTTGAAATAAGTAGTACACACAGTTTTGTCACTGCCCTGTTAACATAGGGGCATAATTGTCCGAGTTGATTCACATATTTAGGTATATAGTGTATATAGGACCTAAGGCATATATACGCGTTCACTTTTTAGTTGATGATCTATGTTGTAGTAGTAACAGCCCCTTCACGAAAATGGATCGAAAGCAAGCGGAGATAATTGAGAAATACCAAGAGTCGGCTTTGAGGGAACGTGATAGATCCAATGACGAAGAGAATAACAGCAGCGATGACGATCTTTTAGAACTTTTAGACGACGATGACGAGGTACTATCTAAATACAGAGAGGCAAGAGTCGAACAGCTTTCGAAACAACTCAGAAAAATAGACAAGGCAACAGGTCAACGTGACAATTTTGGGTCAGTGACAGAATTTAGTGATGAAAAGACTCTCATGAGCACTATAACCAAGGAGGATATTGCGATTGTTCACTTCTACCAACCTCAGTTTGAGAAATGCAAAATAATGAATGACAGATTGGCTGTAAGTATTCTTCTTAATGTAAACTAGTGCCATATTTAATCTACCAGTGGATAACACTTTGTGCAACGCATACTAACAATATTTTAGGTAATTGCTGAAAAGCACTTGACGTTATTTGTTTCCAAGATACGAGCAGAAGACGCACCTTTTTTGGTAACTAAACTCGATATAAAAGTGCTTCCTTTTGTTCTCGTTTACAGGAAGGGAAAGGAACTCTGTAGATTAGTGGGCTTCGAGAATATCAGCAGAGATGCAAATAATATTTCAGTGGAGGAGCTTGAAAGGTTTCTATATCTCAACAATGCTATCGATAGACGTACCATAAATTTTGGCGCAACAAGGAAAAGCATTAATGCAAATAGCGTCAACTCCGATGATGATGACTTGGATCTATAGCTTCCCGCAAGTACATATTGTACTTATCCAATGAAAAATTGTTGCACTAATTTGAGCGAATCTATATTGAATATTCCCTAGATAGTTGTGACGCAGTGCTCCACCGTAAGTGACTTCGGTCTTCAAGGAATTACCTGGAAATGGACGGGTCAGCTCTGATGTGAATGCCTTATACCCATGCTCTTTATAAAATGCTTTTCGATTCCGAAGTACTTGATCCCCAATCATTGACATGTCACTCCTTTACTGTCTATACAATTCTTTATCCGTAAAAATATTATTACGGTAGTGGGATTAGCCCAGCTATATGTATATATTTGCAATAAAAGGGTTAAGTAATGGTCAAGGTACCACGGTGCTGAAAAGGCTCTCTCTATATTGCTTCTTAAACCCAAAGATAGAAGTCTATAAAATAATATTGTTGCAAATGGTAGACTTCCTAAATAGGAATAAAAAACAAATGAGCCTAACATCATACTGCAAACCTGAAAAGGTTTAAATTCACGTGACAATCGAAAGTTCAGATTTTTCAGCGAAAAAATTTTTCATCATTAGTATAGAAAATTTGAGCGAAAGTTTGCCTTTGAAAAGTTTTTCTTCTTTTCTTTATACTTGGTAAGAAAGAAGCATAAGTTGCCGACAAGCCAATAATGCAAATTTTTGTTAAAACTTTAACAGGTAAGACTATTACCTTGGAGGTTGAGTCCTCGGACACCATTGACAATGTCAAGTCTAAGATTCAAGATAAAGAAGGTATTCCTCCAGACCAACAAAGATTAATCTTTGCTGGTAAGCAATTAGAAGACGGTAGAACTTTATCAGACTACAATATTCAAAAGGAATCTACCTTACACTTGGTCTTAAGATTAAGAGGTGGTGGTAAGAAGAGAAAGAAGAAGGTTTACACCACCCCAAAGAAGATCAAGAGAAAGCACAGAAAGCACAAGTTGGCTGTCTTGACCTACTACAAAGTTGATAACGATGGAAAGGTTGAGAGATTAAGAAGAGAATGTCCTTCTGCTACTTGTGGTGCTGGTATCTTCATGGCTGACATGAAAGACAGACAATACTGTGGTAAATGTCATGTTACCTTCAAGTTGAACTAAATTGATTAATATCAAAGCTGATATTCCTCTTGGCTTTGTTTACGTAGTTAATATGTAATTAATGTATATTTAGCTCAAAGAAGCTTGTAAGTAAGACCATCTTATGTGCACACCAGAGAATGTATCAAAAGCTGAATATCCGCGTACAAAATAACAGCTATATATAATACACAGCCAAGGTGACAGCTATCATATAGTTGGATAGTTGGATGATTGCAGGGAGTTCAATGTTAGAAAATGAGCTTTTCAATTTATGATTTGGATGAAGATATTCGAAAATTATTGAACTTGGACAATTTCCTTGAAGGATTATCAGTCAATGACTTTATAGAAGAACTCAGCAAAGATCATTTTCTTAAAGGAGCTGAGGTCAACAAGTTGGAATATTTAGATCCTAAGCCATATATAAGAACTTTTGAATCAACATTAAGAGAGTTGAAGCGACTCAATGAGCAAGCAAAAGATCAGCAGAGTAGAGTTGAGAAAGAGGTAGAGAATTGTGAGTTAAAACATAGTGAGAATGTGATACAATTATCAACCAAGATTAACAAGATAACCAAAAAGTTTGATAAGTTGGATGTCAAGATTTCGGACGTGACAAGAAAAATAGATCCAGTGGGACAGTCTTTGACCAAGGTTTCAACCTCAAGAGACAGATCAATGGAAACGATATTTTTGATTAGAGCATATCATGGATTTTATACCAAAGAAAAGTACGATCCATTAGAGAGTTTACGAGTCAGCAAGAAACAAGAAGATAAAATCAAATGTGCAAAGACTTTGAATAACTTAATCACGCTTGCTAAGAAAATTGAATCACCAGAGATTTCTAAAACTACCACCTGCCTTAATGCGATTGAAAAATTTGGCGAAACCATGGAGAGGAACCTCTTGAATAGATTTGAAGTAGTTTATGAAGATAACGAATTTGACATGATGAAGGATATTGCTGATATATTATTCCACTTCAATGGGGGTGGCAATGTTGTGAGGACTTTCGTAAACAAGAATGACTTATTACTTGAAGCAGAAAGAGAGGACGATCAGGAGGAGGAGACCTTGTTAGATAATGAAGTGGCATGGATCAATTTAGCTGATCCAAATTTCAAGGGGGACATAAAAGATGTTTCAACGGAGTCATTGCTCGATAGATTAAAATTTGATGTTAAAGGTCAGGCTAGAATAGTTCAACAAGTTTTTGAAGATCCTATTCCAGTGTTGAAGATTTTTATTCAAAGAATTTATGCTCAAATGATCCAAAATAAGGTTAGTGCTCTTTTGCAATATTCTTTATCGATCAATTCCTTAGCACACGTTAGGGTTCTTAACTATTTATATGTCTTGGTGAATGACTTTACTAATGATGTTAAGGAATTTCTTAACACTAATGATTTCGATAAAGAAAATGAATTGGCTTCAATTTTGGACCAGTCCACCTACGATTTATTCATAGAATACACTTCTGACAACACTTATTTTGATAGGGAGAAAAAGAACCTCGAAGAAACCATATATTACATTGTCCACAAGTTTAATTCATTTAATGAAAAGGCAGTGACTAACAGGTATTTGTCGCTTAGAATCGAAAATATAGATAATGTGGAGTATAATGAAAAGCCCGATAATGTTGATAAGTATGGGTTTTATCTCTCCGAAAAGAAAAGACTTAACAAATTTGCAAATTTTATGAAATCTCACTTGTCTGACAAAAAAAGGGCTTCCACAGATCTTGAAAAGGTAAGCGATCAGGAATATGAAGAGTATTCAAAACTCAATATTTCAAAGGTCGAGACTGTCATAAAATCGGCCATCGAGTCTATTGCACGTTTATTAGAGTTGACAACAAACAAAACACCTGAGTATTCGTTGGAAATTTTGGAGATATTGTTGTTTGACTTTGGGAAGCTTTACGTGGGCGCCGGATTAGATGTAGCATACGAAAAGTTGAGGCAAGAAAATGTCGCCTCAAAAATAAACTCGGTACAGCCTTTTGATTTGAGCTACTTGAGTACATTTAGCTTGGTTACTGAGATCCTATATTTGCTATCTTCATGCATTAAACGTATCATTTTGCCTTGTGCTGTGAACTCCCCCAATATCAAGAATAGGATGAGCAATTTGACTAATGGCTATATTTCAAGATGTGAGCTCTCACTAAATATTATTTTATCAGAAACTATTGAAATGATTGGGAGCAGATTAAATTATTTGCTATCAAGACAAAGGAAGAAGGACTTCTTATGTGATAACATCACAGAAGATGATACAGAAGCTTGTGAATTATCCTCAGAATTTTTACTTAATATTCACGAAAGTCTAAAATTGTATATTAGCAAGACTAACTTGAGAAACGTTTTGATTAAAGTTGGAATGAATTTTCTAAATCAATTACTTGAACATTATAAAAAGTTCACTGTCAACTCCACCGGAGGTATTATCCTCACCAAGGATGTAATAAGATATCAATCCACTATTGACAGTTGGGAAATCGATGAATTATCTGAAAGATATCAGTTATTAAAAGAAATTGGAAACTTGTTTACTGTCCATCCGCATTTGATCAGCTCGTTAATTACAGAAGGGCAGTTGGCAAATTTGAAACCCTATACAAAAAGACAGTACATTTCTAAAAGAACCGATTTCAATCCAAGTTATATAGAAAGATTCTTCAGTTTCAAGCGATAATATGTGATATAATGTCATTTATTTTTATTGAGTATGTCTATAGAGCAGATTCAGAATAAGGTTTACTTATTTCACGTCAGAAAATATAAGAAAAGAGGGAAAGTGACTAGAACTAGTAAAGCCGAATTACTCAAAAAACCCATGTAGCTCTTTCTTCTTCTCATATGCAGCCAAGATGTCGTTGAAAGGGGAGCCAAATGAAGCTTTTCATATTGCATTAAAACATCATTTGACTTAATTATGTTATGATAGTTGTTAGTGAGTTTACCTAAAAGTTTAGGGAACAAGAAATATACAGCGTAGAATCCGATACTAATGAAAAGCGTGGTACCAAAGACATAAAATTGCAAAAATGGAGTGGGCATGTAGCAAATTTCTGTTTGTAGTGTCACCTTATCTTGAGGTACTTTTGCTATTGTTGGATCAAAAAGATTATTGAGAGACAATAGTTGCAATGCTGGATATTTTATTCCTCCAGCCATGGATGAAGATTTAACTGTTATCTCTCTGGCGTTTGAATTTTCGTTTTCATATTTATAAGAATGAGTTACATCACAGTAGTCATGGTCATCGCCACTAAAGACAATTTTTGGATTAATTTTGCTCAAAATCTTCTGGGAAAGATCGTATTCAATCACAGTTTGATATTGCTTTCCTTTCATTACAGGAAATTTTTTATTCGATTCTCTTAAAGGTCCACAGTCTTGCTGATCATTGAACCGATATAAAGGCACATGGGTTAGTAGTATTCTTGGAAAGTAAGGATTGATGTGACTGCTTAGATTTTCTATAAATCTCAAGGGCCTGGACTGCAACCATTCGTCTTGTGAAGACAATGAGATGGTATCAAGTAAAATTATAGTATGATTTCCTATTTCAATGTAATCGTTTGTCTCACCAAAAAAAGCTTGAAATCTTTTATATGCTTTATGATTAATTGACTCAAATCCAATATCGTGATTTCCAGGTAGCGATTGTATATATCTTCTAGTGGGATCTTTGGGAAATATCGAATTGAATCTATGATACTCCTGAAACCATCCTTCGTCCTCCCATTCTCTTCCTCCATCGAACAAATCTCCCAAAAATATGAATGTATCGGGATCTAATATGTCCCTTGTAGCGATGAAGTTCTTATGAAGATACTTATCGCTGAGTTTTTGGGCGAAATAGTTAATTATCCATGGTCTGCCTGGGTATGAATTATCATCAACTAATTGTGGATCAGCTATCAAAACTATTCTTCTTGGATCTGATCCTTTATCCCAATGCTCCCACTTATTCCACTTACAAGAATTGATGCTCCAACGAGTATGTATTGGCTCAAACAAGATACTTAGTACTAAGATAGCCAAAGTTGCTGTTATGATAAATTTACAATTGATTTCTGAAAAGAATTCTTTGAAAATAAACTTAGATTCTTTTTCATTTATGTGTCTATTGCCATCATTAGACGGATCTCGCTCTATATGTATAGGGAGCCAATGTGTATTTTTTTCTCGTCTCCTAAAGTTCATACTAACCTATTATCTTAAATAATGTGAAGTTTGTACGCTAAATATAGCGCGATATCTAGCAGCTTAAATTTTCAGATTTTATAACGACTCCATAAGTCTCAGGTAAAATAATAACAAATATCAAAGATTTGGGGCCGTGAAGCTATGCGACGCAGTGTATAATGTTGAATGGAAAAATAAACTTGTCAAAGGATAGTTCAAGGAACGTAAATGAGCCCAAAAAAAGGGTTCTTCGATCAAATAAAAGTAGTGAAAATACTACTAATCTGTCTTTGTTTAACTTTGAAAATGTGAATACCTTGATATTTAAACAAGAACCAATCACGGTATCTTCTGGCAAATCATACGAAGACCTCTATAAGTCCGGAAATGACGTTGAAGTGCCAGAGGTCTCCAAAATAGCCAAATGCATTAATTTGAAAATCGTTGACAATATCTTACCCCGAAGATCCAAGCATTTTGAAGACCCATTGCCTGATAGCATTTATGAAGCATTCCACAATAGGCTGAGGAAAGAAGAAAAGTCAATGGTAAACACTGAGCGTTCGCGAATGTTAACAGAAGTAGATAATCTCAAATCACTGTTAATGCTTCTTGATCTGTATGATTGGGAAAAATATTTGCCTATGATAACAGTAGTTAGAAATTCCCGAGATATTAATGAACTAGAGTCTAAGAAAGAGCTCACAATAGCCGAAATAAAGAAACTCTTACAAAAATACGCTGATTGGAAAAAAAGACATGAAAAGCTCACAAATGAAATGAGAGCATTTGAGAAAAAAGAGCCGAATGACACTGAAGACCAAGATTATGGGATGTCATTGGAAGACCTTAGGTCCAAAAGATTATTAGAAAGAAGAAAAGAAGTTGGACCTCGAATAAAATTGAACCTCAACAATGGGTATACTCTACTCATTGACCCATTGGTAGCTCCAAAAATAATTTTGACGAATCAAGTAGATTCATCTTCTAAAATAAATTCGCCTCTTGGTAAAGAGCAAAATAGATTTGCTGCAGTAAAAGAAAATGTACTTTCAAGAAAAAGAAAAGGTCACTATATAAGAAGCGGAAAAGGCCAAAAATTTAACATCATAAAAGCAGAGGGAATTAAGAATAAAGAAAAACTAGATTTGAAGTTCGATTTAGAAAAGGGTATTGCATTCGGTAAACATTTACCAGATTTAGGACATTCCTACACAGACTTTGAAATAGATCGGCGTTGGAGACATCAAGCAAACAAATGGCTCGATGAAAGAAAGAAATTGAGGAGAAAATTAAAAGAAGGTTGAACATATGTCATTTAGTCGCAAGACCAAGCTCTGAACCATCAAAATTTATACAGTTAGTTTGATACATCATACGATATGCGAAATGCTAGTAATTATAAATTATATTTAATATGCTATTGATTGTATTCATGAATCGCTTGCAAAAACCTGGTAAGCAGCATTTGAATACTATTGGAGTCATTTAGATCGACATTGACGTCTCTAACTTCCAAATTGAGTGGAAATAGATGAATGAGTTTTGGCGCTTGCCTCAACTCCATATCAGGTTTATTAGGATGGTACCTTTCCAATTGCTCTGATTGTAACGAATAGACAGAAATTAAGTGGTTTCGAAGGACCATGATAACTATCAAACCTTGGGCAATGATGCTGAGTTTTTGAGTTTCATCATTAACAACTGCTTCCATGTTTTCCTTCAATCTATCTTCTAAATCCATTCCTTGGGCGGATATTATTTTATCCAAGCTATCCACAAGCATAAGAGCTTCCTCTAATGTACTGAAGCTAAGTATTGAAATGTTATATGCCAAATAAGCAATTGTATCCCGAACAAATAAACTCTCATTTATGTCATCCTTGAAATCGATATGAAATAATCTGATCAATGATTGTAAGAATTTTTTCCGTGACGAGTAGCTCCCCTTTACTATTGAATATAAACTTTCAATGAAAAATCTTTCCTCATAAAAACTTTCAGACGTACCCTTTCTGTATTTCACCGCCAATTTTATGCCCTCATAATAACTGGTATCAGTCAAAGACTCATGTCTCTCGTAAAGGTCTTCGTGTATCTCCGTAGCAAGACGTTTGATATAAGGATTAGTGCTAGACTCTAAAGCAATGACAGTTGGAACGCATATTTTCGGATTGGCGAAACCTAGTCTTTGGACAAGCTGCAAAAACTGAATTGGAAGAAATGAGAATGAGCCCGAATCATACAAGCACAAATCAAGGATTTGTTCAATGTACCGTTGGACGATTGCAGCACATATACCATCAGTGATGTACGACAGAGCCACTCCATGAAATACAGCAACATCAAGTTTAATGTCAGTAGAGGATTTCTGCTCCAATCCATTCATCTTCTGTGATTTACTATCCTCTGCTCTCAAAAAGTCCATAATTCCTTGAATTATAGTATGTTTTGTTAACATTTCTTTATTCTTAAATTCGCGATCTAAGACCTTAAGTATAGGATCTGACATCAAGAGCTTGGGATGAATTGCACATACAGACATTATATTCTTAATTGCTGAATTTCGTATCGAGCCTTCAAAAGTGGTCCCACAGAAAAACAAAAGAAATTTGATGATTACTGTGATGACGCTCTCCTTCTCCTTCATGCCAATGGACGAATTTAGAAAAGTTTCTCTGTGCCTCTCGAGATCGCAGTAGGAACCAAAACAGCCTATTAAATGAAGAAGCTTCGGAAGCTTAGAATCTGGTTTGGGGGCAGTCTTGGGTGATCCAATATAAGGTCTCAATAGCTTTAGACAAGATATAGAGGCATTCGCCAATTTCACAGTATTGTTTTTCATTAAACAAAGTTTCCAAACACATGGCATAGCTTCATGCAATTCTCGAACATGCAACTTGCTAAGTTTTCGTAATAAATGCGATTGAATAGTATTAATGAATTCGGGCCGTAATGTCCTAAAATTCGGGAGAGTATACTTCAAGATCTCAAGGCTATAAAAACAGACAGCATCTCCTGAGTTTTGTTCATCGACCAAATAAGGCTGCAAAGATACTAATTGGTCTTGTGAAATCAAAGTTCCCTTACATTTCACGAGCAACGATATGAGCCTCAAAGCTTTTTCAATTTGCGAGTGGATTTTAGTATCAGATGAGTCAATTATGAAGTCCAAAGATTTATCAATAATTAATTTGACAGAGTTAATGATTCTGGCATCTCCAGAATCAAGTACAGATTCTGTCAAAAACTTTTCCAAATAAGCGAAGTTTTTTGTACCCGAGCTTACGATATCCATCATCACCTCAACGCGCGATATTGTTGCTGACGCAATTGATGAAGTACCATTGTCATGAACTTCAGATGCCAATGATATAAACCAATGGTCTAATAAAGATGATCTGGCCAAGCTTTGGACAGTGTCATCTTCATCATCGAGTCTCCTTAATATCTTGTTTGCGATAATCGCCTTCACTGATCTCTTCTCTGTATGTATATACATATCACGGGAAAGCTTCATAACTCTTTTGCGTACCTGAACACTATCATCATTGAGCCGCTCGCATATTGGAACATGGAACTGTTCAATCACCTCAGGTTTTGAATTTATGTATTTGCTGATTAAGTCTATAACAGCATCTCTAACAAGTGGAGAGCTATCTAACAATCTTCTCGAGATTGACTCTCTTATTCTTGGTGAAACCAACAAAGTAGGGTCTTTATCAATGAGAGAAGTCAATATCTTCACGCACTTAGTCTTAGACTTGATCTTATTACTGTCTAAGTTGTTGATGATTACTGACAAAAACCTGTCATACAATGGTATCAAATCTTGAGGTGCAACAATACTTAAATATGACTGCACTGACAGCGAATCTTTATTTGCAGTGAGAGCTTGATTCAATTTAACTGAACCTTCTGATACGACATTAAACAAATAATCATACAAAGCATTAAAGGATGAAACATTTGATAATTTGGTCATAGAGCTATCCGGATCGGAAGCCAAAATAGCGAGCTGATCTGACAGTTCATTATCATTGATTTTCGAAAATGTGGGTCGAATACCACATATGAATCTCAAAAGGAGAAATCGAAATGATAGAACATATGCGGAGCTTTTCCCAGCTTGGAGCTGAACATATTCGAGAGCGTCACCCATAGAATCTTTGTAATGATCTATATCTTCCAGTGAGCTATTGAGTTCTAGTTCTTGAAACTGATCTACGCTTTGCCTTAATGAGAGGATTTTGACACCAATCGATCCAGAAATCTCTAACGCAAATGATTCTATCAACAGAGCATTCGTTCCACTTTGAATGAGTGATAAAAGAGCCTTTGTAATCGACACAACTAAAAGCTCGGCTCCAGGCCATTCTGGATATGTTATCATACTTAATAGGTCTTCTACTAGAAGCTCCAAAACTTGCTTGTGATGCTGATCAGGAGATTGCACCAATTTTGAAATTAAGGATGAAGCAATCGAATCCGAAACCAGATTTGCTTCCGATAAAATGGCTTCGGCACTTTCAAAGAGCAGGACTCTTTTGTTTTGAAAAATAATGTCTTTGCTTTCATCTTTCATCAAACTATGTATAGCTTCATTAGCAGTTTCTGCTAATCTATGTAAGTCATGACTATGGAGAATTGACATAAGAAGAACAGTCACAAGCTGTACACTACCACCCCTTGTCAATTTAAACTGTCTTGCTTGAACTCTTTGCGTTGAAGCTTTATATATTTCAGATAAAATCTCGTGTAAGATAAACTTTCTTTGGTCCGATTTACTTTTATAAATACTTATAAGAATATTACAAGCATTTATACGCAAATTTTCAAAGTTACTATGAGATATTGCTGACTCTTTATCTTTCATACTAGACTCCGAAAAGACGATTAATACTGACAAATATTCCAATCTAGTTAAAGTGTGCTCATCAACGTCATTTTCACAAACATATTGCGAAAGTAGGTGTAGTATAAGACTGATTTCACATACTATGTTCGAAGAACTTATCTTCAATGTGCTAACCAATTTATTGTTTCCAAAAGACTTGGAAGCTAGTGGAAGTAACAAATCTTGACAAAGAGAATAAATCAAATCTATAATTCCCCTCAAATATTCATCGATGTATAACCTCTTATGATTTTGCCGCCCGGTTAGTAAATAAGCAATCATCTTAGCCGCTAGCAAACACGTCGACGCACTATCAAATAGCAGTAAGGACTCAGGACCGATGTCTTCTGCTCTAGAATTTTGTGTGATTGACTCAACAATCTGATGCCAGTTGATCTCCATTCCATCATTAACAGAGGTAAAGCATAGACTTTCGATCTGTAAAAGGTATTCTATATCAAAACTGTCAACGATTTGATCGTTTACAATACGAAGCAAATGATCGTGAATAAATTGAAGGGCATCTGCTGAGATAATCTTCTTTCCTGACTCATTTAAATTAAAAGCGGAGGAGTCGTCGTCGTTATCTACTTCATTAAGAAATCGAAGAAGGCCCTCGCTGGATGCTTTGACTATACTTTCGTTTGAAAGATGTTGCAATTTTAAAGGTGGACCCTGAGATGCCTTATCAATAGGCCGCTTCTTTGGTAGCTTTGACAGTGAATGAATACTTAATTCTCCACCGAGAGGAGACATATTCGTAATCATCATATTATATTCTTTCTGAAATTTTTGGCGATATACTTCGTTATGCCTTTTTATTGCAGCTTTATCATTTAAGTCGTAAGATTTTCTAACTGAGAGTCTGGAGCCATCAAACTCTAAGGGATCAAAGCTAATCTTTAATTCCTTCAAGGATTCGTCATTAATTTCCTCTGTAACTTCGAGAAGCCTGTTCTCTAGTGGAGGAAGCGCTTCCGATTCCTTTTCTAGTTTACGATCCTTATTAAACCAAACGGGTTTTTTGAAGGATAGCTCATCTAACTCTGGATCCTCAAACTCTTTGAAATCGTTCACAAGAAAATCCATTGCTTTCTTGAACCTTTGTGGATCATTATTGATAGCCGCCCTCACTTGATGGGCGGCTGTATTTTCACTTTCATTTAAAGCTTCGAGATCATCCAGAATAGTATCAATTGAAGTTGAAGAAATCAAAGGTGCAATGTCTTGTTTCGGAATGAGATGCACGAGTGGAGTTAGGGTTAATGCTTCCTTTATAACAGCGGTAGAGTCTTCGCTTGACATTTACAACCTTTCGCTAAAATATTAAAATTTGACAAAACGAGTGAGTATTTTAGAACAACTTAGCTTTACCCTTTGCAATAGCCCTTTTCTATGTAAGTGTTCTTCCCTTATATTATATATTATAAGATTTTGCTGGCTTTATATATAAAAAATGAAGAAGCCCAGAGAATCACATACTCTCTATTTACGCGTTAAAAATTTCAGAATTAGTGAGACTAAAGAATAAATTCCATGCAGACGAATACCGAATACCAAATACGTACTCTACAAAATCTTTAAATATGCTATTCTTGCAATCCATACTTCGGCGAATACCGCTATAAATAATCACATTAGCACCAATTGGTTATTGTGCATCGGGGTTTGTTAAGTTTGCGCTAGAAAAGTTGGGAGTGCCTGTTGGAGTAGATGCAGAAGATGCTGCAGATGACATTGGAGACCCTTGCCCACCCAATGCAGCTATGTTAGAATTAGCAAGCCTTTGCAGTTGTTGATGTTTTTGAATAAGAAGTTTTTTCCGTTGTTCGTACTCAAATTTGGACATACCATCTAAGGGCGACGATAACTGGTCCAGCAGAATTTGCAGCTGTGGTATTTGATGCAGCTGTGGTTGCAGCAATTGCAGTTGCTGCTTTTGTTGCTGTTGTTGTAATTGCTGCTGTAGCTGTTGCTGTTGAGCATTTTTTGCGGCCTTCAACATTTGTAGTTGATTTCTTTCTTGTGGAGTCAACGTGGCAATTTGCGGTTGTTTTTGAGTGGAAGACAGCCCCATTCGTTGTTGAGAGGAACCAATCTTATTGGGCCCCTGTGACAGCTGTTGCAGCTGTCTTTGCTGCAGTTGCCGCTGTTGCTGGAGTCTACTCTGCTGCTGTTGCTGAATATTAGCCAAATAAGTAGCTGCAAGCTTAGTAACCTGCTCCTTACTAAGTTCTGGATTCTTCGTTTGGATAGAGTTAATGATGGCCGAAACTTGAGCGGGTGCAAAATGAATTCTTGAATTCGTTGTGGAACTCGACCCAGCTTGCGAAGGAACCTGCTGGAGCGTCGATCCTTGATGTGGTAGCTGAGTTTGCTGAGGTCCGGAGCTATGCAGGTTCAACAAGCTTTTATTAATAGTCGTTGCCTGAGACTGAGTAGGATTCACCAGCGCAGGAGGAGTACCTTGTTTGTTTTGCAGATTTTGTTGTTGCATTAACCTCCTTTGTTTTTGAAATTGTAACAATTGCTGGATTTGTTCAGCAGTATAAGGAGTACCATTAGGAGTCGTGGGTCTCTTAAATCCAGAAACTTGGCTTTGTTGTTGCTGTGGGTAGTTATTTGAAATAGTAGGTGTCTTGGCGTTGGAATTAGCACTGCTTGGAATACTCTTAGCATTTGCACCCTGGAGAGGTGCCACACCATTGGAAGATGATCCCTGTGAGGAGGGATTTGAAATCTGTCTATTTCCTGATGATTGGGTTTGTTGCTGTTTCTGTTGTTGGGCCACCGCTGCCATCATTCTTGACCTCGTTGCTTGTTGATTTAAATAGGCCTCTTGTATTGATTTGTCTCTTTCAAATTTCAACTTTGATAACTCTGCAGGTGTAGGAATTCTATCACTTGGTCTTTTTGATGTACTGAGTGCCGAGGGTGTCTCAGAAGCAACGTTATTAGAACTGGACGCTGTTCCGCTCACACTTTGACTTGAATTTGTTACTGGAGTGGAATTTCTTTGGGCAAGTTTAGCGTGCGTAATTTCTCGCTTTTTCATGCATTTTCTTATGGCATCAAACATGGATGCCCACCTTAAGCGTCTATGACCCCTCTGAATAGATTCATTACCGACACCAAGAGGCGAAATACGCCTTTTGGTAGTCAGTTGAGCCCTATGTGCTCTTTCTAACCACTGCTGAGCTTGATATGCATATATTCCTTTCATGTCAGAGAATTGAAACTTCTCGTTCAATTGGATATATCTCTCAAAACATTGCCAAGGAGTCCTCCTTTCAATATTCGATTCGTATCTTTTTAAGGTGGATGCTGAAGACAGTAAGTGTTCAGATATTAGATCCCAATTGAAGCAAAACTCTGCAACAGAGTGAATCAAATATCTATCATCTTGCGGTAACCAAATAGTAGGGGATCTATATTCAATATTTTTAATCAATGGTGGTTTCGGTGGCTTCAAGTAGTTAAAGCGACGTTGGGACAGTGTTCCGAAAAGTCCCTTTTGATAATCTGGGGGACCGTCTGATTTGCTTGACTTCTTGAAATCAATTGAATCCTGAAGAACTATTTTGTACCAATTTTCATCTTCAAAGGGATAAAGTAGACGAGAGACTGCAGCTAAAGGAGATTCTGTAGGGTGCAATATTGGTGCAGACATATGCTTTGAAGCATCGTCAAATGCACTGTACTTGGGCAAATTCTTGATAATTGACTGGTCAATTTTTTTCATGCTGTCTAAGTTGGAATTTAAATTAAGCGGCCAAGCACTGCGACTTATTTCTAATATGGCAGCTTCTTCCTTAGATGACTCCGCGTTTTCCTCAGATGCTTTATTTCCCGCTAAAAGGACTTCGACATCAATTGTAACAGGATCTGAGAAATCAGTGTTAGCATCCTTAAAAATTTGAATTCCTTCTTCCTTACTTTCAGCATTTTCAGATATATTCAGGTTCTCCTCCGTAGCTTTACCTTCCTCTATATCGTCATTTTGTTCATCGCGAGCCTCCTCTACTTGCGGAATATCAAGCTGTTCTTCAAGCTCTTGTCCTGTTTCCTCCTTTGGATCACTATCTTGTTCCGATTTGTCATAAAACGATTGATTTTCTTTAGCTATTCTCTCTTCGTCAAGGTAAACTATGGGTTTGCGTTTCACACATACAGAAGAATCATGATTCCAATATGCCGTAATTGTATTTGATATTTCAAAACAACATGCCAACTTGTATTTACGGGTTTCTTTGAAGTCTACTGCCATCCATTTGCCTTCCTGTAGAAGAGTACTCCAATGATGCTTCGCCGGTTTCTCATCATTTCGTAAGAACGGATCATTGTACTTCTTTGGTTGCCTTAGCGACCATTTTCCTTGCCTCTTTAATTCTTCGATACGAGAATACAAAACTGCAATTTTCCCTTCTAAGAGGGCCAGCTCAAAATTTTCAGTCAAGAGAGCCTTATGACTTCCTGGTAACAATCTTACCAATGGAAGTGTCTGAGTTAAATAATATAGCTCTGCTAAAGGAGAAACATTATGAGGTTTTGTTGGATAATGATCAGGAACTGAGAGTATTTCTAAATCAGAGATACTGCGTTCCAAGAATTTATTGTTTTCTTCATCATCGTATTCTTTCTGCGTCTTGAGAGATAAAATCAGCTTTCGTTCATCATTATTACTTGAAGGCATAAAAGGTCCGCCAGCAGGCCCCGATATCTTGGCCATTTTCTTTTTTTGAATATCCTTTTCATTACTATCAAGGCTCCTTTTATGCGAAGCATTTTCCACAATAGGATTCAATTGTATCCTAACTGACTTCAATACCGACTCAGCAAACTCTTTCTCATTTTCAATCCCTGGAATTGAGCTGAAACCGTAGTTATGTCCCTTTTGTCTACCCTCAACTTGGCCCACACTTCTTGTACCATCTAGTTGGCCACATACATTCGTAAGAAGCGGATCTTTGCTAAGATACAAAAGTTCCTCTAATCGAGAGTTCCTCAGCTCCAGGAACTCCAGGATTTCAGAACTCATTAATATTACTTAAGGAACTATGTTGAAAGTAGTAGCTTCACTTGTTATTACTGTCAAGATGTTTTTTATGAATAAAACGAATGATTTCCAACACGGATATCACGTTACAAACCTGTATATAGTGTTTATTTTAAATTTGGAAGAAAAAAATTGCGATTTCTGTGGATCGAACACAGGACCTTCAGATTAACTGTGACTGGAGTTGAACTTCAGTCTGACGCTCTCCCAACTGAGCTAAAACCGCCTATTTAATTTAAAATAAATTAAACAAAAAATTATATCATACACTATGAGATTCTAGGTCGTAGTACAAAAGCGGAGGCATTAGAAGGTGGAATCTCATTTTGTTTGGATAGAATGAGTTTTCTTTCATATATGGTAACGTGTGAACTCAAGACTTTTGTAATTGAAGATGTTCTAAAGAATTTCATCACAACCATAGTGGGATCTTGCTGCAGGATCTAGCGTAGTGAAGTGAGATATGAATGAAACATGAGCTATAATTAATGGAAATAAAAGCGGGTCCAAAGAAGAAACTCTTATCTTCGGGTCTTCAGGATTGGATTTCATGTTTTGAATTTCTAGCTTATTTAAACTTTTATTGGATAATAGGAATTGCCCGCAACAGCTGTAAAGTCGTTTTGCAATCAGTCTCGGACAGACTCGAATTTGAATTTTAAATATACACAACTTTGCCAACTAAGCATTAATAGTGTCATAAAAACTCAATTTACAATGAATTTAGATGCAGTGAGTGGTCAGGACTTGACCGGCGCATTTAAAATCACAAATTTAGCAGTCGCTTTCTTAGCGGTATGTATTAGAGTTGTTAGCATCTTAAACGTTTAATACTAACTATTCTTAGGTGTTATCTGGTGTTTCTCAAATGTTTAATGGAATGTAAGTATTCAAAATAAATAATGGAGAGTAATAAATGCTAACAATACATTAGTCAATCGGTAAGTTTGAAGAATTGTGATCGAAATGCGGAGACATACTAACGACCTAAAGTTTGTGATTGGTATTTACATAATCACATTCGGTGCTGTAATCGGTCTTCTAGGTAAGTATGAAAATATGTGATTTGTTTCTTGAATATCGCAATTAAAGAACAGTGGGGCTTCCCTATCTATAATGAAAGGCTAGAAGTCTCTTTACCTTAAAGGAAGTTAAATGAAGTTAGATATAAAAAAAGAAATCGATAAAAACTTCTATGCCACGAATACGAAACAATTCCCTACATTGGTATCGATACTAACATTACCAAGAATATAGGGTACCAACAGAGGCTTATGCTTATGGATCTTTTCTTTTTTCGTTCATTGGTCGTGGAGTTTGTAAGTATTCAATCAAGAATGAAGTCTTTCCAATTGTTGTACTAACGCACAGCTTACACATTTATTGGAGCAAGTATCAATGGTGCAAGTGCATTCAGAACGATTGCCGGTATCTTAATATTTTTGATAGGTCTTGTTTATATTGGTTTAGAGGCCATACCAAGTATCTCCCCACCAGAAAATATGAATCCAGAAGGTATAAGTATTGCGGATGGAGACGAAGATATAATTTGAACAATTGAATTTTGAACGCTTATCTTCTGAATTTAGTGAAAGAGTGAGTTTTAAATATTGAAATGTGCTGTGATATATCCATCACTTGTTTACAAATTCATTTATTTTCCTTACATAATTTGTTCTTACTTGAAATTTTTTTTAATAGAGCCCCGATACCTCAAATATTTTTGCCTGCCCTTTTTATCAACACATCATGGTATATGTTCATCTACACCTCTTTTATCTCTTTTGCTCTAGCTTCATATTCACCTTTAACTATCATTGAGGTTATATACAGTCTGATAATTTATGTTGCTAAATATCGAACTCTTATTTTAAACATTGGATCTTGGCGGCAAAGTATACACAAGAAAAAGCAAACCAGTTAGTCATATACGGAGCCTAGTGCTTCCATATTGAAGTTAGGCGGATCCCTATTAAAGTATTCGAATAGAATGGATGAGGAAGAATTCAGTGATAAACCACTCAAGCTACCTAGATCGTCATTTACAGCGTTTAGATTAACCTACTCAGGGACGAAAGATATCAGTGAATCGTCGAAATGTATTCTTATTGGTAAGATACCAATCATATGGTTTGATGATAAGAGTCCCGGCTTTTTCACAAACACAACTCAATCAGCAAAGACGCTAGTAAGAAAGAAGTTCAAGTCTGCCTTGGTATCTGTAAATCGCAGTATTCGAAGTAATTCAAATGTAAAAGTGAGTGATGATCATTTGGCTGAAATTTCTGACGGGCTTAACTTGTACCAAAAACGCCCTACTAAGAAAGAATTAAATCCCGAATCATTTGATAATGATGGCGAAGAAATCAATGACCACAGAGAATTAAACAGTAGTACAAATGAAAGACACCCTGTCATCAATTATGAACCAAATGTACACGGATCGGAAACTTCCTTAGGAAACGAAGTCGGAGACTCGAAATATGAAGGTCTTGCGCTATCTACATCCAATGAAAGCTCTTCATCAACCCAAGTATCGGACATGATTATGCGCTATCCAAGTGACATCCACATTCTTGGAACGAATGACCTGTTGATTTCTTCACCTATTAATCAAGATGATTCAAATGGAAAATCATTAAAGAAACCTGCGGGTTCATATTCATATTCTAATTACCTAGAGCCATATTTTACTTCTATTACACCTAGTATCACGGAGCAAGACAGCATTCTACAACCGACGCATTTAACGACCGATAGCATGGTACTGGAGCTCGATCTGAACAGTCGTCATCCTCATTTTGGTCATAAAGAGAGCACTGTTAAAAGAGCGAAGACGAACATCACAGTTGAGCAACCCCAGCCTGCAGAAAGCATCGGCGCTATTCTGGAGGAGGAATATCACACCAGGTTTTTGAAGAAGCTCAGAAATTTAGCCGCCGCGTCCAAAGGGAAAGCTAGGACGAGTGGCCATGGTTTACGAAAGAAAGTCTTTCAGAGTCTCTTGAAAAGATATGAGGTGGGGGAGATCGTTAAAATGGATAAAATGTTAGTTTTGACTAAAATAGCCCGCAAAATAAATCACACATCAAGATTTGATGAAAATGAGAATTTTGATTCTCGAGTTTATGAGAGATGGAAAGAATATTTTATAGTATTGAGAAAAACTGATAGTGAAGCGGAGCCTTTAGACATTCAGTTTTATGATATTCACAACTCAACGAACGAGACGAAGAAAGATCCCGAAATAGCCTTCAAATTGAACTCAAGTATTCATGCTCATATCTATAGTAAAGCTGACAAAGCTATTTGCTTGTCTGTGCCACATGACAATGGCGTTTTGATATATATTCTCAGATCGAGTGGCGAAATTTCAAACTTAAAGTGGCTCTACTTTATTCGTCTGTTTCTTGACGAAAATAAGGGCTCAATATTTCGTGTTAAAATTCCTGAATTGTCCCTTTCATTCCATGTCCAGGTTTCAGATTCAATGATAAGTAAATTAAACCGCAACCTGGAGGTAATGGAAGTTCAAAAGCTAAAGAGAGGTTACAAGGTTAGCAATAGTAATTTAATCGAGCATATAAGGGGTGAAATAATTAATCGACTAAAAGATATAAAGACGGTTGAGGTCAAACTGTGGTTAGAGAAAAATTCCAACCCATGGTTCTGCTTCAAGGATTATGATCGCTTAGAATGGGTTTGTGATAATAGCAGGTTACTCTACATTCAAAATGAATTGCTCAATAATTCTTTTCAGTTGGAATTAAGGAATATGGCAACTTACGTCAGAGAGATTCCAACAGAAGACGGGAACATGATAACAGAACCTTATCCCATAGAAGGGTTTTTGGCTAGGCTTACTAACATCTCGGGGAACAAAACTTCATTGTTACGGTCATTTCATAAACTTCTGTATTTTTACTCTTGTGATAACATTTTATTTTTTACGAAATATTATAGGGCAGTTCCTCCTTCACCTGATTGCGTTCTTATGAACAAAGGAGATTCGAGCTTGGATAATGAGCTACCCATGATTTATGAGCACTCACCTTTTGAGCTCGATGAAAATGAGCAAATTGTTTGGTTGAATAAAAGGGATTTTGAGCATTATGATAACTTAGCATTGAGTGAACTAGAAAGACGCGCTCAACAATTAATTAAAGCCGAGGCACTTATAGACATATGCTTGATAAAAGCCATAAGGCCTATACCACTAGAGGATGTAAAGCTATCACATAAAATTTTATTGGGAGTGCTATTTTATGGTCAGAGTGGCTTATCTGACATAGAGATTTTAGATTCAGCATTTGAGATTGAATTTTATAATGGAGGAACATTACAATTACAGGCGCCGACAAAAGAAGCAAGGGAACATTGGGTAGAAAGATTGAAGAGCTTGAGATCGTATTGGCGGCGAAGAAAAGCTTTCGAATTGAAAAAGAGGATTGAACTCAAAAAATTTAACCAACACCTTTTACGTATCGACGAATATACTGATTCAAATGTGGTCTTTGAGACAAACAACCTCGAAACCACGCGAGCGAAGTCAGATCCCCTTCTCTGCAATATAGATGGCATAGCAATGTCAAAATGCATTCTACTAAGCGGTTACCTATATCAAAAGTATAAGAAGCATTCGAATTTCGACCAGTATTTTGTTGTACTTTGTCCAGGGTTTTTAATACTTTTTTCGATGTTCAAGAGATCTAAGAAATCAGGTGTTTGGAAGAAAAGTACGTGTTTCGAACATTACTTGACTATACCAATATCAAATTGCTACCTCTATTCTGGACATAGTACTGCTCTAGATTTGTTAGAAAGAGAACGAGAAGTCGATAACCTGAATCCAGGTAGGCCCTATCTCCCGCGTTTATATGCTGACGGGTGGAAATCATCAGAGGAAGAATCTTTGAGATGTTTCACCCTCTGGTTTGGAAGAAAGCGCCAGATTTCAGGAAACGACAAGATTGCTTCGAAATACAACGTTAAGAGTGACAATTACAAAAAAAGTACCCCAAAAAACCCAGGAATTTTTAATATGACAAGAAAATTAGGAATTACTGGTCGAAGTATAGTCTTTATGGCTAGATCAAGACAAGAGAGAGAACTTTGGGTGAATAAAATTTATTCCGAAATTGATAGGTTTGCTAAATCCAACTGATGCTTTTACGTCTCAATACTCTTCCTAAATTGCATTTTATAATTATAATAATCATCGCTATATAGTTTCGAACTATAAAATAACTTTACATACATATTAAGACTTGAAAAACACTATACCAAATTATAATCAACTCGCGGAACTGAATAAGACATTATCAATCTTTGAAATTAAATCATCCCAAGTCTTCTCGCTTTTAACATTACATTTCTGCATAAATTCATTAATCACTTCTTGGTCCGAGTCCAGATCAGATTCACTAGACAATGATCCATCCTGAATCAGCATAACTCTTGAGATGCCACAATTTCCATTATTATCACTCAAAATAGTTTCGTGCTTGAAAATTCCATCCACTCTCTGTTTATCAATAGATAACTCTTCGTTCGGTGATGCTTCCTTGTGAGTCATAGTGACACTGTCAGGTAAGAAGATACTAGATGTAGAGTTTAGGGCAAGATACGAAGCACTTTCATCGACAAAAGCATTTTTCTCAGTGATATCACTGAGTCTCTTATTATTATTCTTAATAGCTGATAATGGGCGCGTTAGTGGCCTCTCAAATCCATTTGAAAGTGTGGGCAAAATAATAGTTGAAGTCAAAATTTCACTTGGAAACTTAAAATTAAAATCTGAAGTGGCTACAACCCACTTCTCAATGATCGAATCAGTTTCTGAATTCAACCATATTTGAGAATGGCTCAGTTTCCTGTCAGATATCATTAGTGTGGAAACGTCAGGCGTTTGTACAAATGTGTCTATCATCGGAAACATTCTGCAATCATTTGAACCCATGTTCCAAACCACCAAATAGTTTTCAAAAAGGTAAACTATTTTCGTGCTATAACTGAGACCATCATAGCCTACGAGTAGCTCATCTATCAACCTTAGCTCACCGAATTTTAATAAGGACGTTAACTGCAAACCGGAACAATTGTCAATAAGATATTGTATGAATGCGCTTTTTAAAATATCAAGTGGTACTTCTTTATATTTAGATATCCTTACTGTGACAGTATTAGTAGTTGACATGCTGGCTGTAGGTGAGGGAGATCTGGATAGCCTTAAATAAGATGAAGTCGATCGCCAGCTGATTAGTGAATTGACACCCCCTCGCTTTTTAGAATCAGAGCGAAGTACGGTTCCTGAAACCCTCAAGTTACCGCCAGTTTGATTTTTGGCCGACTGCTCTTTTTTATTAAAAGTTGGCGACAATATATCCGACTGACAAATGGAGCCCTCCAAGGACTTTGTATACCTTAAAGTTGAGCTTAAAGATGAGAGATTGGGGCCCTCTTGCACAAACTTACTTTTCTTATGATCTAGCAACGCATTGGCAAACAATTTGTCAACAATTGAACTATCAAAAGGAGTCATTGTTTGAGATATATTATTGGTTTTGCAATTAAGCCCCTGGCAATGTGGTAGACACTTACAAAGCTGCGTCAGCGGTGAATCATTTGTATCTATTATGTTTAGTTTCAAAAGCTTTTCAATCTCAAAATTGACAGTGATGTTAAAGCACTCTCCGTGGATTACATCACCACATTTCAAGTCAACCAATTTTTCATGTTCTAATTTGGTGTAAAGCATTTCATCACAAATGAAACATTTTAGGTCATTTATATTATTTGTTCGTGGCTTATTTTGCTGAGTTTGAGTGAAAATAAAAGGTTTGACTTTTGGACCTTTTCTTCGTGGGCTGGACATTACTTCTTGTAAAGCATTCGAGGCTTTCAAAAGATCATTCGATGGACCCTGATTTCCCAGCGATTTAGATCTTTGAAAAATTGGAGGTGATCGGTGCGCCGTACCACTAAAAATACTATCAGGATCTGAGTAGGTTGTATCGCAACTCCCACCAGATCTTAATAATGGTGCTAAATCTGAGTTTGGCGAAATAGAGCGTCTTCCACTTCCACGGACACCGTTGAAAGACTCCAAAGAGTGAGCAGGCGAGACTGAGGTGGGAAATGACGTAGGGCTGAACTTATCGTCCTTACTTGTAGCATTGGCCCTCCTTAACTTTGCACGCCAGCTAAACTTGGCTTTTTTCTTATCCACCGCTATGGGTGGTTGCAACATGACCGGAGTCTTCACGGCCAGCATGAAGAACTAATGGCAAATTGAAACAATTCAATGACTATTTTTATGTGTTATGAGGATTCCCTACTTGTGTCTTATAGTCATGAAATAGATATATATATATTATATATATATATATGTAACATAAGTTGCCTCTAGCAACCCCCCTCTATCCCTAAAGTCGTGCTAATTATTGCAATCTACTTGCAGGAACCCTCTTTCTGGCATATAAAGAGAGGTTTTTCCCGTCATCCAGCTCTCAATGCTTGAATAATGTTTCAAATTGCCTTCATCTATCTTCAAAGTTTCCGAATAGGGCATTCTATCGATCCCAAGATGTGTTAAAATAAAAATGTAATGCGGCATTATATACCTGCATATGGACTGTTTATACCAGGTGATATGTCACGAGATTCTGGAGAGCGGTAATATACATCCGAAAAGTATTAAATACACGACCTTTTATCTTCATAGCGCGACAAAGAGCTGCCTAATCTAGTAGCGGATTTCTGCTCCCCGTTAGCAGATTCAATACAGTGGGCAAGAAGAAAATCTTATTAAAACCGTTATCTGCTCTCTCACGAACCTACAGAGTATTTTACAGCCATTCACTTAGGAAATCGATAGGCAGTTAATAACATCGGTAAGATTGGTTGCTAAAAAGTAGGAGCTTAAGGACAAACATACTATAAAAATAAGAAATGTTTGCTAGAGCTACTAGATTAAACATTAAAAATGCGATTGCTAAGAGAAGCATGGCCAGCTCCGCTAGCGACTTGGTCAGCATTGATTTGCCAGCATCTTCGTTTGAAACCTATGAGATAGACCCTCCGTCTTTAACTTTTGAAACCGAAAAAGACACCTTGTTGCAGATGTACAAGGATATGATTATTATCAGAAGAATGGAGATGGCAGCCGATGCTTTGTACAAAGCAAAGAAGATCAGAGGATTCTGTCACTTGTCAGTTGGTCAAGAGGCTGTTGCGGTTGGAATTGAGCATGCAATCAATCATAAAGATACTGTGATCACATCTTACAGATGTCACGGTTTCACTTATATGAGAGGTGCCTCTGTCAAAGCGGTCTTAGGTGAATTAATGGGAAGAAGATCTGGTGTATCTTTTGGTAAGGGTGGTTCGATGCACATGTATGCACCTGGTTTTTATGGTGGTAATGGTATTGTTGGTGCTCAAGTTCCATTGGGTGCTGGCTTAGCTTTTGCTCACAAATATAGAGGTGAAAAGAATGCTACATTTACTTTATACGGTGACGGTGCTTCAAATCAAGGTCAAGTATTCGAATCTTACAATATGGCAAAATTATGGAACTTACCCTGTATCTTTGCTTGTGAAAATAATAAGTATGGTATGGGTACTGCTGCTGCAAGATCTTCTGCCATGGTTGAATATTACAAGAGAGGTCAATACATTCCAGGTTTGAAAGTTAACGGTATGGATATTTTAGCAACTTATCAAGCTTCTAAGTTCGCCAAGGATTGGTGTGCTCAAGGAAATGGTCCTTTAGTCTTAGAATACGAAACTTATAGGTACGGTGGACATTCTATGTCCGATCCTGGTACCACTTACAGAACGAGGGAAGAAGTTCAACATATGAGATCAAGAAGTGATCCTATTTCTGGTTTGAAGCTCACGATGTTGGACTTGAATATAGCTACTGAAGAGGAAATCAAGTCTTATGATAAAGCAGCAAGGAAGTATGTCGACGAGCAAGTTGCTGAGGCTGAAGCATCGCCCCCACCTGATGCATCTTTTAATATCTTATTTGAAGACGTCTATGTAAAGGGCTCTGAAATTCCTGTTTTGAGAGGAAGAATCTCAGATGATTCTTGGGATTTCAAAAACCAGACATACTTAAATAAGGTGTACTGATCTCTAGGTCATATCAGCATCTTGAGCTAAAACCTTAGTTAGAAGCGTTAACATAAATGAATATGTTATTACACTCAACTAAGCATTCAATTAATCTATAATCCTTTACATTTATATATCATGAATATAAACTCATTTCTAAAGTTCGCTTTTCGATATATATAAATAATTTCTAATTTAGTGACACAAAGCTGATCTTAACATAGAGATGAGGCAACAATCATCGCTGCTAAACACAACCTTTACTTAGATTTTTAAGCAAATATTTGATTGCATAACTGACCATTTGTAAGAAAAATGGCTGGTTCCAAAGATTTTGACAACCAATATAGGTATGATGAAATGTCAAATAAGGTGCTTCGTCCAGGACGACGATTCAAAGATAATGACGAAGATACAACACCAGTATCATTAGCGGGGCATGTATCGATACAAGATATGGGTACACGAGTGGTCAGTGAGTCAGTACAAAGGAAGACAAATTCTAAAAAGACATCAAGAAGTAGCGCTAATGGTACGACATTTGAAGGGACATTTGACAATTCATCATATCATCCAACTAATGAAGAAACGTCACATATTTTTAATCTTATAATTACAGAATTGGGAAAAGTTCTCTCAGATCAAAGTCACGAAGTTATAATTTCAGCTGCTGACTCCGTTTTGGATGTATTAAAAAATGACGAGATTTCAGTAGCAGAAAGACGTATTGAGATCAACAAACTTCTAGATATGCAGATAGATGATTCTCTCTTCGAAGACTTAGTTGGATTATCAAGACGCATTAACGATTACGGTGATCAAGTAGCAAACCAAGAATCTATTGAACAAGATGAAGAAAATACAGTTGCTGTAGCTTTTGAAGATACTGATGAAGAGGACGGTGATATAAAAGAATCATTTGATGAAGCAGAAGTTATCCTGCCATCCGAGGAAGCAGAAGTCGTTCCTGAGGTTGATACTAAAGGTTATAACGATGAAGTTATATTGAAATTGAATGAAAAGAAGAATGAAGAAAAACTTCCTTCGATACCCTTACATACAATTGATCGTTATTACATTCAACGAGAAATATCTAAGATTTTGCCTGATAAGGACCAGAAAGAAATTCATAAGGTCGCAGAAAGGATCTCAAAGGCTTTGAAAAACTACGAAATGACTAAGAGAGAACTCGAAGATGAAATAATGGATGCTCTAGATTATGAACATTTTAGTTTTGTTCAGGTATGCATGGAAAATCGTTGGAGATTGTCATTCAAGTTGAAAATCATTGATGCTGACAATGATGAATCTCTTAAAAAAGCACTTTATGATGACATGAAGAAATTAGGGTTATACGATTTGTTTTCGGAAATGACTCTTGGCGGTGAACATAATATTCCCGTCAAACGAAAACTATCTAGCAGTGATGATAAGGAAAATGACTTCAATAAAAGACTGAAATCAGATTTAAAAGAGCGAATGCCAAGGGTTGTTGATTTGAACAATTATGCGTTTGATCAAGGATCTCACTTGATGTCCGTCTCAAAAGTTAAATTACCTCAAGGATCTTATCAGCAAAATAAAAAGCTTTATGACATAATAAGTATCCCAGCACCTCAACCAGCACCATTAGCGAAAGATGAAATTTCCATCAAGATAACGGAGCTTCCTGAATGGGCACAACCAATTTTTCCTAGTAATGAAACATTAACGCTTAACAGGATACAATCCAAGATATATCCGAGTGCGTTCAAAACTGACGAAAATTTGTTACTATGCGCTCCTACAGGTGCTGGTAAGACAAACGTAGCCATGTTGACAGTTCTAAGGGTTATAAATAACTTTAGAGACTCGGCTACTGGTAAAATAGATATTCATAACTTTAAAATTGTTTACGTCGCTCCATTAAAGGCTCTTGTTCAAGAGCAGGTTCGCGAGTTTCAAAGAAGGCTCACGCCGACTTTCGGAATTGTCGTGAATGAACTTACGGGAGATTCGTCTTTAACTAAGCAGCAAATGAATGAAACTCAGATCTTGGTCACTACTCCAGAAAAGTGGGATGTCGTCACACGTAAACCAAATCCTTATACCGAGTTGGTGAAGTTGATTATTATAGATGAAATTCATTTGCTACATGATGAAAGGGGCCCAGTTATTGAAAGTATAGTTAGTAGGACGTTGAGACAAATGAGACCCTCTGATGATTTGGTGAGGTTAGTCGGTCTTTCTGCAACGCTTCCTAACTATGAAGATGTAGCAAAGTTTTTGAGAGTTGATTCGAAGAAAGGATTGTATTATTTTGATTCTACGTTTCGTCCGTGTCCTCTAGCACAACAATTTATCGGAATCAAAGAAAGAAAGGCCATAAAAAGAGTCAACGCTATGAATGAGGCATGCTACGACAAGTTGATTGATAACTTGAAAGACAATTATCAAATTATTATATTCGTCCATTCAAGAAAGGATACATTTAAGACAGCAAAGTGGCTCAGTGAGAGACTTACTCAAGATGAAAAATCTTTGAACCTTTCCTCAGGTACAAATGAGATCTTAAAGCAAGAAGCAGAAATAGTCGATAATAGAGGTTTGAAGGAGATCATAGGCCAAGGCTTCGGAATACATCATGCTGGACTTAAGAAGGACGAAAGAAACTTGGTAGAAGATCTATTTGCACAGGGTCATTTGAGGGTTTTGGTCTCAACAGCAACTTTAGCTTGGGGTGTCAATCTTCCCGCTCATACTGTAATAATCAAAGGAACTGACACTTACTCTCCTGAGAAAGGTGACTGGATCCAATTATCACCTCAGGATATCTTGCAAATGCTCGGAAGGGCAGGAAGACCAAGATATGATAAAAATGGTGAAGGTATCATCATTACCTCTCAAGACGAAATTCAATACTACTTAGCTATTCTCAATCAGCAATTACCGATAGAATCGCAATTTATTAATGATCTTCCTGATGCATTGAATGCAGAAATAGTACTTGGAAGTATTGAGTCTAGAGAGGATGCAATAAAATGGCTAGGATATACATATTTATACATAAGGATGCTCAAGAGTCCTAAGTTGTACCGAGTTGGTCTGGAATATTCTGATGACGATGATTTATATTGGAAAAGAATGGACCTAGTACACTCTGCTTTACTTATTCTTCATCAAAATATGCTCATACAGTACGATTCTGAAACAGGGAAGCTTAAATCAATGGAGCTAGGAAAAATCGCTTCACGCTTTTATATCAACTACGAGACAGTGAACATGTTTAATAATCAATTGAAACCTTGGTCTAGTGAAATTGATATCTTAAAGGTTTTTTCACAAGCTGGTGAATTTCGCTTCATACCCATAAGGCAGGAAGAAAAGTTGGAAGTGCAAAAGCTATCAGAAAGATGTCCGATTCCGATAAAGGACAATCCTAGCAGCCCACTAGCAAAGGTCAATGCTTTGTTACAAACATACATATCTAGGCTATCTTTAGATGGTTTCGCATTGATGTCAGATATGATATATATTACACAATCAGCAGGTAGATTGTTAAGAGCCATATATCAAATTGTGCTCAAAAAGAATTGGTCATCTGTTACAAAGACAGCCCTTGATTTATGTAAAATAGTTGAAAAGAGAATGTGGTTGAGTAACTCTCCTTTTAGACAATTTGGAGATTTGGTTCCAACAGAAGTCATCAGGACAACCGAAAGTTCTCTATTACCTTTTTTGAACTATTTTGATCTCTCTGCAGAGGAGCTAGCGGAATCGGTCAATTTGAGAGCTAATAGTCAAATCGCATTCAATTTGCTAAAGCAATTCCCAAGACTCTCTCTTAGCTATTACGCTCAACCTATTACACCAAATCTTATTCGAGTCCAAGTTGAAGTCTTACCAGAATGGACATGGAACCCAAAAATACATGGAAACTTCCAAACATTTTTAGTTATCGTAGAGGATTGTGATGGTGAAAAAATTTTACAAACTGGAGACTTGACAGTCTCAAGGAAGCATGCCCAAAAAGAACACTTATTAGATTTCACGCTTCCTGTAATGGAGCCATTGCAACCTAATTATTTTGTTACTTTCATAAGCGACAAATGGTTACATTCTGAATGGACAGTACCCGTGATGCTCTCTAATTTAACATTCCCGAAAAGAATACCTACTTATGATGCTTTGTTAGATTTAGAGAGTGTACCTACAAGCGACTTGAACTCACCGGATTTGATTCAGACATTCCCATTTAATTACTTCAATAAATTCCAAACACAGGTTTTCCCATCCCTTTTTAAATCTAATGAAAATATCTTTATCGGAATCTCAAAAGGTGGGGGTAAAACCGTCTGTGCAGAGCTAGCTATCCTAAACCATTGGATGCAAAACAAGGGTAGGATAGTCTATATCAATCCGAGTCAAGAAAACATAGACGAACTATGCGTTAATTGGAAAAAATATCAGCATTTGCCGAATAAGACCATTAATAAATTGACAAATAATCTTTCAAAGAACATTCGACTTTTGTCAACTAGTCATTTAATCTTAGCAACGCCTCAACAATTTGATATGGTATCACGAAGATGGAAACAGAGAAGATCAATACAAGCAATTGAACTTTTCATAATGGATGATTGCCACAGTGTTGGAAATGCTCTAGATGGCTACGTTTATGAATCAATTATTTCAAGAATGCGTTTCATATCCACACAAGTTGACACTAGTATAAGATTCGTTGCATTGTCCACACCTTTATTTAATTGTAAAGATTTTGCAGATTGGCTTGGGTGCTCGAAATCGAACACTTATAACTTTGACCCTGCAAGCAGATTTAATAGAATTGAGGAAATCAGACTTCAACCATACAGTGGGAGCCCCTCTGAAATTGCATCGCTACCTAATGATCCTTCATATATGTTTCTAAAAGAAAACATGGACAGCAGTTCCTTAATATTTTTGCCGACAAGAAAGGATTGTATTGAAGCTGCTATTTCCTATGTCGAGCTATCAAGGGCAGAAGATTGGGATATGCTCAAAGTTCATCCGAGTAAGCTCGATCCTTATGTGAAAAAAGTCAAAGACAAGGAATTGAAATATTCTCTTGAATATGGCATTGGCCTATATTACGTTGGAATGGACTCTAGAGATAAGCTCATCGTTGAACAACTATTCGCTTCGAATACGATATCTTGTTTATTAGCGGCTAAGGGCACTTGCCAATTTGCACCTTTTGCAAATAACGTTGTTATTTTAGGAACTAGAGAATTTGATGGGAAAGAACAGAGATTTGTCGATTTTACGATCGCTGATATATTGGAAATGATTGGATGCTGTAAAGATAATTTGAATAACGCATCCAAGATTCTTGTTCTAACCACCGCATCTAAGATTAGTTATTACAACAAGTTTTTAGTAGAGGGTTTACCTATCGAAAGTCACTTGAACTTGTTTATTCACGATTGTTTCATGAATGAAATTAGCTCGAAGGTCTTTGAAAGCAGACAAGATTGTATTGATTGGATTACTTTCAGCTATTTTTATAGAAGACTCCAATCCAACCCTAGCTTTTACGATGTTAAAGATACGTCACATTTAGGAGTATCTGAATATTTGTCAGAACTTGTTGAAAGTACGTTGAAAGATCTCGAAGATTCAGCATTGATTGAAACAGAGGTAAATGATGAAGATCAGCAAGGTGACGCGGAGGATGAAGAAGAAGATGAAGAAGAAGAGGACAGTATCAATCCTCTCAATGGTGCCATGATTGCCTCTTACTATAATACTACATATGATACGATGAAGGAACTACAAAAAATTGATAATAAAACGAGATTAAAGGGTATATTGGAGGCTATTACTTCTGCAAGTGAACTTGAGCTGGTTCCGATTAGGCAAAACGAAGAGTCGATTCTTTCCAAATTATATAGCAAGGTTCCTATCAAGGTTACAGAGCCAGACTATGAATCCCCTCAATTTAAAGCATTAGTTTTGTTGCAGGCACATTTTTCAAGGCTCCAGCTACCTGTTGATTTAGTGTTGGATCAAAAGGCAATACTTCAACGAATTTTGAACGTACTCTATGCCTCTATTGATACCTTGTCCGGCGAAGGCTACTTAAATGCTATACATGCAATGGATTTATCACAAATGATCATACAAGCAGTTTGGAATAAGGACAGCCCTTTAAAACAGATTCCCAACTTTGATAATGAAATCTTGAGCAGATGCTCCAAAGCAAAGATCGATACGGTGTATGATTTAATGGCGATGGAAGATGAGGAACGAGACGATGTTCTTAGATTGCAAGGTGAGAAATTGAATGACGTGGCCGAATTTGTTAATAAATACCCTAACATCGACATAACTTACGAATTAGATTTGTCCAGTCCTATTTCCTCAAACGACTCCAAACAACTTAAGGTCGTATTAGAGAGAGACGAGGAGATGGAAGATGACAGTGTTATTGCTCCGTATTATCCTTTTCCAAAAGATGAAAGCTGGTGGATTGTCCTCGGCGACGCTGATTCTAGGCAGCTTTATGCTATCAAGAAAACGACAATTAACAAAGAATTACAAGCAATTACTTTAGAGTTCACAATACCAAACCCTGGTCATCACAAATTGTCAATTTGGTGTGTCTGTGATTCTTACGTCGATGCTGACAAGGAAGTATCATTCGAGATAGATGTTGTACCTGGAAGTGACAGCGATGAGGATGATGATGATGATGATGATGGTGATGAGGAGGAAGAGAAGTAAGAACTTTTATTTATATAGTTACTAATAATACTCATGTAATATAATATTGAATATTTTGATTGTATGCCTCACTATTTTTCATGACTCAGTGAAAAATTCACGATATGGTGACATTACAGTAAAAGGAACTAATTGTACAGAGCTGGGCACAATCTTCTTCAATATGACAACCCCTAATCAGAGCATACTAACGCCATACATCAAGTCATTATTTTTAGATCCGCCTAATTTGACTCCTTCAGACTTGTCAATGGTCTTGAAATGTATATTTCGAGGAATACCATCAGACATTCAAACAGCTGCTTTTCTTACAGCCTTACGAATGAGAGGCTTGGACCATGAACCAGACTATGTTGCGGCAGCAGCAACTACCATATTAGAATTTTCTACTCCTATACCCTTAGAATCGTTAGATCCCAAGGGTTATGTTGATGTGGTTGGAACAGGAGGAGACGGACAGAACACATTCAATGTTTCGACATCTGCAGCGATAGTGGCTGCGGGCATGGGATTATCAATATGCAAACATGGTGGAAAAGCTTCCACGTCAAGTTCTGGATCTGGGGACCTTCTCAAAAGCTTAGGTATCGATCTAATGCAAGTGACACACAATACAACTGCACATATAGTCAAGAAGTCCAAGTTTTGTTTTTTGTTTGCGCCAGTATTTCACCCTGGAATGGCACAAGTGGCTCATATAAGATCGCAGTTGGGGGTCCCTACTATTTTTAACATTTTGGGACCGTTGATCAATCCGATTCCCTTACGAGCAAGAATTTTAGGAGTATACAGTGAAAAGTTAGGGGAGTCATATGCAAAAGCTGCTTCGGCTCTAGCCCTTGAAAATAAAATCCACGAGAGAACTATGGTTGTTTATGGAGAAGTCGGACTCGACGAAATTTCTCCTATAGGTTCAACAAAGTGTTGGATAATTGAATCTGACGGATCCATAACGAGGCTATCTATTTCTCCTGAAGATTTTGGGTTACCAGAACATCAGTTGAATGAAGTGAAGTCTGGTTCGCCTGAAGAGAATGCTAGTATATTGCTACATATTTTACGCCAAGATTCACATATATACAAACTCCATGAGTCGGAGAAGGGTAATCACCCCATTGTTGATTACATTTTGTTGAATAGTGCTGCGTTGGCCGTTGTATCGGGTTTGTCAAAGTCTTGGGCAGAGGGAGTAAAGTTGGCGAAAAATTCCATCACTTCAGGAGCTGCATTGCAATCATTAGAGGATTTCAAGAGCGCCATCAGTGAGGTATCTTAGAAGATTATCAACACTTAATAGAGAGAAGATCTTGTGACACAAAATGGATTTTATTTTTCGTTTTTGTGTCGCGCTATATATTTAAATGAAAACAAATAAACATCATAAGGTGGTAAGACGTTATAAGTATTTAAAGACTAAGCTCGCCTGCAAAATATAAAAACTATCGGTGTCAATATAGTTACATACTGTATATTTGTCCCGCCTTTGTTTCATATAGACGTCAAAACATTGAAGAAAACAAAACCCAACACTGTTGATTAAATTCAAATTCATCAACAAAACGCGGACATGCTTTCTAGTAAAAAGCTAATTGGCACACCATTGAGGCGAGGAGAAGGGAATGGGCCCACTCGTGGCCAAGAATTTACGCCTATTGGTGGCAAGCTGAACTTTGCTGTTGATAAAAATAATGCTTTCCATGTAGAACAGCCAAATGTGCGTGGTAAAAGGGCACTTTTCATACCCATCAAGGAAGATACAAAGGCATCGCGCCGTTCTGTTCTCGACTCAAGTTTCGATAATACGATAGATAATTTTGACAATACGCTTGGGTCGCTTCATCTGCCATTGCGACCAAGCAACTACTTCAATAAAGCAGATACAGGCGTCAACCTCGACATAAACAAAAATGGTAGCGTTTCGCACTTGAAATCATTACATCCTCTAGAAGACCATGATTTAATCGGTAATGGATTACCGTCTATCAGAGAACAAGAAACACGTTTTCGCAGAATTGAAACTGAAAATTACAATCTCAAAATAAAGTTGGCAACGTTACAAAGGTATATCGATCAAACCCCAGAAGAGAATAGGGAATTGTTAAGTGAAAATATTAGCTTGAAGCAGCAATTGTTTGCAAGTAGCGAAGAGGCTGATCGTTTAAGGCAATTGAATAGAGATCTAACTAAACTGGTGGACAAGGAAAATTATTCTGATCCAAATGAACTAGAAAATGCTGTCCTCAAAGCAAAGTCTGAATATAAGGATCTCCTTCGTGAAAGAGATACTCAGATAAGAGACAATGAGGCTCACATAAAAAGGCTTCAGGAACTTGTTGAAAGTAATAGAAGAAATGCAGATGAAATAGATGCACATGGAAGTGCGGAGAACATGTCATTAAAAAGAACAATAGAGTCATTACGGGGAGACTTGAGAACATTCGAATCAGAGAATGAGGAATTGAAAAAGGTTACAGCTTCTTTGAATGATGAAATCGAGAAATTTATCGAGGATAAAAGATCATTAAACGAGACAACAGATTCTCTTAAGAGACAAAACTCAAACCATAAATACGAATTGAGGTCACTAAATGAGCTCATTGATAACTTAAAGTATGATCTTTCAAATAGCGAGAGTGAACGTAAAGCCTTAGAAAGCAAATTCAAAACCCATGTTGAAAAATTGAACGTTGATTTGGATGAGGCAAGGAATGAACTTTCTCGCTGGAAAAAGAAGACTAATGCACTGAACGACGATAGAGATTACATTAAAGAATTGAATTCGAAAGTCTCAGAATACGAAGAAAAGTACGGGACCATTAAAAGCAAGTCCTTAGAGTCGGAGCTTAAAATAGATATGTTATCGAATGAAAACCAGAAACTAGAACGCAAACTTCATCGCGTGGAAGAAGACTTGAAGGAGAAGGAGAAAGAAGAGTATAGTTTGAGGAGTCAAATCAGTGCTTTGATTAAAAAAGGGAGGTCTTTTGAAAGCGCTACGGTTCTTGAATCGCAAATAGAAGATTTGAAAAACAGTGAATCAAAACTTATCAGTCAAAATAAGTCATTGAAAAGCGAGATCGATGAGTTAAGGGATCAATTGTATCAAAATAATGTGGGAACGAGTTCTCAGGCAACGAAACTCAAAGAGGAACTTGACGAGAACCGAAATAGGATAGAGTATTACGAAAAGGAGTATGATTCCTTACAAAATGTTTTGTCTTCTGTTAAATCTAAAGCGGATGCGTTAGAAAGAGAATTAAAGGAAAAGAATAGAATTGTTTCTGAATTAAAATTGGAAATTAACTCAAAAATACCGGACTCATCTGCTCTATTGGAGCTAGAAAATGCCACTAAAAGGAGACTTGAAGTCGAAAGACTTGCAATTGAGAGAGAAAATACAGCACTCGAAGCGGAAGTGAGTAGATTGAAGTTTGAAATTCAAAGATTGAAGCAAGAGTCAGATTTAAGAAGTACTGAATTATACAAGGACTCTCATCTAGGTACAGAATATCATAGCTTGCTCATTGAGAACCGTGAACTTCAATCCAAGTTAAGAGATTTTAATTCAAATAGACAGGAGGAAGAATCTCGAATGGAACAGAGGATAAAGGATATCGAGCTAAAATATCTCACTGAAATCTCTTCCAAAAAGTTGGCGATTCAACAACTTGAGTCACAGGTATTTCACCTCAATCAGGTACAGGATGAAAAAACAAAGCTTATCAAACAAAACTCAAACCAAGATTCAAAGATAAAGAAACTAGAATTTGATATTGAAAATTTAACTAGAGAATATGACTCCGAAGTTAATTACTACAGACAAAAAATGTCACTTTTAGAATCTCAGAATGTTAATAGAGAACGTAGCGAATCGTCCATTGTTATGTTGTTAGAAAAGCAGCTCGAAGATTCGAAGAAGATTAGAGATGATCTCAACCTCAAACTCTCAAGTTCAATGTCCAAAGCTGATGACCTGAATAAGAAAGCGAGTGATTTAGAAAATAAGAATGACGAGCTTCAGAGCCTTATTTCTAAAATAGAAAGCAATGTGAAATTTCTCAAAGCTGAAAACGAGAGATTGGATATAAAAGGAAGAAGATCACTAGAAGAAATCAAAACTTTAAGTAAATATAATTCCAATTTGGTAGAGAAGATTGAAAACTTACGAAGAAAAGAATTCTTTTCTAAGGACGAGCTTAACACAAGGTTTTCTAAAATTGATCTAAATTCCAACAAAGGGGAGGTCAATTTATTAGGTAATGAACTCAAATATTATAAAGCAAGGTTGCACGATTTTAACTTGAGGGCAAACGATTTGGAATTTATGTATTCATTTATCATCACATCAATTGAAAACTCAAACGACTTGATTAAAAAGGATTTAAAGAAACTTGTGGGAGTTGGTTTTTATCCTAATCATTCCTTACACCAAAGAAGTAAGAAAAAACTAACTTTTTCGATAGTCGCTCAGTTCGTTCTATCACTTATCAGAATGAAGAGAAGAAGCTCGAAGGCGAACTTGAGAAAGCTAAAACTCTTTGAGTTGAAAAATGAAATCGAAAATGATAAACTTTTGTTGATATCATGATCAATTTATGTATACTACTGTAAATTATAGGACACGAAATATATTCCTAATATAATGCTAAGAATTATTTATCTTGTCATTCGCGTAATCGGTGTTTGAAAATTGTTATCGTTAGAAGGCTGTCTCGTTTTCGTCATTCTTGGAGTTTGCAACACTGGCTGGCTAAAAGAATTCGACCTTGAATTTAAAAAGGTGTCATTCAGATGGGTGAAGTTTAAAAAGTCATGATTTTCTATCTGCAATCTCTCTAAATTATCTGCTAATGTAAATCCATTTGACATGAATTCGCCAATAGTCAATCCTTCATCGCCTTCAAAGTCATCATAGTTTTTGCTCTGGTGTTTAGTGTATAATGGGCTCAAAATAGTCCTATCCACGTTATCAGGATGCAGTTGGTCCGAAAACTTCTCTGTTATGTTGAGGTCATTCCATATCTTTTCCTTCAATAATTTCCTTTTATTTTTAAGACTTTTCAACCCAAAATTCATTGAGTTGACTAAGAGATTATTATCATCTTCTTCTTCAAAGAAAAAATTAGGATATACGCTCAACGTAGTATCGAACAATATTTGAGTATCAATGTCGTCAAAAGGTATAGGCTCATCTTTCCATTTCTCAATGTAAAGAACCTGATTAGGATGGTTTATATGTACGTATGAAAAATTAGAATCTCTGGACATCTGCTGATAATAAATCAAATTCAGTCGATCAAAATACAAATGTATAAGCTCAACACTAGCCGCTTATAATTTTACTGTAATTGTATGCACTTCGATTATGTTGTTCAGGCTCAGTGAGTTAAATGTAATAAAAAACGGTTACCAACTTATAAACGTACTGATAATAACGATAAGATGTAAACAGGTTTACTTTTAATTTTTATTGAAGATGCCACAAAAATGATCTCAACTTTTATACTGATGATAGCCTATCTTAGCGAACTCTAAAACTAATGCTTCTGTTCAAATATTCCAGGTAGTGCGCTTGATATCTGACATCTTATACTCATAGTTCATGTATGATTTGAGTTTCAAGAATTATCAAATTATGCTGAACGTTATCACTTCCCGAATTTCTTACTTCAAAGTAAGATAGTGGTCGAGACTTGAAACCAAATCATGAACAAAGTTTAGAGTGTAATATACGACAATCTTTGTAAAGCCTACGAGGATGATGTTAATGAGCTTTCAGTAACGTCGGTATGTCTTATCAGGCTTAGCCTTAACAGCTGTGACTTTCCAGATACAAGAATATCGCCATAGACAAGCCTGAATTTTGGTTGCAACTAATAACGGCTCTTCAAGTTAGGTATATCCTCACATCGATTCAGTAGATTAAAAGAGATTGTCTTTGTGCGGAGATCACCGCGAGAGCCCGGGGCTCGAGTTTTTTCAAAGAACCGTGTGAATTGCGTTATCTGAGACATATGGCAGTCTAACTCACTTTTGGTCCTGTCTTTTGGTCCTCCGTGAGCCCCATACGCAATGCCGTATATTAAAAAAAGCACGAGACATAACGACAAAATACTACAAGATGTCAAGCAAATAGAATTGAAAAAGATGTACCCCAAACTGGTATGAAGAACCGGATAATTTTCACTTTGACGTGTGATTTATTATTTGGGAACTATCATTTCGTCATACTATCCACTAGGAAGCGCAAGTCCATTCAGGCACATTTTATTCTTTAATTAAGATCAGTGATAAGAATCTCTGATTTCAAGTGAGGAGAAGACCTTAGCTACATGATCAGGATCCCAATGTAACCGAGTTACATATTACTTAAAAGAGATACCCTAGGAGATTCCGATCCAGAATACGCCCCCTAATACAAAAGGCTATTGTTTAACGGAATGTTGTTGAAGTGCGGAACATCGTTCCGACCTCCTAGATACGACCAACAATAGCTCGCAACTAACAATTCATGGCAATAGAGAATCCAATACCGATTAGATCTAATATTGGCACACAATACAATTAGAATAATTACGAGCATTCTAGTGTGTAAGGTCGGGCGTAGGGATATGAGATATGTTACAATCAGAGGCGATCTTATGAAAAGCTCTATCTGACTACGTCTTAGTTTTGAAAAGATACCGGAAATATTCGTTGTAGACATAGCATTTTGACACTTGTAAAATACCTTTGATAAGCGAAAATCTTTGCCCCTCATGAAGCACTTCTGATGAGCGAGGATCAAGAGATCCTTCGCAACCCAGTCAGGGTCCCCAAAAGAATATACGTCCTCTCCGAGTTTGACTTACGAGGTAAGTCTCCACCAGAAAAAGACCGGCTTTTTGTGTATTGTGTCAGAAGAGGATTAACTGTCGGGATGTGGAATTGACAAAAACGGTGGCTCTCGCGGGTTTACTCTTTTTTAGCCTAAAAAGAATAAGAGATAAAAAAAAACAGTGCCGTACCATACAAATTTCAGTTTTAAAAAGATATGACGAGGGATTTTAATTGGATAGTGGAATAACTAAACAAAATTTCTAATATTAATCATAGAATTCCCAGCGTTCATCCCCTTTAATCAGCACCATCAGAAAGAATTCACTTTTTGCTCAAATTATATCATCTAATAGCGAAGTGACAGGAAGAACTGGGCGAATATTCTGTTGGATAAAAAGAATTAGTATGGCAAGATGTTTTTAACTCTAGGTTTGATCAGCGATACGCCGACTAAATTAAATAAAAACATATTGTCAATCAAGCTCAACATTTTTAAGTTCTTGAATAGTTTGATTTACGAAAACTCTTTTCAAAAGAAGTTGTTTCCGCCTCTTGGAAGTGCTAAGATTTTGGACTTGTCAAACACATTACTCAGAAATGGTCCAAGAAACTGTGCCGCAGATGATTTGGACTTAAGTTTAGAGGGTCCAAATGATCAAATTGAATTTTTCAATAACTTTGTGTTTACTGAAAACACGCATGATAATAGAGCTTCAACGTCCTCAGCAAGCACGTTTGTCACTAGTGGTGAATATCACTCCAACGAGAATACGGAAAATTATTATTCCGGAGAGCATATCGAAGGGGATGAATACTTATCAAATGGACACGATCAAGATAATCATGGCTTTCCATCGTATGCAACTGATAATCAGTTTAGTTTATACCAAGGGATTAATTCAAAGTCCATGATGGCTTATGGTCATAATTTCAACATGAATATGAATATGCTTGGAATAAATAATAACCCTGGTAACGTATATTTCAATGATTTTGATAATCATAATGTAAAAGCTGTTGGTCAGAATTCAGTTTACAGTTCATCCCATGAGAGCTATTCCAGCCCTTTGGACGAAGAGTTATTCAATAAATTTAATGGAGGTCCCCGCTCACATACGAGACAAAATGTTCAAGTAGCGATCAATGCAAATGAACAAGACCAACATACCAAGAAAAGGAAATCGTTTATGGATTTGCAAATTCCATTCTCAACAGCAAGCCACCAATCTCTGCAGTCTCTGCAGTCTCTGCTTTATGATGTTGGTAAGATTTTCGATGATATGATAGTTAAAGAGCATTCAAAGTTCGATTATCCACATCATCAAGAAAAAAATCGGTTTGATGGATCATTTCCCGGTAAGAGAAAATATAAGAAAGCAAAGAAAATGGGATCTGAAGGTAGTAATCAATCTTCAGGCACATCGGCGAACTTGTTGAGCTTTGAATGTCCTCACTGTGAAGCCAAGTTCAAAGTCAAAGGTTATTTAACTCGTCACTTGAAGAAGCACAACTCTGCGAAGGCATTTGTGTGCCCATTTTTCGAGGAACCTACCGATTCAACTTCTGGTAGCAAATGCCATCCCACTGGAGGCTTTTCACGTAGGGACACTTACAAGACGCATCTCAAAGCTTTGCATTTCATTTATCCGCCAGGAACCAAGTCTAGTGAAAGAAATATGATAAGCGGCAGATGCGGTGGTTGCTTCAAATTTTTCGAAGATAATTGCAAATGGCTTGAGTCACACATTGAACCCGGTGAGTGTAAAGGAGTAGCCGGTATTAAAAAGCCAAAAGACGACTTGTTGGAAATAGACGGTACTGCACACCATTTTGAACAGCATCACATCCATCGCTAGAAGGTGGAAGACTTTACCTAGCAATAATATCAGTCATTCTATCTGCACATCAGCACTTTCTAAAATTTGCAATTCAGTTCATAAATCGTGATAAACGTGGGGAGATTCAATTCAGTTGTGTAGTGAGCATATTGACACCATAGGTTCTAATCTAATCTTTTTAATTCAACTTGTGCTATAGCTTAGATTTAATAATATAATACAGTGAGAAAGTGAAACAAATCCCGTAGGAAAACATGGTTCTAAATAAGTTTGATAATCCACCAAGGTGGGCAGCCATTAAGTTAAATATAGCAATAGGCTCTATTACGTCGCTGAAACCGGCCCTTCAGCTCAATGGCAAAATTTTCTCCTTAGGGGAGGTGACAGTTGAGCTTATTGTAGCCAAATAGCTGCAAACATTTTCATTTTTTTCATTCCACAAAGGCACACGGCTCTTGACGTTGACACATGCAGAAATGGAACAGGCTTTTGCTCCAAATTTCAACAAACTACTGTACTGGCTATTAGATCTGCCCATCACCGACTTTGCCGCTGTCAGAGTGCCGTTGTAGCTTTCTCTATGTCTTTTTATGGCCGCATGGCCATAGCACGCGGTTACAAAAGGAATTGAAAGGCTCCAACAGACTGCCGTGTAAAGCTGGCACAATAAAAGGCTGAAAATTTCAGAAGAGTGCCGTGAAAATGAGTCACCGGGAATGAAAATGTTACATACCCACGAGTCCAAGTTCTTGGGCAGTTCTCCTCCATTTTAGGCTGAGATTGTTTTTTGGCTAAGTGGTGTCATGAATCGCAGAAGGACGCGAAAAAGTTAGAGATGCAATGGAGTAGTTACGTAAGGATAATTTGGGAGGCAGGATATCTACAGCAGCGTAAAACATCGCATATAGTTAAAGTCTCTATGATGAAGTCTTTAATCGTCTGTTACGTTTTCATTCCTCTCAGAGTAAGTTGAGGTATGCGTGCGTAACTCTAGGTCTGCGAAGTTTCTTTAATTTTTCCAGTTTAGTGCTCTAATAAGCGTCGCCACTAAGGTAACACGCCGAGTCCGCTCTCTTTCTAACTAGGGGTCTTCTCAAGTAATTAGACATTTTATTACAACAAAAATAAAGAAATCCACTATAGCAGATTAAAATGTCAGCATTGGATAAATCTTTGGATGATATCATCTCTTCAAGTAAGAGACCATCGTTTAAACCAAAAAAATTTGCCAACAAGAAAAGTGCCAACAAGGTTGGTAAAAAAGTTGGAGCAGCTAAGAAAAAGCCTATTGTTTCTTTCAAGAAGGCTGCTGCTATTTCAAAGGGCCCGAAGTCAGATTCTCTTGACTTGTCTTATGCCACTAAAGTTGTGGTTTACGGATTGCCTAAGGATATTAAACAGGATGCTATAAAGGTATGTAACTGAGCAGACTGAGGGATACCTTCAACAAATTCTCTATGCCATATTTTTGTCGCTAGAGAGTGTTTCCCTCCTGTCGAGGTTTCTTTTTTTGTTTTATTGGGTGTATACTCTTTATTTCTTTCAAGGATGGTTTGGTATAGATAATTTTTAAAAGGAGTGATATTCAAGTTGGGTGATATATCTGTACAGAGGATGGCTAGAAATATGTCTTTGTTTAGTTGCTACAGAGTGTTTGGTAACCTTGCAACATAGCAACTAATGCTTAACTGTCACTTCAGACCGAAAGATGTCAGTAGTACATTTGATCTCGAGCCACTTGAATTTCATTCAAGGTACAAGGAAGCGAATACGACCTTGTGACTTGATGATTAAACTAGATTCTGACTTCATGATTATCTCCTTGCTATGTTGGTTTCAAATGGGGCAAGAAATATAGATCATTTGAATGTGGGACTTCACGCGACGGTGAGTCTTCCGCTCTATGAAATAAACTACTTGCTCGCTTTGTTTAAGGCACAGTTTTTAAGAGACTGTTCATTTCGCACCAACTGGCGCCTTGTATGCAACGCTACTGTCAAGAATAGCAACAGGCCCCAATTACCCAGCTCACTGCTAAGTCGTTGGGTACATAGCTTTTAATGGTTTTGATTATGTATTGGACAGCACTTTGAAGACATCCTCGCCGGCAAAATAATAACTAATTTCGTTTCCCCTCCGGATTTATTGAACCCGCTTGGACTCAACCGTCATTTTAATTCTTCGTCATTTATTTCTTTTTTATTAACTGCATCGATAAACTCAAAAAAGAGGCTCGATTTCTATGAATCGAGTGGCATTGAAAACTAACAAACACTATAGGATTTCTTCCAGTCTCAAGTTGGTGGCGTTCAGAACGTGGCATTATCTTACAACGAAAAAGGTAACTTCAAAGGTATTGCAACTGTAATATTCAAGGCTCATAAATCTGCTTCTTTGGCAGTTGAAAAATATAATGGTGCTCCTATCGATGGTGGTAGTTCGAAGTTGAAACTTGAACTCATCATTGATCCTACCAAGAAACCGTTGACGTCAAGAATTGCCGCAAATAAAGTCAATACACCTAAAGTTGGAAGTACACTTAAAGCTAAACAGCTTAAAGCAAAAGTAGTTGCTAATAAAAAAGCAGCCCCTGAAAAGAAAAAAAAGCCAGCTAAGAGAGCGAAGAAGACAGTCGAAGAATTGGACCAAGAAATGGCCGATTACTTTGACAATTAATTAAGAACTTTTCAAGTTTTGTATTGGAGAACAATTGGCTCTTCGAAGAGTAACATTGTGTCAAGTAAGTAGTCTTATATGTTTTGTTTTATATCAAATGTAAAATATTGAAGGTTCGTGCTTGAGCCTTCTCGACCTCGCTTAATTAAAGGTAAACAATAGGACTCGTCAAAAAATTCAATCGTAAAAATAACGCTCCCGTAAAGAAGGAATAAAAACAGAAGAAAGAAAGTGTTCTGGTATATCAAAGCGTTTGCTCTTTCAGAAGTTTTGTACTTTGATTAAAAGATAGGTCGTCGAATATAGTTCATACCATTGGTCTTTAATTTGAGACGTATTTTAATGCAATTGCCATGGGAAAAAATATTGAGTATTTGATTACTGCTGAGTTTCATGTTGACAAGGGCCCGTCAATTATTGACCAGTATCCTCACCCATTGCCAGGGTTGCAGAATCTTCAATTCTTACCTGAATTAATGATACCTGATCAAATTCATAAGAGAGACGAAGACTATACCTTATTCTTATTCTACCGACACAAAATAAATGGAGAGTTTCAGTATCTATATGAGAAGGACACATGTGAGCCAAGCCCATACTTTCTCTATACCCTAGTGAGCAATGTCCAGGATTCTGCATTCAAGAGAGGGTCGGTTATTAAGTCACTATCAGTTCTCACAAGATTAACATTTTTTAAAAGCCTCAAGCCAGTACTACTTATATGCTTGGAGAAATACTTCGGCTATAATGATGCAACTTATTTACAAGAACTTTACGAATCAATAAATCAAAAGGATTTCAGACTAAACACTTCCTTATCAGCAATTAAAAAGTTATTGATAACTTCGATATTAGATCTACCAATTAATTCAAAAATTTACAGTGACGAAGCGTTCAGGAGAAAGATTTTGGGTATTAAAGATAAAAAGTCTAACAGCGATTTATACTTGAGAAAGGATTTGAGTTATAACTCAGTTATTCAATTTAATAATATGAATCTTCCAGTCAAAGTGCCCATGATTGATCTACCCGATACAATAGGAGACTATTTTAATCCAACGGATTTAAATTTTAGACCAAACTTAATAAATATACTTAATGCTAAATTGGCGACCAGCTTGTTTAATAACGAATTAACGATTTATGGATTGCAGACCCCACCTATAATAATATTAATTAATGCCATCTTGACTGGTAAAAAGATTCTCTTTTTGAGTTATGAGAACTCCTCAGGGTACACTATTGACCACTTACTTTTGACTTTAAAAATTCTTACTGGTGGTGGGATTCTCACAGGATTGCTATCACATTATAATTTCTTTCCCATGATTGATGTATCCAAGATTGATTTATTAGAAAAATGTGAATCATACTTGGCTGGTACGATAAATCCTTTCTTTAAACATAACGATAGAGTGTGGGATTTATTATACGATTTAGACAGTAATGAGTTTCATATATCAACTCAGATTGCTAATAACCAGGATGACAGCCAAATATTTAAAAATTCTATAATTTCTGAAGATGCAAAGTTTCTTTCCAACTTACAATTATCATTATTCAATTACAATGATGACTTGACAACTATTCAATTGATTTTTAGGAGACATATTAACGAAATTATCAGAATACTTCTAAGCTCAAAGAACTTTAATAACAATTTGCTACCAAGCAACAAAGATTTTATTTTAATGATGGATGGAATTGGTTATTTTTGGCATAATGACACCAACAAATTATTGGAAATCTCTTGTTATCAATTAATCTCAAAAAAGTTTCAAGATCTTCTTTATCAAGAAAAGTTCAAGTACACGTTGCTTTTACCTTACTTGGCTAACGAACTAAATTTGATGATTGATTTGCAATACCATCTACAGAGCATTAACAATCTATCAGTATCGGGATCTAATAAGATTAACGAGAGAGAGACTTGGTTCAACATTTTGAAATATTTGATTAGTGGAAAATCCTTGGAGACGTTCCTACTTATAACATATCTAATAAGACCTAATTCTTCCTCTAGTTTACAATCGTCCTCAGTACATGGTGGAAATTTGACAGTTTTTGACAAGAATAAAGGAATTGAACTTTTACTCATCAATTTGTTTAATAGTGATAATCAAATCAAGACGAATGTAACTATGATTCTACAGGAATTAAAAGATAATTTCCTTTGCGGATGGTGTCTTGATAATTACGTGAAATCAAATTTGACTTACGAACTAGCCTTTCAAGATCTAATAGACAATAGGGAATAAGGAGTACTTTTCCAAATTATAAATTTGATTCTGAACTATGTATTATTTATCGTTGTTACTAAATATTGAAGTGATAGATAGCCTGTCTCCTGGTTTTCTTGTAGAATATGCAATTCCCTTTCCAGCATACTGATCTCTGTCTCGCGTTTCAGCAAGTCTTAAATTTTGCTTCCTGGATGTATCAATACCTGCATCAGATTCCTTAAGATGCTGCTCATTCTTGCGATGAGCTATATGTTTCTTACCAACATACGCTAGAGTCATGGCTACACCGCAAAATATCCCAAGTTTTTTGAGCAATCCTCTTTGAGTTTCCATATTTAGCCCCTTTTAGTCTTCTCTATAAGCGTTATAAATCTATAATTAGATATTTTTTTTATACAAAGAAAGGATAATTTAGTGAATAATATTGGCTCTTTCGCTAACAATTGATAAGTGCTCTCCAGATTGTAGTCATGTCTGCTCAAATTTTAAAGTCTGTCTTCCACGTGATCGCGCACATTTAATGTCATGTGCCCAAATGAGTGTCTGCTTCAGAATCGTGTCAGGTTCCCCACACCATTTGAGATAGAACATCCGTGGATAAGATACAGTCGAAAACAGAGTCAAATCCAAACAGACATTCGACAGTTCAATCAACCCAAACAATAGCTTAAATAGATCGGAAGTTCCTGTCTTTATACATATTATATTTATTTGGTTTTGAGGCTAGCTAGCTAAGAATCCAGCTGGAAGAAGACAATAAACACGTTATCATAGGAGGAAGCTTATCGTCGATTTGTTGTCTTCGAGAAAAATTTCACTAATAGAGAAAGCATATTAAGATCGCGTCTCTATTTTCAAGATTATTAAAGCATCACAGAGTATCCAATCCATATTCTTATTTCAATTAACTTCCTTAGAATATCAAGAATACAGGAATTTTAATCTATCGAGTTAAAATATAAGCGATGAGTGAGATTGAAGAAATCGCTCACGCGATTGCTGGAGCTGGTGGAGGAGCATTGAGTATGGTTGTGACTTATCCATTAGTGACTCTCTCAACATTAGCTCAGACTACGAGGAAGACAGAAGCACAAAAGGATTTGAAGGAACAAAAGGTCCCTACTGAACTTCACAAAAAACTAGCTTTTGCAATCACCAATTCAGCTTCATGGAAAGCAGCCGAAGAGATAATTCGTACTAGAGGTGTGATAGGCTTATACTCTGGATTGGAAAGTGCGCTTTATGGTATTACATTAACAAACTTCATTTATTACTACTTTTACGAATTTACTTCCAATGTATTCTTGCGGGCTAATAGTGGAACCTCTAGACGTGGCAAAGGGCTCTCAACAATTCAGTCGATTATTACTGGTGCTATTGCAGGTTCTTTTACGTGCGTAGGGTCGAATCCGTTCTGGGTAGCCAATACTAGAATGATGACAGCTAAGAAGAATGACAGTGACGACTCAAAGGTTCCAAATTCGACCCTCAAAATGATAATAGATATTATTGAAAGTGATGGAATTGCAACGTTATTTGCTGGCGTGCTTCCTGCATTGGTTCTAGTGATTAATCCAATTATCCAATATACTATTTTCGAACAGATTAAGAATTTGATAATTGCTCGAAGTGGAAAGCGCTCTTTCACCGCTGGTAAAGCCTTTTTCATTGGAGCTTTTGGCAAGTTAATTGCTACGTTTTTGACTTATCCGTATATTACATTGAAGTCTAGAATGCATGTTAAGAAGAAGAAGTTGTCGAAGCAATCGGATCCAAAGGAAGTGGAATTGTCTATGTATCAAGAGATCAGAAAAATTTTGAGAGAAGAGGGTTTTGAAGGTCTCTATGGTGGCTTATCTATTAAATTAGTCCAATCAATCAGTACAGCCGCTTTTCTCTTTTATTTTAAGGAAGAGTTATTGCAAGGTAGTGTCAAATTAGTTGAAGTTTTTAGACTAATGAAAATGAAGAAAGCTATCAACTGATCAGAAAAAAAAAAAAAAAAGAAATTGAATTCTAACTATTAGACTTTGAATTACATCTTATGAGCTCTTAAGTAGTATCATAGTGTCGAAATAATTTAGCGTGAATATATTTATATGTTGATTCTGCCTTTTATATAAGTAGAAGTAAATGTTCGTCATATTCGCATTACCAAAAGCGATGATAAGCCCTGTTTCAAGTTTTCTTATATATAATAATTTTGAAAAGACGAAAAAAAGGAGATAATGCTTGATAATTGCTAGTCATGTCAGTGTCAGAAGAAAATTTACATGAAAATAGCCAAGCAGCTCCAAGAAGAGTTGCAAGAAGAGCGTGTTTATCATGTAGAAAGAAGAAAATTAAATGTGAAGTCCCACCATCGAACGATGACTCTAGTACAGCAAAAAAAGGGAAATCAGATGAAAGAAAGGAAGGGCGAAATAATGATAAAGTTGCTTGCACCAACTGTTCATCCTTAGGTATCGAATGTGTATTTGTGAGGAGTAATAGAGGTGGTAGGAGAAAGAAGAGGCAGCTTGGCGATGTTCTATCTAGCGAGAGTCCACTGATATCAAACTTTGATGGGCGTGAAGGTGTTCCAGCGAGTGTCAACAAGGACCGAAGATTGAGCCCATTCGATGATTCATCAAATTTCTCGAAGGAAAGTGGTGTGGAAAGAATAAGTTCGTATATGTTTGACGGAGAACAGAGTAAATTTCCTGATTTTTCAAGACTGAAACCTTTGTCACCCACATTATCATATTTATCTTCAACGACGGATGGTTTGAATAGATTGAGCCTGGAGAGGTCTAGCAGAAGTGAGTTCTTTCCTCGTGCATACGAATATCACAACATGTATCAGCCAGTCTATCAGCATCCCATAAATCCACCAGGGATTGGATTACCTCTTCCTTTACCCCCACCTCCGCCATCACAAGCTTCCCTCCATCATATGGAACCCCATTATCCACATCCATATTCTTATCCACCTCCACTTCCACCACACCATAGGCATGGTCCGCCTCCTCATCATATGCATTATGAATCTGGTCCTCCTCATCATTTACATCACGAAGCTGGCCCTCCTGCTCATCATATGCATCATCCACACCACCCACACCATCCGCACCATCATCGCCATCACCATCGCCATCATCATCCGTCCTACTATACTCACCTGCCGCATTCTCCTCGATCACCACCTTCTGAACCTCATGATCATATTTATGGGATGCCTATGAAATCACCCAGAAAACCGCCATCACAAGCTTCCGATACACGTCTGAATTTCCTGAACAATAAACTGAAGTGGGAACAGAATCCTCAACTTGTTCAAGATGCTTCGCGATCACAGCGACAAAGTTCTATAGGTTTCGGTTCAGAATTACCAAGCAATCGTAATGAGACATCTTTCATGACCCCAGGAAGTAGACATGCAGCATTCGAAAAGGAAAAGAATTTTGACAAAAAGGGATATCAACTTAGACATTCATATCGTCATTTAGAAAATGAAGTAAAGAATGGACGACTCAATGAAAATGCAGAACGTATGAGAGCGGTTGATAAAGGCTATGAAAAAGTCAATTTACCCAATTCAGATCTGAAAGGTTCTCTTGCAACACCCGATACTTTCCTGTCATATGGTTACAGCAGAAGAAGTACGGATCAGGATGTCTCTTCACCATCTCCTTCAGTTTCAACCTCATCTCGCTCGACTAGTTTGACATCAAAAGCGGGATTGAACTCGAGTGTGATTGGGGGTTATTCTGACGTCGAGTTAGCTGAGTATCAGTTGCCTCCTTGGAAGACTTTAAATAAATTGATCGACTTTTACTACACATACTATCAGATTAGAGATCAATTGTTCCCGTCCAAAGAAAAGTTCTTGAAGAACTTTTCGTTAGTCACTGACAGCTCTTTATTGCACGCAATGATTGCTATTATTTCTCATAACGTTGATGAAGATATTGAGTCAGATGAGCTGTACTGGATAGCAAGACTGAAAGAATATTGGGATAATTTAACTGATTTCGGAATGCTTTGGTATTATTCATTATTATTAAAAACCCCGAGTTACAAAAATGACATGCCAAATTCGTTGGAAGCGGTGAAGAGAATATGGGAACTCATCCAGCGAAATAATTATTTTGAAACATTAAAGGGATCAGAAAATCTGGTATTAAATGCAAGACAGCGATATGAAAGAGATATAATAATTAGGTTGATGTGGATATATTTGGTCAACAAGACGATATTTTTGAGATTTAAAGAAGGATATCCATATTACAGATTGTCAATAATAAATCCAGATTACAAAGTGGCTTATGATTTGCATAACTTTACTAATAGTATTCCTTTACCAGCAAATGGTTTTGAATATTTGAATATAAAATCAGACAGGTCTAAGTGGGATAGATCAGATAGCTCAGAGTTATCGATAGAAGACTCTACTGCTGCCATATACTGCCTTGTGTTTTTTGAGAATATTTTAAATAAGATATCAAATAATGAACTTACAGAATTTCTCAGTATCGATCGCAAACTAGTTTCCCTAGTGACTGAAAAAGTCATTATTAAGAAGGTTGAGCAAAAACAAATCATAATAAACTCCACTTTCCTATTTACGGCATTTGCTATCCATGAAGCATTACTATTACAAAATTTATATCCATTGACTGACTTGATTATTTTCAAATCGACACAACATAAATTTGGGAGCCTGAGGTCGGGGCCACCTAAAAAGTTACTGCTCCTTGATAATATTTCAATAGTAGACAAATTTGACTTGGATAAAGTGCCCTCGATTATTGATAATATGGATGACAGACAATGGATATCTTTAGTCGATATATTAGCTAATATAAAAGATATCGTCGATCTTATCGAGTTGGATCCAAATGTTGCTGACTTTAAGATACAAATTTATGCAAACTATCATGAAAATGTACCAATAGATGACTTCACTGATGTTAAACAGGTTTGGCTCAAGTACACAGATTTCGCTTTAGTGATAGCTTGCTCTTTAATACCAATTATGATAAGTCTAATTGTTTTGACCAAGTTTATCAGTTTTGAAGGGACTCTAGACGGTGTTTTAGCTACTTACTATGCACAGAACGCTAGAGAAAGACTCGAGAATGATAGAAGCAGCGATGAGGAAAAAGTGGGAAAGAAAATGAAGACCATCTCAGTTGACGCTAAACTGCTTGATGTTTTCGAGATTGATGTCCTTTTGAAGAAGCTTTCAAACCTCATTGAATTCATTAAAACAAAGCTAAGCTTTGATAATGATGAAGTAGCTAAAGACACAATGTTAAAAATCAATAAAGTCAGTCATTATCTAGAGGAGCTTTTAAATAGTTTATAGATTTCTATATACAGTTCTCATTTCGGCGAAATGTCGGCGAAAATATGATAGCAACATTTGAAATACCACGAGGTACTCTTAACTAAGCAAAAAAAAAAAACAAGAACAACATTGAATTCCTCAGACCCTTCGTGACATCAATACTGAGACATTCATAACTACAGTGTGGTCGTAACTGGTTCATTCAATTTATTCATTTTTAGTGAATTACTCAACACTCATAAGATAATCAAGTGATGATTAGTATATTTCGTCCTTTTAAAGCAGAGCCTGCTTTCAATGTAAATTACAATGGAATAGGAAGTACTCCAGTTTTACCATTTCATCACACGATAGAGAATCTCACTAGAGATGTTGATGTGAAACCATTGCATTCCCACAACGATTATTGGAGAAGAGAACCTTTGTTCGACGCATTGAAAGTAGGCTGTCAAAGTATAGAGAGTGACGTATGGTACTTTCCTTCAAATTATAAAGTCGAACGTACTATAACGGAGACTACTTCCAAAGGAGAAAGAAGTACAAGGCAAGAGGTCAATCAATTTAAAAACAATGAGGTTTATGTTGGTCACAACCAAATTTATTTGGAACCAATTAATACTTTATTCAATTTATATTTGAATCCCTTGTACTCTTTCTTGGAGTATTCAAATCCTGAATTTACTGTTATTAAAGACGGATCTAACGCTTTAATAGATACTACTGATTCTAAACACGGAATCTTCTATAATTCGCCAGAGACTCCGTTGTATTTTTGGATGGATATTAAAACTGAGCCGTCTTCCACTTACAAGGCTATAAAAGACTTGTTGGAGCCTTTTATAAAGCAAGAATTCTTAGCTAGTTATGATCGAGGTAATGATGAACATACTAGTGGTCCTATAATATTGACGCTTACTGGAAATTTGCCCACCAGTGACATTGAGGAAGAAGAAGTAAGATATGCGTACCTTGATGCACCCCTTTATAAGTTTACTGCTGATACTTCTAAGGATGAGTTAGAAAAGATCAGCAAACTATCAAGAGTTGCAAGTGCTTCACTTGAACAATTGATAGGTGCAGAAGGAGTAAAGTTAGTACAGGCTGAAGACTTTAATGCAGAACAAAGAGAAAAGCTATCCAATTACTTCGATTTTGCTCATCAATATGGGTTGAAGACTAGGATTTGGGGTGGCATAGACTGGCCGAGGTATATCAGTGAAAAGCACACTAAGTCACTCTACGAGCTTGGTTGTGATTTTTTGAACGTCGACGATGTGAAACATGCAAGTTTAATCTAGATAACTAAGCGTGATTTCAATAATACCACTTAGCGATAAATAAAGGAAAATGGGTATAAAATTTACTTAAAGTTTCGTTTTAATAGTTCATACGAATAAAAAATCAATGCGTTTGCCGGAATGGCTCTTATCAACGTTATACTTAGACCATTGTAGAAATTAATTGCACCACCCTTCTTAGCCATTAAGTGAGCAGCAGTCTTCCAAAAACCACTGTGATTTTTTTTCAAGACATGATTAGTTTGAATATTTGATTTTATAGTATCAAAAGGGAAGGTCGAGAAGTTGAAACATACACCAGCGAGAGCTCCACTTACCAATAGAGTCCAATCGTTTAATTGGTTCCGTTTCTTGAACTGGCCTATCAGAAATTCATAAGTGCCGAACCAAATTGCTGTTCCTCCAACTTCTCTTAGTAAAGTACTCGAAAGCCCTTTCCATAAACCTGCAATTCCATGATTATTAACAATCTGCTTAACCACTGATCCATAAGAGTGTGTTTCTTTGACACTAAGATTAGCAACTTGCAAATTGCATTTAACCAATTCTACAGGGGTCAAGACAAAAGATGCCATGAATCCTGAAAATCCACCACTCAAGCACTTAGACGCTAACGACAACGAGTCGGGACTAGACTGATGTTTCATTCTCAATTGTAAAGCAGTTGCATAGTTATATGAGAAGAATAGCACTGCGTTTTCTAAGCAGGCTCCAAGTAAGGGTGCTTTCAAACCTCTGTAGAAACCATTTACTATCCCTTCATTAGAGTAGGTCCGCTTTATGGTTTGCCAAGTAGAGAGATCTGAAAAATTTGATGATGATTGCAACCTCACTTTTATGGTATCAAAAGGAAACTCTATCAATTTACCCATAACACCTGATATAGCACCGTAAGTAACTTCTCTTACGGGGTGTATGTCATTTCCCATACTAGAGCAACAAGGTATGCAATGGGGACCTTTGATCTTATGACAAACCCAAAATCATTATATGAAAAAAATGAAAGAAAAAAAAAAACTTTTCAATGATAAAGCCTACAATACTCTATAATTTACAATATGTATATTAGTTATGAAAAAGCTAAAAAGAACTTATCTTAATGGAATGAATCTTGAAGAAGCGTTACCAGCTCTACCATGTCTAACAGGAGTGTAGGTGATTGAGAATTCACCTAAGTACTTACCGATCATCTCTGGTCTGATTTCAACGATGTTGAAAACTTTACCATTGTAGACACCAATAACAGATCCAATCATTTCTGGAACGATAATCATGTTTCTCAAGTGGGTCTTGACAACGGCTGGCTTTTCGTTAGGTTCAGCACCTAATTTAGCCTTTCTCAACTTGTTAATGAAACCCATTGGCTTTGGACCTAAACCTCTTGAAAATCTTCTTCTGACTCTAGCAGGACACAATTTAGTGAATTCTTCAGTGTCCATTTCCAACAAGTCTTTTAAGTCGACACCTTTGTAAGAAAAGGTCTTGAAGGTTCTCTTCTTTCTCTCAGCTAAAGCTTGTTAGTATTTTCCTTTACTAATGGTAGAGGGTAGTGGAATAAATAAGGAACGTGTGTAAATAGGCTTCCATTTCTATTAAAATCTGATTATTGCAATACGTAAATCCGGTGCCCAATTTTTTCAATTTGTCAGATTGCCCACACAACTTCAAAGCATTTCTAGGTTCCAGATCGCTTCATTGATTATTGAATTGGTTATTGCATTGTCTTCATCCATTATACAAGAGTTTCATCTTTGAATGATTTCCTTCTTCTTTCTCTTAGTTTATTCTAGTGTATTATACCCACTATCCACATTCTAAGTCAATCTTAAAATTTCACGACATATCACATCATCTACTATTCTCTTATCCATTCACTTCTCTGTTATCATGCGGATATTACTTACTTTCAGGCATGTTTAATAGTATGTATAACAAAAACTGGTATTACCTACTTTGAAAAACTTTCTTCAATAAAATCACTATACTCAATATTGTACATCCATTGAGAAGGTAAGCTGGGAAGTCGTGCGACTGCGCAAAATGAAAAATTTTATATTGTCACGTTCTTTATGACTTACTACGGGCAGTAGCCCGAGAAGTATACCTGATGAGACATCGGACGACATCCCCAATATGTAGGATATTAGTGAGATGCTACTGATATTCTTATCTACTTCACCTAAGGTTGAGCCGATGTTCAATGATCGAAAACTATCATCGTAGACAAATGATTTATACTGGAAAACAGACGACGTTTCATTTATTTTAGAGTTTAGAACTAAGTCGATCTGCTCTTAAAATTTCATAGAATGAAAACATTGTAGTGATCAAATGTCAGCATGGGGTTGTTAATATTAATGCGAACACTATTTCAAGCCTTACGAGTTAATATCAACACTGAGTATTAGTGGTAAAGCAAATCGAAGAAATATCAAAGGCTGACTATCAATGTGAAGAAGTTGAGTAAAGCTGTGAGTTTTGTAGTTCTCTATTTTGCAACTTTAGGTGACAGCGTAAAACGTAGCTATTGCAGCGTAAACTACATCACCAATACTATGTACAGTATCATCTTTAAACTCTCACAAGTACAAAATTTTTTTTCACATAAATTTTTCACTGTCGGTAATACAAATACTTTTAGACGTTATTGCAAAGGATAGTCTGCTTTTAGCTTAAACGTGATTATTCTAAAATGAAATACTTAGCAGCTTATTTGTTATTAGTCCAGGGTGGTAATGAAAGTCCATCCGCCAAGGACATCAGCGACTTGTTGGAATCTATTGGCGTCGAAGCTGAAGAATCCAAATTGAACCTTTTATTGTCCGATCTCCAAGGTAAGGACATCAACCAGTTGATTGCTGAAGGTAACACCAAGTTAGCTTCAGTCCCAAGTGGTGGTGCTGCTGCTGGTGGCTCCTCTGCTGCTGCAGGTGGTGCTGCTGCTGAAGAAGCTGCTGAAGAAACCAAGGAAGAGGAAGCCAAGGAAGAATCTGATGACGACATGGGTTTCGGTTTATTCGATTAGGTACATAAAGTTACATAAAGCTATGATAATTGAATTGGCTGTCGCAATTTTTAATAATGTGTAGAGAAGATTTTGAACACAGTTAGAGTTCTATAATTTACAAAACTCTTTGCTTAGGAAGTCTTACCTGTAGGTTTATGAAATCTATTAGTTTCATGGAGAAGGGGGACTTCTATTCTTACTTTTGAAAGATAGTCGTTCTACTAGTACTTTAAACCTATTGATTTCGTTTACTAAAGATTCAGATTCCAGAAAATCTAGTTTATCATTGAGCGTCGACAAGTAAGATAGCTTCTCGCGTTTATATATCAACTCTTCATTGAGCTCTATCAAACCTGATCTAATGGAATCGTATCGTTCTAGTAATTCTCCGAAATTGTATTTTTCTTTCAATTCTTGATCAATCTGCTCTGAAAGAGATTCAACTCTCTCTTCACCGTCTTGCACTAACCCCCCATTCCCACCTATTTCATTATTCCCTTCTTCCTCTCTATTTTTGTTCTCTAATTCTTGTTCGCTCGCGAACAAATATTTAGACTCTGGAAGTTCCTTTAGTATGTCATCAAGCTTCGTTATTTTTACATCAATAGCCAACGGCTTCATAATATATTTAACTCTGGTAAGTCTTTCATTCACTGCATTGAGCTTCTCTTGTTCGATTTTGAGTATTTGTTGCACTATCTGGTTATTAATCTGTGCTGGAAACAAGTTTCTATTATGTCTTCTAATCTTTATATTTACTTTAGTCAATATTTGTTGTAGTTGCTTTTCAGACAAGCCTGGAGCTTCTGAAGAGTCGAGACTCAAGGGTCTGTTTAGTCTCTTGACTTCATTGTCTATAAACCTTTTGGTATAAACATATGATTTCTCCATAGTTGAAAGGAAATAGAGTATTATTATACTACGTAGTGGAGTTCGCAAAACAAATGTTCTGATAAGAGTAATCAGATTATAAAACAAAGAATTTCAATCCTTTATATTTTAATATTGGAGCACAAGCAGTATAATTATATTCAGTACTTACGAGGGTCAACACACTGAATAAAAGACCTTAATTTTTCAATTAATGTAACTGTGCTACAATTGAAATGAACTCTGTATGTGTTAAATTTGGATCCAGAAGAATCTAACCTACTGAACTTCAGACATGTTTATAGTTTAGTTATAAATGGCTAATTATCTACATGCTGACTCGATAGTATCTCTTCTCTATGTAGCAAGTTATTGCTAGAATTGAAACCTGATGTATACATACAATAGGGACTTGTATTGCCTCATGAGGTGAGCATCTTCTGTCCTTATCCAAACTTCAAAGGATAGAAGAATGTATATTCAAAGAGAGTATAACTGAAGTTTACAGTCGACGTGAACAACGCTCGAGCATTGGCTCGTCTACGCCTTCAAAGGTTTCTGGGCCATGCTTGATGAGTATGTTTCTCATAAAAAGGTCGATTCTCGATAATATTCATCTAACGCTTATTAAGCACGTGATACAATAACTTTCTCTTATACGTTTACATATTAATTATAGACACTATCATCAAAGTAATTAGGAAAAGTAGTTTGGTTGGCTATTTTTGATGTTGTTAGATTCAAGTGGATTTGGGAGTCTCAATATCACCGAATCTATTCAAAATAATGATACTTATAGACCGTCTACTCGAATTGCAAGATATCAAGTCATCATTGCATTAGCACTTGGGCTTTTCGCTTTCTTCACATTTACAATACTTAAAGTCAGGTACCCAAAAATATATGTTGCAAACCTAAATTCCTTAAATCTGGATCCAACACCTTTGTTATCCAGGCGCAACTTACCGAAACTCCCTCCTACGTCGTTGTTTGGCTGGATCCCAATATTATTCAGAATAACCGAAGATGAAATCTTGCAACATGCTGGTCTAGATGCTGTAGTTTTCTTGGGGTTCTTTAACATGTGCATTAAGTTATTGGGAACTTGTATGGTTTTTGCAGTTGCCATAATTTCACCCATACGATATAAATATACTGGAAGGGTTGATCAAGATTACCCTTCAGTAAATGAAACGGTTTGGAATGAAGACGGTGACGTAACATTACTCAAAAATAAACACACCAGTAACCAATTTTTATGGTTGTACATTATATTCACCCATATTTTTACCTTCATAACGGTATACTTTTTGTTTAAGCAGACTAGCAAGATCATTAAAATAAGACAGGATTATTTGGGCAAACAGAACTCAATCACGGATCGTACAATTAAGATATCAGGTATTCCTCCATTTTTAAGAGATGAAGTAGATTTGAAGAGACAAATTGAAAGTTTAGATATTGGCGAAATTGAGTCAGTAGTTATTGTGAAAGAATGGAACAATTTGAATCATTTATTCAAGTTAAGAAGAAAATTATTAAGGGCAATTGAGGTATCTTGGGTTGAGTGTTTCAAAATAAATGGTGTCAAGAAGACTGATTTGCTTTTTTCAAACTTGAGCTCAACCTTGGGCGACTCGATCAATATGAATCGAACTCCTCGATATTCAGATAACCCAAGGGGTGCACATCAACAGCAAAATCCTGGACTTTCAGATGAAGAAAGTGGTCACCGATCTTCACCCGTTCCAAATTCTGATATTTTCCAAAATGATGAGTCGGCAAGTAGTAGTAGTAGTAGTAGTAGTAGTGGTGGTAATGGAAATTCTGAACTTGTCGAAGAGTCTGTCGGCGAGTTGCCCTTATTGGACGATCAGTTAAATAGCAGACCGAAGATCAGAGATGGTTTCTTAGGAATATTAGGGAAAAAGGTAGATGCAATAAACTATTGGAATGAGCAACTTGAAATTATCAACAAAGAAATTACAAAGGCAAGAACTAGAGAATACCCACCAACTTCAAGTGCTTTTGTTACGATGAAATCTGTTGCACAAGCACAAATGGTTGCGCAAGCAGTGTTAGATCCTAAAGTGAATCATTTAATTACGAACTTGGCCCCGGCACCTCATGACGTAATATGGGATAACCTATGCTTGACTAGGAGAGAAAGAAACATAAGAATATTTTTTGTTACATTAGCGATTGGTATTATAAGTGTTCTATTAGTATATCCAGTGAGATATTTAGCCAACTTCTTGAATGTCAAGTCGATTTCTAAAGTTTGGCCTTCGTTGGGCGATTTTTTAAAAAGGAATAAATGGGCGCAAGCATTGGTTACTGGGTTGGTTCCATATATTTTCACGATTTTCAATAATGTTATGCCACATTTGTATATTTGGATCTCCAAAAAGCAAGGTTATACTTCTCATAGTGACGAAGAATTATCATCTGTTTCTAAGAATTTTTTCTACATCTTTGTTAATTTATTTTTGATTTTTACTGTCTTTGGTACTGTCTCGCTAAGTGATACTACAAAGATCGCATCTCAGTTGGCAAAATCATTGCGAGATCTCTCGCTATTTTACGTTGATTTCATCATTTTACAAGGCTTGGGAATATTTCCCTATAAATTGCTATTGCTTGGAAACTTATTCAAGTTTCTGCTTGGCTCTTTATTCTGGTGTAAGACGCCGAGAGATTACCTTAGATTATACAAACCGCCAGTGTTCAACTTTGGCTTACAGTTACCGCAACCCATATTAATATTAATCATAACTATGGTATATTCGCTCATGTCAACAAGGATATTGACTGCTGGCTTAATTTATTTTATGATTGGTTATTTTGTTTATAAGTACCAGCTACTTTATGCTTGTGTCCATCCTCCTCATTCAACGGGTAGGGTATGGCCTCTAGTTTTCAGAAGAGTCATACTAGGGCTTCTATTATTCCAGTTAACAATGGTCGGCACATTAGCGTTACAGAAAGATTATATTTATGCAAGCTCCTTAGTCCCTTTGCTGTTACTCAGCGTCGGGTGTTTATGGAATTTCGAGAAAAACTATATTCCTCTATCAATTTTCATTGCGTTAAGGTCAATCGAAAAGAATAACCGGTTGCCTGAAAACGATGAGGAAACTATTATACAAACAGAGGAGCAAAGTCTCACTTTAGATGAAAGAAGGGAATCCAATCAAACTTACGAGTATCCTCATTTACTTGATAGCTTGGACGGAGCATTAATCGCAGTGGATCAAAATGATGCTTTGGTCGTCAATAGCGATGGATTGGCAATTAGAAAAACAAAGACTATCGATGTATGGGACTAAGATAACCGCTTATCGCTTCTTATGACAGGTAAATTAACTTCAAAAACAGATCTCCATTGTATCTTGCTATTTTGATTTGTTCTGCAATTTCATCAATCACAAGGTCTTTTATACTACGTTGTGTCAACCAACCAACTATGGCATTAATTGCGATCTTTGAAAAGATCATCTGGCTTATTACTGACAAGGTCACAACAAACACTACCGTTTTATAGGGATACTCTGTAACTGCTTTAATAGCTTCAATAACATTAATATAACTGATGACGTCAATGATTGAAGTCGGTACTGATGTTCGATCGTATGGCCAAATCAACATGAGAATGGGAAAAAGCTTAATAGACCCTGATACAAGTACTGTTACCATTAAGACGGAATTATAATAGCCAAATTGTCTATCTTTTGGAAGATATTTGTTTTCAATGTTGCCCCATTTGAAGATCTTTCTTAAAAAGACTAGAATCAGCGGCATCAAAATCAACTGCTCAATCACCAGTTTCCATATGAAGAATACGTATTGTAAATATATGTCTTGATTTAGGACCATTTCTGTAAGCAGGGATATTTCACCGTTACTTTTCTTCTTCTCTTCGTTAGCCCAAGTTAAGTAAACTTCAAAAAGTGTTTCCATCACTATTATCCTTATCATCTTCAGATACGTGTAAAAGAACTCCTTATACCTATGGTTTCCAGTCTCATTTACCTCTCCAGCCTTGATCATCTCAAGTTCTGTTAAATTATACGCCAAATGCCTATAAGCTTGCGGTTTAAGTAGTAATATATCAATAAACAATATCACATTATCATATTCAATATACTTATCGCAAACTTTTTGACATCTGGAACAAATGGTTAATTTAATATATTGACTTTTATACTTCGAAAACAAGCATTCAATGTCTGGTTTCATACATTCCACGCATCTCATGGAGGACTGATATGAAAGTAAAGAATAATGGACTTGAATTGAAAATAATTAAGGGATTTCTTACTATAATACACAAATGTTGATGTAATTTTTAACAAAGCGATGTATACTGTATATTTTACTATATGACTTATTGCAAAATTATTTCTATGGAAAATTACAATAGAAGGCCGGAGATTCAGCAAAGTGCAATTGGAGGGGCTATTTCTGGTATGTCGCCCAACTTGAAGGTGGATCCGCTAAATGCTTCAATTAGGTACGGTTCCACATCTTTTAGAGCAGCTTGAGCATCTTGAGAACCAGAAGAGTTCTGGTGAACATTATTTAGATGGCCAAATGGTGATGATTGAGGACCATTGTTGAAAGTAGCACCTGCAGTGTTTCCTTGGCTCGCAAATGGAGAGCTCGAGGCCTGAACTGACCCAAACGGAGATGCCTGTGCACCTCCATTAAAACCAGAGGCCCCGAATCCACTTGAATTGTTGGTTGGTAGTGCATTGGTATTATTCGAAAAGGCAGACTGTGTTCCAAAAGGTGACGCTGCTTGTGAATTGGCAGAAGGGGGGTTCGCTTTATTCGATTGACCAAACCCTGAAGCACCAAATCCTTGAGATCCATTGATTGTAGACGTTTTACTAAGTCCAGCAGAGGCAAAAGGCAGCGAAGATTGGTTCCCAGAGCCGAATCCGGCGGAACCAAATCCTGAACTTCCAAAGCCCGAGGAGCCAAATCCTTGCGTCGTAGCGTTGCTTGAGCCACCAAGATTGGATGATCCAAATACTGAACCTGGTTTTTGCTGATTTTGGGCCATAGAGCTGCCAAAGCCCGTACTACCAAATGCAGAGTTACCTGCTGAGTTCAGGGTGCTTCCAAAACCAGCATTTCCAAATGGAGACGTTTTCTGAGTTGAATTCCCATTATTTGCAAGTGAAGAGCTCCCAAAAGGCGAGCCTCCTTTGGCTGTGGTTCCAAATCCAGAAGACCCAAATGCTGAGGTACCTGTTCCAGAAGAAAATGCTGCAGAACCGAAAGCTGAAGTACCTGTACCAGATGCCGGTCTAGCAGACCCAAACCCTGATGATCCGAAAGCTGTTGAACCAGAACCACTGCCAAACGCTGAATTTTCAGATCCAGAGGGCTGCAGACCACCGCCAAACCCAGAGCTTCCAAAGCCACCGGCCCCAATACTTTGGAATGGCGACTTATTATTGTTAGCACCTGTAGTATTGTTAGATGCAAATGGATTTGCGATAGAGCCAAATGCACCTCCCTTCACATTCCCACCAAAGCCTGTTGATTGAGAGCTCCCGAAAGGATTCGACTGTCCGCTATTGAATCCCGAAGGATTATTCTTATACTCTTCGATGTTTTGCTCCACAGTACGATTTATGAATGGTTTTGGCGTTGAATTAGGCATTTCTGCAGCTTTTTGTTGATATCTAACAGCTAGGTTAGCCTTATCACTCAAAAAGTTGGCACAATATTTCATATCATTCACTCTTGCCTCTATCATTTTATTGTATTGATCTATCGAGTTTGTTGATACAGCCTCTAGATACTGAATTCTTAATTCTTCAGGCGACATATCTCTCCCAGAAATCAAGTTATTTACCGCTGGTGACTCCAATCCATAACTAGAAAGTAACGGCTGGGTGAAATAATGCCCTTGTCTATAATCTTGCATGTCATTTTTAATCTCTGTACTTCTACTTTCGATAGCTCTAGGTGCTAAGAATCGCTGTAAAGCCGATTCTTCGTGGGAAAAACTACAGTTTTTACCATAACGGCAGTTTCCCTGTTGATAGAATTTACACAACTTCTTCTCAGGCATTGTGATTCATTCTTTAGAGGACTCAAGAAAGTAGCTTGAAATTGAATACTTAAATAATTGAATAATTAATTAATCTCGATAATATAAATGATTGAATTTATATGCTATAAAGGGACTATATATTACTATTATAGCAATGTGAACTCCAGATGATCACAATATGGCTATCTGGTAATAATTAAGAATTCTCTTGAATCATGAGTCTACATGCTTGGACTAGTACATTTGATTTCTGCTGGCTGATCACGTAGGCCCGTTTATAAGTTCCGATTATGGCTTGAAGGACAGACTCTTTATTTTGGGATCCTTCGACAATCTGCTGCAATGACATCTCTAGCTCTTTCCGTAAAAATGGCTTGGATAACGAAACGTCATCAAATTCCATCTGGCTAAATCCTTCAATTAATCCCATTCCAAGTGGTGAAGGTACAATATACTCAACACTTGATTGTTTGGCTTTCACCACGTACTTTCTAGACACGATTTTATCTATATGCTCAGCAATTGTTGCATCTGTACCAATCCCGTTGGCATCCATTAATGCTATAAGCTCTGGCTCTGTCATGTGCTTCGGAGGAGCTGTTTTCCCTTCTTTCATTAGTCCTGATGATACTTTAATCATTTCACCTTCAATTAGGATTGGCAATTGCTTAGTAGTTTCCCATTTGCGATAAGGGTAAACATCTAAATAGTTGCGTTCTTGTACAATTAATCCACTGGCAGTGAAAGTTTCAGGACCCCATCCTAATGTTGCAGTTGTTAATTGTCCGACAGCATCTTTCGAACAACAAGCCAAAAATCGTCTCACAACATATTCATATACTTTCTTTTGATCAAGACTCTCTAGATTCTCTAGTTTGGCATACTTTACTGGGTGTATTGCCGGATGCGCTTTGTCATTGTGTTTACCATTACGAGGCCGTTCAAGTCCCTCACCTAAAATACCTTGGGCATAGCTACCCCAGCGTTCATCTTGTGTTTGTTTTGAAATAGTGCCTCTAAAATCCATAGAATCAGGAAAGCTATCCGTCTCTGTTCTTGGATAAGATATGAATCCACTATTATATAGCTTTTCGGCAGCATCAAGTGTTCTCTTGGCACTCATCTTGAAGAACTTTGCGCAGTCCTTTTGTAATTCCACGGTTGTTAGAGGTAAAGGACGCCAATTAGTAGTTCTTTTCTGCTCTGTCTTTATAACTTGCGCTTCGGGATAGCTCACGCATTGCTGGTATAAAAGAGTAACATATAATCTGTCAAACAAATGATTTTTAGTCCAATTGAAGCTTGTCTTCTTATTGTCTTTTTTGATTTCGAGAGTGATATACCAAAAGCTTTCTGGTATAAAATTTTTGACTCTTTTATATCTATCAACAACAAATCCTAACGTTGGGAACTGACAAGTTCCATATGAGGCGACATCTCCTCTTTCTATAACTCTTCCTTGTTTCAACGCGTCAGTAATGTATCTCGTAAAACTTGCACCTATTCTTAAGTCAATTTCCATCCTACATTTCACAGCATTAACTGAATTCATATCTAGTATTATAGGGTTCCTCGCTGCATTCAATATATGAGATCTCTCCAAATGTGAAAACTGGCTCCTCCAAGTATCTTCCACTGTCAACCTCCCATTACCCTTCTGAGCTGCTTGAAAGATTTCAAATCCGATATATTCCCCCTCTCTATCACAATCTGTCCATATCATTAGTTTATCGCTATTTCTAGCCTCCTTGGATATATTATCGTATATATCCTGTCGAGATATCTTCTCTATTATTGGGGCATCCAATAGCCTTCCAGGAATGCATTTTCCCCACTGATAAGTCTGAGGGAAGTCTATATTCATTATATGGCCTGCAACCGATGTCATAGTTACATTACACACGCCAACTCGTGGAAAGTTGAAAGTAAAATCATAATTTTTGATATATTTGTTTCTGGAATTTCGTACATTCAGCCTACCTCCACCCAAGATATTCGATACTTCTTTCGCTATAGATGGTTTCTCAGCGACACATAGTATTTTCATCCTTCTTGATCCTTGCCATTTGCTTTTTTAGTCCCCACTAACTCTTGTATAAAAGTTGTAGTCTCTCTACGGTGATTTTGGTGCAATATTGATATTTAAAGTCGCGTTTGATATTAACCTCAAAGAGAGTCCTAAAGGAAGCTCATCGCACTAATTATTATTGATCAATGTCAGAAATCATAAATAAAGTTGATGATTTATTGGCATGGTTGAAGAGAATTGATGATGAAGCATTGAAGACGTCCAAGAATTCGTTCATATCCCCCAAAATTGAGGTGAGAGAGAGTAAAGATTCGTTTAGAGGTCTTTATGCTGTTGACCAAATAAATAGACGTGAAAAACTCATTAGAATACCTCCTTCGTATTTGTTGAACAAAATTACCGCAATATGTCATATTACGAAGTTTAATGAAGAGGTGAAGTTAAAGGAGACCCATTTCACAAGCATAACTGTTCCTCAAACTGACCCAGATGAGTTTACTAAGCTATATTCGAAATTTTCATTGAGCATGCTATTGGCATTATCTTCATTTCAGTTGCTTTCCTTGTTTATTTGCATTGAGAAGCAGAGAGGGCAGCGCTCTTTTTGGCATCCCTTCTTTGGCACTCTTCCAGAAATGTCCGATTTCAGACTATTACCACTCTACTGGGAAGTGTTGAAGGTGGAAAAATATCAAAACTTGCTCTCGTTATTACCTGGACCCGTTAGAACGCAAGCTAACAAAGTTCATGAGAGATTCTTAAGTGACTATCGTACTGTTAATACATTCATTGCAAATAATATTAGTGATCTGGATTTGAAGGATGGTTCGATAATCAAGGACAAGCTCCCGGTGGAGTTGTTTCTCTGGGCATGGTTATGTATTAACTCTCGTTGTCTTTACATGAAAATAAACGAGAGCAATAAAGCTGATGACAGCTTTACCATGGTTCCTTACGTCGATTTCCTAAACCACAGTTGTGATGATCATTGCACTCTTAAAGTTGATGGTTCTGGGTTCCAGGTTTTCACTGGCTCTGGCTATAGTCCCAATGAACAGTTATTTCTATCTTATGGACCTCATTCTAATGAGTTTTTGCTATGTGAATACGGTTTCATTTTAAGTGAAAATAAGTGGAATTTTCTAGATATTAGTGGCTATATTATCTCTCGTTTCACACCTAATCAAATTGAATTTTTAAAAGAGGTTGGGTACTATGATGAATACACTTTGAATTTGGCTTCTGGGGCATCTTTTCGCACAGAAGTAGCTCTTGCGGTATTGCAAGAGAGCTTTCCTCAAAAATCGAGGAATATCAATGCCTTGATCAATGGGTATTCAGATGGTAAGGTTTATCAGTCAGGCTCTAATTCAATTTTGAAAAAGATTTTAGAGTCTCTAATTTTTGAATGTGAAGCACATATCAACTTGGAATATAGTGATACTGATGGATCCATACTAAATGAGAGACTCAAGATGATTGGAAGATTATATTACGACATGAAACAGATTGCCAACAAAACATTACAAGATCTCTAATGTTTATTTATTTACATGTACATTATTATTTTACGTATACATCTGCAGAGGTTTTATCAATTTCCCTGTCTATGCTGAGTTTGTTCTTGATCATTGAAGTAATAAACTTATTGGTTGGGGTGGGTATATGATGCTTGTTTCCGAGAGCGACGATGTATCCGTTAATCCAATCGATTTCCGTTTGATTCAAATGTTTAATGTCTTCACGCATCGATGAACTATTTTGCGACGTAAGTTTGCAGACTTCGAAGACGGAATTTAAGAGTCTTTCACGGTTCAAAAAGACATTTGATATAGGTATTGTTTCTAGTATTTTGAATTCAGCCTTGAAAACGTCTGTTGCTTCTATAATTACCCGTTTCATTATTGATATGACCTTTGATCCAGAGAGTAAGTCGCCATTTAAACAATCCAATAACGCAGTCAAGGGGTTAATGCATGCGTTCGCCACAAGCTTTTCCATTTGATGCAATAAGAAAGTCTCGTAAGGCAAAAACTCCACATTCAACACATCGATATCCAAAATATCTCTGATTAATAAAGGAAATTTAAACTTTTCACTATTGTCATCTTTGTACTCACTTAGTAAACTCTCGTCATTATTTCCTGGAAATGCTGAAATCTTCAATTTGCCCAATCCAACGTGATTAATAGTATTGAGGCTAGTTTTGTAGGCTCCATGAGTACTTACGGCCTGATAGAAATTAGGTCGATTTGCTTTTGTGGGCCAGAACCTTTCTATCAAGCTTTCTGACATGCCCATGCCGTTCTGAACTATCAAGATATTGGACGTCTTATCGAGGTTTGAGACATATTTTTCCAAAGCATTTTCAGTCTGATATGTCTTGGTGGCTAGGATCAAGTTTTCTATTATTTCTGGTTCATCATCTCTATTCCTTGGGGGTCTCAGTATCACATCATGCTTTGTAGTAGATTTCAAAATATTACCATCTTGAGATCTGACTATCGTTATTTCAGATCCATCCTTCAGAAACTGTTCTACTCTTCTTTGATTTCTTAACAATAAGACCAGTTGAGTTGAAGCAAATGAATTAGAAATTTCGTGAGTAACTAAGGATCCCATAGCGCCTGCCCCCAAAGTAAAGATTCTAAGGCCCTTGTTCATTCTTATGGCCCTTTTCTATCAATCATTCACCTTTAATGATAAATAACATAAAATAAATTATTAAGATGAGCG